TGAGGAGAAGTGGACAATTTTTGTGCAGTTTAAATATTAAACCAAGTGGGATACAATATACTAGGTTGTCATTAACCAGGAGATATGTTATAAAACCATTGTTTTATAAGAAAATATCTTATTATTTGGAATCATTGAAAATATATTAAAGTATATTTGATTGTAAATTAGGTGTGACATTTTATTATTGTGTTTGCAGTGGCACAAGAATAATAGTCTGTTTTATCAAAATTGGGTAGGAAGGTTAATTGATTTGAATAATCTCATTTAATATTCTTATCAGTTGAGTAATCTTATCATTAATTAGAGGTGGAAATATTATCATGGTAGATTTAACTCTAATTTCTTAAGATAAAGTAAATCGGTTAAAGTATACAAACTCATATAAGTTTCAAAAAATTGTTATGTTATTTGTCGGAATAATTTTTTATAAAATATAAAAAATGTACTTGATGAATCCATGATAATTTAAACTAGATTATTATATTTATAATTCATTACAATGTTAGATAATTTATCAGGTATTAATTTTTTATCCATAAAAGGTGCCAAAAGAAAAACGACGTTTTATTGATTTGTGAGTAACATACATCTGGTATATCACAAACTCTACTGTCGAGTATGATAAACTCTGATTGGCAAAACGAATTGGATTTTGTTATATAACATCGTTTTTTTATAAATCACGTGGCAGTTGAGGAATCAAACAAGAGAGAGCTTTGGCCAATTGAACATCTTGCCAAACATACAACTGTTACGTTCTTGTTTAATATGAAGATACCATTATATCATAAGGAAATTATTATATCAGATTATACTCAATTTGACGGTGTTTGAGTAGCTCGAATCATTTCGTAATTCATAGATCAATGCAATATGTATTTACATTTAACATTTACCACCCCATGGATTTACTCTCACAAGACATTAAAAAGCTTTAAATACTGAACATCTGATTCCAAATAAGAATCAGTTTTTGCCAGTGTTGAAGCTCGACAAGAACTCGAAAATCTTGGAAGATATGTTCGCCGAGTTTCTAGTTACACTCGTATTAACTATAAATCGCTCTTATTTACACTCTCTGCGGGATCACTCGTGCGTCTTTCAACTTTAGCAGTTCGAATTCTGCAGCGAGTTTCATTGCGGAGTTTAGAGAACTTCGAATGTGTGAGTTATGCGTTGTCTTGAGATTAATTTGTACTACTTTCTTGTTCTTGATTCAGAGCTTTGTGTTGCTATGATGCAAACGATAGGAGGCTGATTCCTCTTGGAGGCACCAGAGGAAGAAAGCTTCTCTGTTGTGACTGCTTCAAGCTCGGATCATCAGAGCCCTGTGCGTTTTGCTTGGCACCCTCTTGTGAGACAAAACTCATACCCTTTGGAGCAACGGATGGTTTTCTCAGTGTAGGAATCTGTGGATGTGTTACGTGTTCATTGATCTTCGGAGAAGATGCAGCAGATGAGTTTCTTTGGTTAGATCGACTCTAGGGCTTCAAAAACGCAGCTGGGCTTGGATCCCTGGTAGTTTAGCTATTGACATCTCTCACCGTTTTTTTACTTGATTTCTGAGACGAGAAAGACGCTGCAGCTATGTTAGTTGATGAGGCTGTTACATTTGCACTCGGTGTTTCTGTTTAATAAGATGATGACGAGCTGTTGTTGATTTTACACTAATCCAAGTTGTTGTATCCATTGATTTTACACTTGTATCCGAGTCTAATCATATATTTGACATGACTGATCCCAATTTTACTCGTATATCCATTCATCATCAATTCATCAGACTCTATGTCAGAGTCATATTCCCCGCCATCTCGATTGAAAACAAAGGGAGTTCCTAGCACATGATCCTCTCTATGACGAGCTCGAATTATCTGCATTAATTACCAAGAAACAACCAAAAATCACCAAGTTAGACTGGCACTGGAGCACAAAAAGTAAAAAAATTGTTGACTGAAAACAAGAAAAATGTATACTCCATATACAGTATATGGAAAGATTAGAGATATTCAATATGAAGAGACATAGCAAGGATATAAATACCAGCGTTAGAGATATTCAAAAGTTAACGACAACCTAGTATGATATATACGATTTGGTTTAATATTTAAATGAGAAAATTACTTAATCTACGAAGGTTTTCTTTGGAGATCTTTCGATTCAGTATTCACTATATAATCTACGTTTTGATAGCCGAAGTTTCCACATCTGAGTCGGAAGTGGTCCAATCGGAATATGAAAACGTCATAACATCAAACGATTACGAACCAAAAGATCCTCCAGCTTCTGTAGGCCGAAACCTGATCAAGAAGGTATATATAGTTTGTCTGAATTAGTTTTCTTTTCTCTCAACTTTGTTAAGTCGGAGTTTAATTAGACATCATGAAGGTTTTATTTTGATCTGTTTGAATTGTTCTCTTGTTATGGGGAAGAAATTTGTGTTGTATGTGTTTGGTAGAAAAATCAAGAAAATCTTTCAATCCATCGTTTCTTTGTTTTGGTAATGATAATACTTATGTGTATACAATTTTGTTGGCAGTAATATGTGATGAAGATTCCAAGAAAGTTGTAAAGAAACCAAGGTATATTTAGTTATCTATGTTCAGTGTAATGCGTTTCTTTTCAATTCTAAATTCACTCAAGGAGTTAATCTGATTTGTTTGATCTGTTTTTTACCAGGATCGAAGATTGAAGGTAGCATGATAATCCATTATAATTTATAATTTGTGTCATACTATTGTGTTCAAAATCGCATAAAACATGTGAAAACAAACTTTAGGTCCAATAATATATGATTATCGTTTAAATACGAACATAAGTTGGACTCTTTCTCAAATATTGAATCTAAACTTTTTTTTTTAAATGGGTTAGGCAGAAATTAATTGGTATAGGCAGAAATTAATCGGTCTAGATGGGGTAAACACTGATATCCCAATTTATTATTGACCCCAGTCACACCCCAATCACATAACATATACAATCGCGTTTTAAAACGAGGATGTTAACAAAATGATTTATTAGACTTTAATTTGTTAATCATACGAAGGATTGTATATTTCATGGGGTTATTATAGCTTTGTATCAGAGTATGACTTTCCGTGGACAAGTAGTAGAAAAAATATTTACGCCATATATGTTTTCTAATTTGGTACTATGTTTCTGCTCCATTTATGCTTCACTTGTGCTGAAATAATTCATATATAAGGTTGATTGTCTTAAAAGCCAAGAGTTCTAAATAATACCAAGCAATCATTCATGATATATAATAATACCAAGCAATCATCATTCATATCCAGGAGATTGATTGTCTTAAAAAGCCAAGAGCTCTAAATGGCACTGTCTAAAAAAAAAACCTAAGAGTTTATGATATCAAGCTAAAGGTGGTTGATTTGTTGTCTTACGCAGCAATATTAGGCAAAACTAAGGAGATGTTTGATTTGTTATGTCTTTTATATCTTTGCACCATACATTTTAGACATCGCATATCAGACTAGGCCGCCAAGTCGTCAACAATAGAAACCTGTTAACAAAACCATTTAACACAAAGTTAACACAGTGTTCAAGATCTCATATATCAAATTTTTATCAGAAAGCAAACTACATAAAAAAAATTTGTGAAGTAAGTACATAGGATGAAGGCATATGAAGTTATATATATACATATAGAGGTAGAGATGGAAATCTATAAGAACTATTATTAATTTTCTGAAAAATCTAAACATTTCAACCATTTGTAAATAACCTTTTTCAAACATATAAAAAATATTTGTAAACATGTCCTCTAATAATTATATGAAATCAAGTGCCGTATGCCATTGTTTCTTATTGAAATGATTAGGCACGTTCCTAACTTATACAACTTAAAATTATGTGATGAAATTAAATATTAATTGCATCTAGATAACTAAATTAAATGAAATTTTAAAATTTTGATTATGTAATATAACTTGCTTAATCATTAACTAACATGTAGCTACTTGTTGGGCTTGTGCTGAGAGCGGTGGAAGCTCTTTACAACATTGCTCTCGGACATATGCAACCACTGTTTGCTATCAGTCCAACAGGTGAACAACATCAATTTTGATGTTAAGGATGAAATAAGCAACACCAAAAAGCATTTGCCTACATTAAAAAAATAGAGTTTGTTCAACAAGTCAATGTGGACAACTAAACTATTGATTTTCTCAGTTTTCATATTTTTTATGTGTTCAGTCCAACTAAGTCAATGTGCTGAACATAGATGCAACATCAATTTGTAGGTTCAGCCAACTAAGTCAATGTGCTGAACATAGATGCAACATCAATTTGTAGGTTTACTTATACAACATCGATGGCTTCATGTCGATTACGGAGGTCAATAATGTTGAACTTCAAGCTGAGAAAAGCCTATGTCAAAACTGAATCACTCAAATGTTTTATCTTTAACAAACAAACAAGAAAAATACCAAAGTTAAAAAAAATATCTTTTACCATTTAACACGAAGTTAGCACAATGTTCAAGATCTCATTTATCATCTTTTTGATCGGAAAGCAAACTACATAAGAAAAGTTTGTGAAGTACATAGGATGAAGGCATATGAATTTATACATACATATAGAGATAGAGATGTAAATCGATAAGAACTATTATTAATTTTCTGAAAAAGCTAATTTGAAAAAGACAATTGCTAACTAGACAAACACTCCAACTACTTAAACATTACAAAAGTAGGCAACTATTTTCTGGTTTCAGGCTCAAAATCTGAAATATCATACTTTATATTTGGTATATACCCTTGATTAATTGAGTATAATCTGATATTACAAGTGTTAATTGACCGTGTTTGAGGCTCGAATCATTTCATAATTCATAGATCAATGCAATCTGTATTTAGTAATTACATATAACATTTACCACCCCGTGAATTTACTCTTACAAGACATTAAAAGCTTTAAATACTGAGCATCTGATTTCATCTATTGGCAGTATAACACCTTTTATCTTGAAAACCGAATAAGAATCAGTTTTTGCCAGTGTTGAAGCTCGACAAGAACTCGAAAATCTTGGAAGATATGTTCACGGAATTTCTAGTTACACTCGGATTATCTCTAACATCGCTCTTATTTACACTCTCTGCGGGATCACTTGTGCGTCTTTCAACTTGCGCAGATTCGAATTCTGCAGCGAGTTTCATTGCAGAGTTTAGAGAACTTCGAATGTGTGAGTTATGCGTTGTCTTGAGACTTCTACTACTTTCTGGTTCCTGAGGCTCTTGATTCAGAGTTTTGCGCTCTTCTGATGCAGATGATAGCAGACTGATTCCTCTTGGAGGCCCCAGAGGAAGAAAGCTTCTCTGTTGTGACTGCTTCAAGCTCGGATCATCAGAGCCCTGTGTGTTTTGCTTGGCACCCTCTTGTGAGATTTTGTCCAAAGAGAGAAAACTCATACCCTTTGGAGCAACGGATGGTTTTCTCAGAGAAGGAATCTGTGGAGGCGTTACGTGTTCATTGATCTTGGAAGATGATGCATCACATGAGTTTCTTTGGTTAGACCGACTCGGCGGCTTCAAAAACGCAGATGGGCTTGAAACTCTTGCTTGGATCGTCGGTAATTTAGCTATGGCCTCTCTCACCGATTGTTTACTTGATTTCTGAGCCGATAAAGACGCTGCAGCTATGTTAGTTGACGAGTCTGAAGCCGACTGTGGAGGACCCTGTAAAGTGAAAATTGGTGAAATTAGGATCAAATATATAATTAGACTCGTGAAGAAGCATCCCGAAAAGATCAAGATTGTTTTCTTTTACCTTGTGAGAAAACAAACAATTATCACCCCTGTGGCAGACACCTTTGGTAATGAAATTATTGCAAGGGTACTTGGAGAGGTCATGGTCGTATGGACAATCATCTCCTTTCATACATGACTGTGTTGCAAAGTAGCAGCAAGGCTGAAAACAACAAAAAGACATTTGAGTATGAATCTATGATTTATAAAGAGAGACCAGGAGAGAAGTATATGTTTTGAAACAGTAAATCATACCGAAGATTTGGTTTCCGGAGTTATATCGTGTGAGAATTTGCATTTTTCTCCCTGCAAAACAAGTAAAACATCAGCAACAATATTTTAGATTTTTTTTTGCAAAGAATCTTTGTAGAATCCAGAGCCATTGTGTGCATACCTCATGGCACCGTCCTTTGAGATAATGTCGACAGTATTGTATAGGTTTTGGTCTCGGAGCTTCTGTTTTCAGTTTCAGCTTTTTCACGCCAAGTGATATACGCTCTTGAGCTCTTTTCTTCCGAGCTTTTGCCTGCATCAAAAATAGCTCATTACTAATAAGCAAACATTTTATCCCACACACAAAAAAACTGATTGCAAGATGTGTTACCTTCTTTCTAGCTTTTGCTTCCTTAGAAGGCGCAGACCTTTTCTTTATGCTAGTTTCAGAAACCATCTGCAGATGCAAAAGTAAACACACAAGTCAGATTTTGTAAACGCCAGATAAGAGAGAGACCATAACATTTCATTTTTTTATTTTTAATTCCGAATACCTTTTCTTGGTTTTTGGAAGTTTGATCTTTCTCCTTTACTCCATTTTCTACTTTCAATACGTCAACACCAAAAAAGAGACTAGAATGAGAACTCTTACTAGTCCCTTCTCCTCTTTTATCAGCTACATCTTGTGAGACACGAGACTCCTCATGACTTTTGACTGGTAAATCTTCTTCTTCTTCTATTAGCATATTATCATTATCATCCCCAGATATCTCTCCTTCTTCCACATCGTCATCTTCAACCATCTGAGAAACAGAAGCTGCCAAGACCTGACTACTACTAACAGGTTTCTCCAATTCCATCTCTCTAGCAAGTATTCCACTATAAATTCCATCGTGATTTTCATTAGATTCAACTAATTTGGGAACTTCAGAAACCTTCTCATCACATTCTACTGAATCTACTTGAAGCTCCGTAGTTACAATACTAGGCTTATCTGCGACAGTTTGAGCAAGATCAAATGCTTGTTTTGCTATACCATCATCAACATAGTCATTCACATCCAATGCCTCAAAGAGATTCACACAATTTTCTGGAGCTAATAAGTCTTCACTTTCATTCATCATAAGCTCAAATTCATCGAAGAAATCTTTGTGCTGACTACTAACAGATGCATCTTGCAAGTCGATTCCGTCAAAAACATCTCCAAGCATCAGACTTTTTTCCAGTGACATCATTTCCACGTTCTCAGCTCGCGACTCACCATTCCCTCCGTCGGATTTTGGTTCCAGGATCGATGAATTCTCCGGTGGCTTTTCATCGGCGCATACTTCTCCAGGCTCGGAATTTTCTCCCGGAGACACTTGAGCAATATCTTTTTCAGAAAACACAAAAGCATCAGAAACAGAATTCTTCTATTCTAAATTGAGATTAGAGTAACAGTTTTTTGGCAAATCATCATACACAAATTCGAAATTGTAAAACTCAAATCAACAAAAAGAAGTTTGAATTTCAATCCTAATCAAGCACACTAAAAGAGCTTCAATTCTACTCGAACTAACCTGTTGTTAAGACGAGCTCCTGAAGAACAGCCGGCGTGGCAAGAGAAATTTGGTTCTCCCGATCGAAACTCGAGCAGAGGTGCTGAAGCAAAGAGCGATAAGTCCGAGTCGGCCGATGCGAGCGTCGGTGAGGAAGCGGAGCGATGGAAGATTCCATTGTCGCCGCCGTACAACAATCCCAATCAGTGCCGATACGATTACCTTCGTCTCGCCGTCGCCGGGGAAAGGCCCGCCTTGTGGCGGTGGACCGATTTATAAATCCTCTCGTATATGAAAACACCGTCTTCAATATTTAACGGCGCCGTGAAAACTTCTTAAATAAATAAAAGACGGTCGTTAAAGCGGACGTCTCAAACGTCGTCGTTTAAGGACCCGATTCCGTCGAAAAAACCCTGAACCCTAGTCTAATCTTATCGATCTCAAATTTCGAATCAAAATTGAAGCTCAGTCTCTCTCTCTCGAATTGGTCGGCTTTGATCATTTTGCATTTTCGCCAACGGAAGAGAAACATGGTTGTACGGCTCCGATTATCGAGGCTCGGATGCAAAAACCGACCATTTTTTCGGGTTATGGCCGCTGATAGCAGATCCCCAAGAGACGGGAAGCATCTCGAGGTCTTAGGCTACTTCAATCCTTTGCCAGGTGATAAATTAGAAAGTGTATTCTGTGTTTTGGAGTTCATTTTTGTTCGATTGCTCTCTTCGTTGGTTTTTTAAACGATCTCGGTGTTTCGGGTTGTGTGCAGGCCAGGACGGTGGTAAGAGAATGGGTCTCAAGTTTGATCGAATCAAGTATGTTCCTCTGATCTGTTCTTTAGTTTCTGGAACATTTTGATAATTCCTTACGTTTTCCGATAATTCCATGAGCATTTTAGTTGAATTTGCTCTGAAAGAGGTCTAGATTAAGTATAGGATAGCTGTTAGTGTCTGGAAATTTCCCTTTTTCGCATTTGAATTTGTGAATGGTGTTGGATGTTTTGGTTTAGGCCATTGTTATAAGGAAGCACTCTTAGTTTTAATCATTTGTGAGTGGAGCTAGAAAAACAAAGGCTACTTTATACGGAAGCAGATAATTACATTTTAGTTTTGTGAAAGAAGGTCTGTGTTCAAACTAGAGGAGCAATGCGCTCTAAAGATCTTGTTTCTCGAAGTTGTCTTCTACTTACTTGACCCACTGTTTTGAAGTTCTGGGTTTCTGCATTTGAAGTGTTTTGGTTGACTGAAGGCTAAATGGGTTTATGAAGGTAGTGGCTCTAGATATTTGTCAGGTTTCTTAGCTGCCTCTAGAAATCATAATACACTGTTTCATAGTCAGCATAGTACATTGTTGTAGTTAACTGTCTTTCGATCTAACACAAAGGAGCTGAGTTCAGTCTTGAATGGTTTCTTACTGTCGAAAGGTTAATGTACATGTTTCCCATGGTTGGTTTGGATCATTTTCTTTGTTGTCATGCTAGGTAACCGTTAGTTGAAAAAATGTTACACCTCATTAAGTTCTAAACAGTTAGTAATGTAAGGGGGATAAAACTCAAATCTTTGTGGAAATTCATGAATTACTTTTTGATATATAACAAATGAAACTCCTCCACCAGTCTTGAGTCTTTCTGTGGAACTTCTGCTCTGAGTTTTGCAATTACGCCCTGTTACTGTTAGTTGAAGAACCTGTTGGTTTTCTATTTGTATGCATACTCACATTTTCCTGAACATCCAACCTATATAACCTCTTTTGCATAAGTCGGTGGTCATGTAGCTTTAGAATCATATTGTGCTCTTAATGTTTATGACGTCCAGATAGTAGCAGGACAGATGCCAAGATCACCTAGAACCTGGTCATACAATCAAAGATTCTTGAATGGATTACTTCAACAAAGGATGCATGTAGTACTTTTTTGATTAATGAACATTTTGCTCGGTTTGCTTTTTTCTGTGCAGGTACTGGTTATCTGTTGGTGCTCAGCCATCAGATCCGGTTCAACGTCTCCTTTTCAGATCCGGTTTACTTCCTCCTCCTCCAATGGTGGCTATGGGACGTAAAGGTGGAGAAAGAGAAACTCGCCCGGTTGATCCAATGACAGGTCGCTATCTGGATGCAGAGAAAAAATCGGTTATCGATAACCAGCCTAAGGAAGAAGACAATGCAGAAGAGAAGAGTCCGTAATTTATTATTAGCCTAAGGAAGAAGACGATGCAGAAGACAAGTGTCCGTGGAGTGATCTTGTTAGTCTTTTGTAGCTTCTAAGTTCAGTTTGTTTACTCTGTGTAATGCACATTTCTAGTTTAATCTTCCCTCTTTGCTTCTTTGCAAAATTTATCAACGTTTGGAGATAAACGTCAGGGTGTTTAGCTGTCTTTTGTTGAACCGGCACGCGTTCTGCATTGAGATTAATAAAGGGAATTGAATTTTAACAATTTCTTAATTACATATTCGATGGATATTCAAACTTTATAGCCATATTTTAATTAAATAAAAGCAATGATTTAAAAATCGGACCGGACCGGCCGGTCGGACCGGTTTAACCGGGAACCGGTGTCTGTTTCGGTCCGATTTTAATGAAAAACCGTATTTGTAATTGACCCGGAAAAACCGACGAAAAACCGGCAAAAACCCGGAAACCGGCCGGTTTGATTGAATTAAAAAACCGGGTTTTTTTTTTTTTTGCATTCTTAAAACCTTAACACAGATATTTGTTTATTTGGTAATCTCAATAGTCAATACTCTTTCACCCACGTTTATTTCTTCTTGTCCATTCCAAAGTTGATCGAACAATTTCTATAATATGTGTCTTAGATCGAACTGTTTCTGTTCGAGCTAGAGGTTTTTTTTTGTCTTTCCTACATCTATGATTTTCGTTTTTCTTCCTATAAAATTGAAAGAGATTAAAAAATCAATATTAAATGATAATCTAACTGTGAAAAACACAGAGAATTACATGAACAGAAACGTGAGTAAAGAGAATGGAGCAAGGAAGAGCTAAAAGAGGGAGGAGAGAATGATGAGATGGGCGGCGGCATGAAGAAGCAAAGTAGGGTTTTTTATGACACATGTAATTAAGAATTTCTCTGATTTATGTTTACAGTAAAATATTCACTATTTAATATACACTTAAATATTATTTGCTTATATATATATTTTAATAAATAAAATAAAATATATATTAAAAACCCGGTCGAACCGGTTAGACCAAGTTGACCCATGACCCAAATGTTTTTCCGGTTCGTCTTCCGGTTCGGTTTTAAAAACATTGAATAAAAGTGAAAAAGTAGAAATGAAAATGCCAGCGAGGGAAATTAAAAATGGCAGTTGTTAGGTTTATAAAGGAAGACACGTTTTGCGTTTAGTCGCCACCCAGAAACCCTCGTCTCCTCTTCTTCCTCAATCTCTCCACCACTTTTCAAACCAGAGTCTCCGATTCTCAAATTTTTCAATTTTGATCTTCCAGATTTCTCAGAAATGAGCAACGACAAGGACAATTTCAGCGTCAGCGATCTCACTGCTGGTAATTTATCTATCCGATTTGTTCCGTCTCTTAGTTTCTGCCGCTTTGCTTCTTCTTAGTCAAAGTTTTCTCAGTCGAGATTTGCTAAGCTCTAGATTTCCGCTTATTTATTTTGATTTTTTTTTGTTAGCAGCTCTTAAACATGAGGATCGAGCAGACCTTGTTAACGCTCTTAAGGTGCGTTTCTATCTGTTCTCTGGATTTTTTTTTGTTCTTTCTGTATCGCGATATACTTGAAGGAATGTGCGATTTGGGGGATTCGATTGCATTTCCGTGTTTAAGAGAATAGATTCGTGCTCTACATTTGAGTTTCCCTGGAGATTTTGGTTGTGATTGTTATATGTTTTGATTCACAGAACAAGCTGCAGAATCTGGCTGGAGAGCATTCTGATGTGCTCGAGAACCTGACTCCTAAAATCAGAAGGCGTGTTGAGGTCTTGCGGGAGATTCAGGTTAGGAACAATTCCATTCACATTTTATGACTTCTTATGTTTATGATGTTGCTTACCGTTTACACGTATAAGCTATTGTTTAATGGATTTGTGTAGATTGATATGATATCTTGCGAATATGATCTTGAATGTATATATTTGATATTTGTACGTTTTTGTTATACGAGAATCTCTTCCTTGCGTGCTCAAGAGTGATGAATGTCGAATTTTGTTAAAGTGATGTGCTCTTTTTTTTTTTTTAATTAATTGAGAATCCTTTTGTTCTTTTAGGGCAAACACGATGAAATAGAGGCAAAATTCCGCGAGGAGAGAGCTGCACTTGAAGCCAAGTATCAAAAGTTATATCAGCCTTTATATACCAAGGTAATTGGTAGTTAGAATATCCTTTGAAATTTTCTTCTAATTACTCTATCCAAATCAGAAACCATTTATCAAAACAGATGAAAATTGTTGAAGACTTGTATCTGTGTTATACTGCATTTTCTTTATTTGAAACTTGCTTGACACCTGGAATGTGCAGCGTTGTGACATTGTCAATGGAACTACCGAAGTTGAAGGAGTTCCAGAGGATACTAAGATGGACCAAGGAGATGAGAAAGCTGCAGAAGGTATTATCTCTCCATCTCTCTCTTTACCTTTGTAAATTGTAATCATTCTTGAAAAGAAAACAGTGTACTTATTTCACCGTGTTGGATTGCAGAGAAAGGAGTCCCTAGTTTCTGGCTGACCGCACTGAAAAACAATGATGTTATATCTGAGGAGGTTAGTGTTACAGCTACGGTTGTTCATTTGGAGTTAATCCATCCATCACCATGGGAAATGACTATAATCTTAATTTCCTTTTAATATTTAGGTCACAGAGCGTGATGAAGGAGCCCTCATGTATCTTAAAGATATTAAGTGGTGCAAGATTGAGGAACCAAAGGGTTTCAAACTTGAGTTTTTCTTCGACCAGAATCCTTACTTTAAAAACACCCTGTTAACGAAAGCATATCACATGATTGATGAAGATGAGCCTCTGCTTGAGAAGGCTATCGGGTAATTGTTGATTCTCTCTTGTATTGTTCATTTCTCACTTGCTTGCAAGGAGCTGTATAATCTTTGTTTTGACCTCTGCTCCAACTCGGGTTCTGTTTCTTTGTTCTTTCTCTCAGGACAGAGATTGATTGGTATCCTGGAAAATGCTTAACCCAGAAGATTCTCAAGAAGAAGCCTAAGAAAGGTGCGAAGAATGCCAAGCCAATCACTAAAACTGAAGATTGTGAAAGCTTCTTCAACTTCTTCAATCCTCCCCAAGTTCCTGATGATGACGAAGACATTGACGAGGACAGAGTACGATACCTTTTGATTTCATGCCATGCTCCATTTTGACTATGTTTACTTAAACTTTGTACTAACGTTATCTGTTCTTGGTGCAGGCTGAGGAACTTCAGAATCTGATGGAACAAGATTATGACATTGGGTTCGTTTTCTTCTGAACATAAACTCTGTCAGGTCTATACATTTATGGAAGCTCTAGCTACATTTTTTTTAATATCTGATTCAAGTATGTCTTGCTTCCTGCAGCTCTACAATCCGGGAGAAGATTATACCTCATGCTGTCTCATGGTTTACTGGTGAGGCTATTGAAGGGGAGGAGTTTGACATAGACAATGACGATGAAGATGATATTGATGAGGACGAAGATGAGGATGAAGAAGATGATGATGACGAAGATGAGGAAGATGACGATGACGAAGATGAGGAGGAAGAAGAAGTAAGCAAGACCAAAAAGAAGGTATTTGATTTCCTCTCTTCTTCACTTCTTCCTGTTATGGAATTTACCTTTTCTGAGTTTGGTTACTAATATTTTGAAATCGGTTTAAATGTTTTTTGCAGCCATCAGTCCTACACAAGGTACATAGCCATAGTATTTTTCCGAGTTAAACCTATAGTTTCTCCTAAATAATCAGACACCGTATGAATCATAGAACTGTCATAATCTGTGAATCTTAGAAATTGAAGCTTTGTGGAATCATTCTCATGCGTTTGTATGATAAAGCTTTAGAGTAAATTCTTGAGTGTTATGTTTTTGATGATGAGGTTCTTTTTAAAACTGAAATTACAGAAAGGAGGAAGACCACAGCTTAACGATGGACAACAAGGCGAGAGACCTCCCGAGTGCAAGCAACAGTAAACAAAATTGATAAGGAAGATTCTATAAAAGTACGGTTTTGGGTTTTGAGTGAAGTATCATGGCTTAGTTTTGCTTCCATGTAAGGCAAAATGTTTTGAGGACTGCTCTCATACAAGTTTCGCTGTAGGCAAATGAGTGAGCTCTCATGAGGAGATATTTGGCAAAATGCTCTTTTTGGTGTTTTTTTTATTTTGGTGTGTTCATCAGTATTTGGAATATTATTGTTTTATTACTTTTAAAAATTAAAATTATTGTTTTTTTTTTTTTTTTTGGTCGACATGTTCTCTGTTTTATTTATTATAATATATACGTATTACGTAGTTCCGATTTTACATTTGTTTGAGTATTTTCTGGATTTCGTTAAAAAGAAAAACAAAACACAACATGAATTCCCATAATTTTATGTATTACTTCTTGAAACTTTTGTATGAGACGATTAGAATTCATAACACGTCAAATTCATTACACACCATGCATGACTAATTGCATTGATGAATATCATTGCTAGTTAATAGATCACCTAAACGAGCGATTTAGTACTAGGAGACCTGGGACTCAATAATACACGAAAGGGACTCTTTATTTGTTCTTTTGTAACGACTGAAAGGGACTCTTTATGTATTCAATATGGACCTTTATATGAAAAAGCAATTCTCTAAAGTTGGTTTATTTTGACTCCAAATGAATTGGTATCAGCTAATCTCTACCAGACCACGATTTTTACTGGATTAATGTGGTTAATGTTGTGTGTACTGATTTTTTTACAAAACATAATATTATGTTTCAACGGAATAAATAATATTTTCACAAGAACTGTGAAGATTCTTTTCAACGTTTATATGCATATAAGATATTATTAATGAATAAATTCAACAACACAATTTTTCACACTGCCCACCGTTTAGGTTATCAAACCATTCTCCAAAAAATAAACCAATTGACTAACGACTACAAGTATTTGTCTTGCATTGAAATGTCCAATATTAATTTGTCGCTTTTACAAATCAAATGTGACTAGTCCGTGTTTGGAATAATAGGGCATGTTTCGCGCGAGATAATACAACGACTTAATTGCACTAGAAACAAGTATAAAAAAAGAAAAATGTTTCGATTAATTAACCATAACTCCGTAAAATCATTAGATGTTTGTCAATAGGGTTCAAACTATAGACCAAAAATCCAAAATTCATTTAGTGTATTTTAAAATTTTAACTATGGCATTGGCACGAATTAACCAAAAAGAAAATGAGGCATTTATGTAGGGTTTTATCTATATGTTTGTAATAATAATAGTCTATAAAGTTATGTTCCCTCGCAAGTCACAACCTAACAAAGAAAAGGACTGAAACTACTTAACATGTAAAAAATCAAATCATTTCTTTTGACAAATGTACCTGTAAGTCAAATAATCAAAACAGTGAAAAAGGCTCTCGTGTGCAATTATTCAGCACTTTAATTTGATCTCATTCATGTTCCAACTTTCTTAAAGGAGCTGGTTTTTCTATAAAAAAAAAAGTAGGGCCAAAAAGGTATTCAGTCATAAATATGAGGTATGCATTCAGATTTAACACAAACAATTAAACAAATGACGTCTTTAAAAAAGAAAAATATAATATGATATGATCACTGAGAAGAAACATTGCCCAAAGATTAATCAGCTCGTTTTGTTTTTGAACTACACATGCGTATTCTAAGGCTCTGTTATTTTCATAATTTCCATATTTTAATTGCCGATGTCTTATACTACGATGAAAGATCTATACATAAATTGTGAGTGGATTTATAACGATGCATATATATTGTCAATGCTAGAGATATGCTACTATGATACAATGTTTCAAGACATTTTAGTATTTTACTAAGCTTTTGAGTTTCTCACTTTTTTCCACAAAATTAGATATGCTACTATGATACAATGTTTCAAGACATTTTACTGAGCTTTTGAGTTACTCACTTTTTTCCACAAAAGTAGTCAACATTCTTTTTATCATTAAAGCAACTAGAAGCATATAAATTAACACGTGTTTAAGTGTCTTTTTTTATCTTTAAAGCAACTAGAAGCATATATATTAATACGTGTTTAAGTGTTAATATGATCATTTAAATGCAGAGTATAATATCATAAAAACTGCTAGACAATTCCTCAAAAAAAAAAAAAAAAAAACTGCTAGACAACAGTCTTCGAACTACGTTGTATCTTGGGAATTTCTTTTTATATTTATCCTTCATTTAAAAAAGAATATCAAATTATGTTTCTTATCCATAGTAGTAAAATCGTAGACACGAACTTTTTAAGTTGTTTTAGTAACGTGCATTTTTATCCAAACCATGCATTGTTTATCCAAGCCATGCATGTATCAAGAGAACACTTTTTAAGTTTTATAAATATTGATATTTTGGAAGTTATTAGTTCTCTCACAAACAAATATTAGTTATACTTATACTTTCGTTTTTCGCTAGAAAGTTATACTTATACGTAAAACAACACCTTTTGAACACTTAGTTACAGTATTATATTTTCATAGAAGTGGACAATAAGAGAACATCATTCCATATACGTAATGTGGTTGGATACTTGAGTTAATTTTCTTGAAACATTAAAAGAAATAGATTATCCTTTTACACACAAAAAAAAAAATGAATTAGGATATTTTCATTGAATTTGATACATTATGAATGGTATTGCACAGTTGGCCCCAAAAAAGAAAATTCGCTATTGTACGTCGGAATTAATCATGTTTCTAAAATGGGAAATAATATGAAGACCGTATTTATCGAATTTAAATTTGGTAAGTAACTAGGTAAGTTCCTAAAATGGAATTAATCAATATGTCTTCAGTCTCTTGAAATTTCCTTATCTACAGATGTCCTTATCGTTTGCTTTGATCTCTCCATGTATAGCATAATAAAGTTCAGTCAATTTGGGCGACAAAAGCAAACTAATCTTAGCCACATATATTTAGGAGTTATTTCGTGGCTCAATAAATTTGCATGTTTGAAATTTATTTTATTTTAGCCGGATTACTTGGATGCCATTATATAAAAAAAACAAATTATAACCTGAAGTGGTATAGACGAAGAGTACAATTACTTGACTACCAAGTTATACGACCCTTCAATTATAAATATCCAAAGAAAATTGAACTAATATAACAACTTTCTTTTTAAGGAAAAAAAGAACTACATCAATTTGTTTACCAAAAAGAAAAAGAAGAATTACAACAATTTAATGGGGAGATAAATATTGCATGTTACAAAAATATTCGGTAATAACCATAAAAAAATGGACAAAAACAAACGGTCAAGATTGATTCACGGAATGGCGACGAAAGGCAGAAACAGTCCACGGTAATAACTAATAAGAACAAGAGGAGGACCATCGAAAACGATCGGAGCCGCCACACGCCAGATTAATAAAACAGACTGCCCATATATGATATAATCATCTTAATAAAAAATAACTTGTATGTGGTAGAAGAGGAATAGAAACTATAATTGTGATTATAAAAATATGGTTAGGAAATAATCAAACTTTTTGTCAGTGAGCCAAGTCAGCAACAACTCTTTTGACTGCTTCTTCGAAGGCTGATTCGTCCCATTCACCCTACAAAAAAAAAAATTACAAGACTCGGAACTTTTAACGTTGTTTTTTCTTCTTCTCCAGTGACTAATATACCTTTTAGTCAAAGACCCAACTAGTGGTTATCTACTTATCTTATTAATCATACATAATTGACACTATCAGATAAATTTATGTGGAAGGGAAATATTTGACCTTTACAAAAAAATGAATTTTTATCACATAATAATCCACCTAACAAAACTATCTAACCAATCAAATGCAATTCCATGAATAAATCCCATAAAAAATTAAATAAAGTTGTAGGAAATGTATAGGACCTCCTTTTGATAATTTTCATGTAAACTATCACATACTATGTATGCTATAGCCTTAACTAACTAATATAGTGCTCAAATAATTTACTGACTTTGTGAAATTTTGAAACCAGATTTAAAAAATCAAGATGATGCTTTACCTCAATCTTGAGTCTTAAGGTCACAAGAACGACAAAACTATCTCCATTTTCTCTAGCTGGAGTTCGAGCTTCGATTGATACTAAGCTCACATTGTTGACTTGCTTCAAGAATTCGAGAAGCCTTACCAACAAATCATCAGCCCTAATGCTGTCTCCTCTAAGAACAATTCTTAGATCCAAAATCCTCTCCCTAGATGTTGACTCGAGTATATGACTTATACGAACGTTAAACCTCTCATTGGGTCGTAAATCGGTTTCCATCTCTCTTTCTCCGGCTAGCTTCGCCTCGAGCTCCCGATTTCTCTCTCGAAGTTTCGAAATCTCTCCTTGTAGAGAACTTAGTTTCTCCCTTGCACTCGTTAGGACCGATGCTTTATCTCTCTGTTTAACAAAAATTATCCAAAACATTAATTAGCTTAAAGACATATCATGGTTAAACACTTATAGCATTGAAATATATGTAATCATTTGCAAAAAAATGAGATATATGTATAATCATGAAATTTAAGAAAATGGTCTCTTTTTGACCAAAAAGAAGGAAAATGGTTTCTTTCATAGTGTTTGTGTTTGCACTTACATGTTAAAATATTATAACAATCATGGGCAAAGTGTTTATAATATAAGAATCTTGTCGAATTTTGATGAAATCATAGTATACATAAGATTCTATCACATACCTTAGTTCCCGGAGGAAGGAGAGATCTCAATGCTTGAAAGCTCTCATTAAGCTTCTCTCGCCGTTTCCGCTCTGATATCATATGATGCAACTGCGTTGCGGTTGGCCCACGCCCAACGCCGCCGCTTCCACCGTTTCCAACGCCGCCACCAGTAGCGTTTTCTCTAGCAAAACGCTCTCTCCGGTAAATGTTAAGCCTATTGTAAAACGAAATCGCTCTTTTCATCATACTTTGCTTCCGTAAATTCAGCGGCGGCGCTCTAACGCTCCCACCACCGCCGCTAATCACGCAGTAGTATCTCTTAAAAGCGGTGGCGTTTCCTTTTCGCTGCGGCGAGGAAGAAGTTGACGGAGGACTTGACGCCGCCGTTAAAACGGCTAAGATAGCTTGCGTCATTACTTCTTCCTCACGTACACTGTTCCGGAACAAAGACTGATCTTGTTGTTGTGGATGGATCATGTTGCTCGCTGTTGCTGTCGTGATCGGAGCTAGCAGTGGATGTAACGGAGCGTTAACATCGTCAGTCGTCGTTGATGGTTTAGGGACGAGTGGGAACAAGAGAGAGGAATATTCGGAAACGTTTTGGGAGCTGTCTAGTGATCTTATCGAAGAAGATGATGAAGACGGAGGAGGAGGTGGCCGGAGATAGTCGGAGTTGACCGGAGAAGACTTTCTATTGAAGTCTTCAGGGAACCATTCGCGAAGACTTGCTTCTAGTTTCATCTGTCGTTGGGTCAATTAATGTACATTAATACATGTACATATATAGACAAAGACATAAATATAAATATCTCTCTAGTTATAAAATATAAATGCTTATTATTTTATCAAGATACGTATCACGGTCAATTCATACATTTTTTGCATCATACGTCATGCCAAGTTCGATCTCTCCGCTCCGGCAACCCATGAATATCACCGTCTGATCACAGCACACACACAATATTATATATTTGTATATATGTATTGCATTTGGGAAAATTGTGAAAATTAGATAATGTACCTGAATCCTGGCTTCCTGCGATAGTTTATGAACGGAGATGAAGAATTGATTATTAGTAAATATCCCTTCATATAATCAACGGATAAAAAAATGAAACAAAATGGTATTAGTATAAATAATATATTGATAACCTGGTAGAAGAGACGTTGTGCGTCATTATAAGCAAGTCTTTGAATATCGTGTGGTCGAATCGCTAAGTATGGGAGATTATTCATGAACGCCATGCTTGGTATATGTCTTCATTGACAAATCAAAAGATTCCGATTTATAAAATAATGCTAGCATCTACGAGTTGATTATAAAATAATGCTCGAACATTTCATTTGTACGTAGTACATGTAACGGCAAGCAATTATGAGTTGGTTAGAAAATAATGCTACCCATTTTGGAGAGGGATGATTGATTGGCAATACTCATGGAACAAGCTTCTAGCTAAACTTCCCGTAGAAGTAGAAGGGTCTTGAGAAACTTCATTGTAATATCCATCCAATGATGTCAAATAGCTGCAGCTCAAAATAAAATTCATCATGTCATAAAAAGAAACAACAAGATACGTTACAGAGATATATGAAGCATTGAAGTCATATGTGTAAATGTAAAGATCGAGAATGAGAATGATATGGCTATTACTTAGAGGGTCGAGGGAAATAATAGGACCAGAGACAGACGTAAACGCCTCCGAAAGACTGAGCTAGCGAGCCAATAAACTGTTTCCGGGTATTTGGATCATCAGCTGAGAAGATTGCGTCCATGTAAGAGGATCACACGTGTAACTTTCTCCCAACACAATAGAAGATTATGAGAATTGACGATGAAGAAGAAGAAAGATAAATAATTAGAGCTTCGTTGCTTAGTTTCTGTGATAACCAGTGAGACAGAAAGAGAGAGCGAAATGGAGGGAGGGAAAATTATTCGTTCGGTTTTTGTTTCTTTATTTGAAAAATATTAAAGTGGGGAAAAGTAGAGAGAATAATCAGCCAAAGAAGAGAGATATAGATTTCAGAGAAAAAAAGAGTCAAAGTCGTATGGTACAAAGTTTTGAACATGGTCAAGAGAGGATGGCAAACTGATTATTTTTTGTGTTTATTATCAACCTATCAAATAATATTGCTATTAAAGCTTCCCAAATATAATGTTGCTTTATTAAATAATTTTGTGGGGGTTGAATTGTAATTTCGTTTTGGTCCCTCTTAAAGTTACTAAATTTTCATTAGTTTGCTGTTTTCACCAAGATTTTACATTTTAAACTTATAATATAGTGAACAAAATAATTTTTCTGAGATAAAAAAAAATTGAATTTCTGCTAATATTTTTGATAACTTATTTGTTGAGATAGTACTTATGTGATAGTTACCAAGATTTTTGTTTTCCTTCTTAATCAAGGCATCATGAATATATTCATGTCAACAAGATTGACAAAAAGCGACGTCTCGGGGTATCTTTAATTCTTTATACGTACTAATAAATTATCAAAGGCCATTAAAATGAAAAAGATCGTCAGAGTTCAATAAATATTTGTCGATTGTTGAAGAATCTTTACTATTACCACAATAAGTATAATCATGTGATTTTTATTAAGTCCATTTACCATTCTCTTGCCTTTGCTGCAAAGATTAATTTTATGAATATTTAAATAATAGTATAATTTTATGTCTCCTTCCCAGAATATACAATCCTACCTAATAAAAATCCACAAGCTTCTAGAACTCACACCCAACTGTTTTCTAACTAAATTATGACACATTTTGAAATACAAAATGTTTCATTTTTTGGAGAAATTCAATCTATGTCCTAAACCTAAAATTCTGAGAATTTTCCTTAACGAGTGAATAATTAAATGCATGGCTCGTTCACATTACTGCGAGACTTCATCTCAGCATATGGACTTTGACACACCAATATGAACCAATGGTGATACTTTTTTCTTTCTTTTTTGGCTTTAAGGCTTATGATACCTTTTTGGGCTAAGTAAATACATATATCGAAATTTAATTGCTTACTCAACGCGTGGTCTAAATCTAACTGACATTTCCTCTATAGGAAATATTTATCACGATAACTTTGGAAAACAATTCTTTTTTTTTTCATTATTCTGGACTTGCATGTAATTCTACGTACTGATCATCAACCAACTGATTAAATATATTGTGTTAAACGTAAAAATGACATCACAGGTTAGATATATTGTGAGACATTACTTTTCTAAAAGCCTTTTTTGGAACATTCAACATATTGATATAATCTCTTTAAAATTATATGTAAGAAACTGTACGGCAATATATAAAAATATAAGTTGTTTTGTTTTAATTCTCAGTAGATCCAAAACGTTGGACATATTGAGAATTGCCAGCTATTTGACTTTGACTCAAGGTCCTCTGCTATCTTTCGTTTTGCATCCTGATAGTGATAAGTGATAACGACGACCGCGTGTCGTTATTATTCGACACACAACTTGACGTTTGATATTTGGGCCAAATATTAGAGGCCCATAGACCAGCATTTCCAACTAGCCTTTTGTGAAAAGAAAGTTTATCCGTTTGTATTATTTATATTTTTTGGCCTTCTCTTTTGGTTAGATTTTAGAATCGACATATCCCACGTTTAGTTATACATTTTACTTCGAGATCAACACGATTTCCGTTTAATAAGTCTTAGAAATTTACAATAGCTTGCATTGCATATGTATATGTATATTCAAAAATTTCAACATTACTGTATACGATATTCCTTCCTTTTTTTAACAGCTTGTTTTACACATTTTTAAGAACTTTTGATTTGGTAAAGGAATTGTTTTCATATTTTTTTTTTATAAATCTATCACAATACCAAATCTAGTCTCGGTCTTTTAAATTAAGTCATCAATGTAATTAGAAAATACATTCTACTACAATTTGCCGGCCTCGTAAACTAATATGAAACCTAAAACATTAGCGCATTTTCCAGTTATGATTTTCATAAATATATTTATTTTTTATATAAAAAAGGATACTTGTATTATAAAACTTGGGATGGTATTTAAACGAATAAAAATGATAAGATATGGTTGGGAATCTCATGATTATATTCTTTAGTAATGATGCAATGAGATTTTGCATTACAAATATTTAGATAGCATCATATTATATAGTTTATATTTTCTATTTATATATACAATACATTATATAATTATACTATATAAATATTCGGTACTATGAAAAATATCAAAAATAGGTTGGAGATTCCTTCGGATCACAAAGCTTACGGCTGCAGCTTTCATCATATGCTTTCCACTTTTCACAAGTTTTTGTCGTTTTCTTGATTTACTTAATAAGTTAATCACAATCCCTTCTTACAAAAAGAAATAAAAAAATTAGTTGAATAGTTTGTATACAAATCAATATTGTATTATACAATGTAACTATATATGTAAGGACTGTTATACTTTGATTAATCAAAATTTTAACTGGTTTAGGAATCATATTACCAAGGCGGATGTAAGAATATGCAAATCAGCGCTTGGTTTTATAATTTGTTTCGGTTAGCTTCCGAAGCTTCGATATATCATAAATGGGGAGAGAGCAAAACGGTCGAAAACCTTATCAGTAATCTAAAACACCTAATCAGCTTGCACAATCTATTGATAAAGTGAATATCTCGTGTCGTTCTCACATAGCCGAACAAATGATGAGTTGCTTAAACTGTTGGATTAGCACTAGTTGCATGTCACTGGATGACTTCCTCTACCATTCATCTTGATCTTACACACGTCTTCAGTCTTCTTAATGATTTGATGTATTTTTTCCAATTCGTTTGTTTATATTACCATGTAAATAACATTTTTGGTCTAGTAAATTTTGTTTAAAGAGAAAAAAAAAACGATTAGTCGAGCTAAGAGATGTCGTAAAGAATGTAATTACTAGAATTATCCTTCTTGATCTATTACGTAGATATGGATTACTATTACTGTTAACATAAAAAAGTCGAGAAAACTAGAAAAGTATAAACATCAGATTCAGAAGCAAAATAATGAAAATGGAAATGGAAAAAAAGGTTCCTAGAACAGAAACGGAAAGATGAAAAATAATCGATTATAATCCAACGAAATATACGTGGAATTCGTTCGACCAAGATCTCCAAAGTCCAAAGTACACTAAGAATATATTAAAAATTAAGCCGAAAAATAAAAACAGAAAGGAGGCAAGAAGTGTGGATGTCTCCTGCTTTCCCGCAGACTGTAACAAAAAGTGTTGGAGACATTTCTCAGACATAATTATATATTATTCGTTTAATTAAATGTATAATATATTAATATGTATGTTAAAAAAGATAGGTTTCACATTTAGACTTAACTTTCGAATCTGATGATCATGTTCTTCACTTTCCTATCAATTTCCACTTTTTTACTATCATTATGCTTTTATTTTTTAACCAAAAAATTTCCACCAAAATATAGATTAATCTTTTATAATTCTTTCACGTTATAGTATATTTTTTCTTCACTGTATATATATTTCTGTCAAAAAATTAATATAGCAATAAGAATCAACGAAAAAGCATGGCCAAAGTGCCAAACACAGAGACAGTATTAATAAGTAAGGATAACATATATACACAAAGTGAGAGCGATCGACTAGCAATGAATAAATTATCGTCTAAATCAAGTTTAATTATTGAAATATATTTTGTCCCGGAGATAAAATCATTTTCGGATCATATCTATATTTTCTCTCTACAAAAGTATTCCACCTCGGACCAAAATGTGTAACCCAACCTTCTTGTGATGAATAATACGGAAGATATTGAACAACCCCCATTTTCTCATCTTCAAAAAACTTTAGTATTTCCATATTTTCATTTTCATAATCCTCCCAATTGTCAAAATCCGCCGATCGTAAAAACCCTACTGCATAAAACACATCTTCTTCGGGTATAGCAGTCGACATCCGATCATTCCACCTACGCAAAAGAAAACCCCGCCAAAATTAGTTACAAAAACATTTCGGTTTAACTAGATAATAAATTGTTAAATCGACTATAACTTTTTTTTTTTGTTTTGTTAAAGAATCGACTATAACTTACTTGTTGCGATTCATGGGATAAACAAGAACCGGCCCGGAGGTGATGTTATTTCTAAGGATGATACCCTTAAAAATGCCGTAATCAAACTTTGAAATCTGAGATTTTGGTACAAAAAGGTTAAGCCATGGATGTGGAACGTCCCATTGGCCTTTGGATTTCAATTTTAGCTCTCCGGTACGAACCCGGTTTAAGAAACCCGTATATGTCACATCTTTCTCGTACATAAACCCTCTTACATAGTTTAAACTCTCGCTTAACTCATCCATTTCCTGCATAATTTACATAGTTGAATAAGTCAATAAACATTTAATAATGAAAGAGTTGTTTAGTTATGAGTGAAGATCCTAATTATACTTGTATGATTGTCCGGACCTCGTTGACCGTGTGTTGAGAAGTTTCGTCGTAATACTTGACGACTTCGAGACAGTAGATGACACGGTGTCGTTTGACCAGTGAGACGATCCTCAAATGATCGGACGGTGGATAATAAGTGGATCTCCAGTTATCAGGTGGGCCATGGTCAAGCATAACGGAACCTTCCAAGAAATCTAGACCGTCCGTTTGTGATATCAACCGTTCTTGATCTCTTGTGAATTCGGAGAAATCGGTGTATAGAAACCTTAGCCACTTAGCCTGAAAATTTCCAAACACACGTATACATTTTCAATCATAAATTTAAGTTCTTTAGCTATATATCATTGCATAATCTACAATTTAACATACCCTTTTTGGAGCTAATTGGACTCTGATTCTGGCTCTTGTTATGATTCCGAATTGACCCAAGCCTCCTAACACAGCGAAGAAGAGATCCGAGTTTTTGTCTTTGGAACAAGTTGCAATCTCTCCTTTTCCTATTAACATAATTTTTTTGACCAAATTAGGAAAGCTTAGTCTTATAGATTATAATGTAGACCCATTTCGTAGATTTCAATAAATTTTGGACCGTTATACAGGTATATCATAATATGTACAACAATGGAAATATCGTTGTTCTGAGCCTAAAGTAGTAAAGTCGGTCTTCATTAAATAATGTTATCTCTTAACTCTTAACTAAACTATACAAGAAAGTTTTCGTAAACTAACTACATGACTTGAGACCAACAGTGTATGAAATGTAATGTGTGCATATGTGAACATAGTGGGTACAGCAAAAATAAGGAAATTGACTGTTACTTAAATCCATTACACCTGGTTAGGACCAAACGTTATGAACTTTCGAGTTTTTGTCCTTATACCACAAGGAAACCTCGTGATAAATCATGCGTGTGGGACCATTTTTGGTTGATTTTATTTTTGTTTTGTGTTTTGTATCCAGGTTTTATGAACAGTTACATAACATATGATCATCATGTAAATTTCTCAGAAGTCAATATAGATTCTACTTCGTAATATGTAAGAAACTACAATTTATAAAAGATTTTAGTTAGTTAAATTAAATGTGCAATAGATATCGCGTTAAGAAAATCGAAAAAAAAAAAAAAAAAAGAATCATAGTTTTAGTTGTGCTTCAAGACAAAAAAGAATTACTATACTTACACATATACTACCAAATTTGGTTTTATCACGATTTAAATGATGACATATTTCTTGCTTTAACGTAACCGTTATATTCATTTTCTTTTGTTCCTTCTCCAAAAATTAATGATGATATATATCGCTAAAACAGCAACAATGGTAAATCTTTTTTTTTCTCTGTCTAAATCTTCTGTTGTTAAATCGAACTTTGCATTAACATGTGCATGTGTTTCTTTTCCAAATGAAATGAAATAGCCTTATTACAGCCACCTATTTTCTACTTAGTAATTCTTCTCTCTAATCTTAGATTCAAAAAATGATGTAATTAGATAGATGTGGGAAAAAAAAGAAAATCTAGCAACAAGTTGGAGAGATAAATAAAAGAGAGACAAACAATACAAACAAAGCAAGAGCATAACCAAAAGTGACCGCGCAGATCTAAAAGAAAAGACGAAAAACGTACGAAGTTATAATCATTATTATTGCATATATATTTATACTATACGTAAAAAAACAAAAATCATGGTACGTACCAGTAATAACATCCATCTCTAGAACATTTGTGATCTGTGGACCGTGCCGAAACGTTTGTCCACTAATTCCACCGTTAGATAACGTTCCGCCCACCGTTAAATACAGATAGTCCGTCCAAGAAACCGGCGTCAGCCCTAACTCCAACGTTTTATTCAACACTTCGATCCATAGCCACGAAGAGTCCACGTCAGCAAACAAACCAGTCCGAGACACCTTGATGCCCTTATCCAGGTTTACCATTGACCGCATGTTGACCACAACTCCGTCTTTAGCCGTGGCTTGGCCACGGAGGCTGTGTCCATGGCCACGAGCGGCTAAAGTAAAAGAGGATTGAGAGTCAAAAGAGAGTTTTATGAGATCGGAGATGTCTTCGACGGAGGAGGGGTTTAAGACGGCGGAAGGGAAGATTTTGGTGACGTGGCCGAAATCGGTGGCGGCTGATTCGACGGAGGAGGAGGCGGTGGTGAGTTTCCCGGCGAAGTTGTCTTGGGAAAGGATATCCCATGGTTGTGATGTGTTGGTAGTGATCGGAGTTAAAAGAGTTGTGATGAGGATCAATACTGTTATCACTCTATGAATTTGAGTTGGAAAATTAGAACTCGCCATCTTTTTTTTTCCTGAGAGATAAATGTTTTTTTTGTTGTAATGAACACTTATAAATTGATTCTATCTATGAAGACTAGTATATGTATATTTATAGCCACGCATAGAGACACTCAGACACATGTATTGTACTGGTTTTTGAATTTAGTTTGTCTAACGTCTTTTTTTAGATAATTATTAAAGATTAGAGAGCAAGTATTTTCTATGTTAGCTGATATAATTATGTATTTATAAGTTATATACGTAGTAAATGGAATAAAACATTCAGTATGTTAATTATTTAGAAAGAAAGTCCACAATGTCACGTGAGAATCTTAGAAAACCACTGGTTTCAACTTTCAATTGACAATAGGTATGAGCTTCGTAATCACGCATGATGTCGAAGGCTAGTCAAATGGTTTTGCAAAAATATTCCACAGTCCATTTTGTACATTACTACATAGCCTATATTGATAGTTCTGTAGAAATTTCATATATGAGACAAAAAACCACGAAAGTTCGCATTCACATCTCAAAATTAAAATGTACTTTCTTTTTATAATCTGGTACTCATGCAAATTGGATGCAGTGAGCAGAAATCTAGATTTAGGTTGCACAAGGGAAATAGAGTATTCGAATGTATATACATGTCTATAAAAAATTAATCGCTATTCTCAACCAGACACTAAATTTCCACTAATATTGTAGATGATACTAATTAATTGATTAACTGATAATAATAGATCAAATTAACATAATATTTTAATGTGTCATCATCACCGCCACCACCATAATGATCATCATAACCGTGATTAGTTGTAAATAGCAAAAAGAGCTAATAGGCATGTACCATAATCATCATGGGGATTTGAGATTGGCCTCTGATCACCATGTAATATATCTCCCTTCTGATCGGTCACATCTATATTACAACTTGGCTAGTCTTTTTACTTTGTTCTAATTTGGAGATGAGACCTAAAATGCCAAGAAGAGATCTGAATTTCAACTGTAGTTCAAAGATCAAATCCATCATCTTTTGTATCGCAAATCATTGGATCAAACCGGTTAGAATTCCGTCCATCAGCTCAATAAACTTCTATTCTCTTATTGACACAGACCTTAAAATAAAGTACTTATGTAAACAACCAAACACATTTTAAAGTAAAAAATTTTAGTCAAGTAGTAGTGGACTAGTGGTTTTCACTTGTTAAATAATTTGCTTGTAAATTAGATAACTGAATCATTTCGTCACTCGAAAATTGTAGGGTTACCCCTTATATTTTTCTAACGTTAACATTATGTTTATTTATGACCCGTTTATCTTCTAGGCCTGGCTTTTACAAATATTATATTGTGATATATATGTCCTTTTTGGAGAATATTTCTCATTAATATCCCTACTAGATGATGTTTCGTTGTCACAAATAGGTCATGATCAAAAGAATCTATAAGATCTTCTTCCCCTGAGGTATGAATAGTTTATAAACTTTGCTTCGCGGCTCTCGAAAAGTGTCGTTTATATAATAAAGTTAACTTTTATCTTTAATTTTCATAAAACAATTGTAGGCTAAACTTCGTAGATTCGTGCTTAATCATTGTGCTGTATATAAACAATAAAAAGCAAGACATGGAATATCCTCAAGATTTCATTCTGTTTGCTTCTTTTGCCACATGTTAACTTGTTGTCGCTACAATTATTTTATTTATTACTTTATGAATGTTTTAATAGTGAATTGAAATATATATCTTTAGTCAGTCTTAAGCTACTTATCACAAGATAAGACGAGTAAAATTATAAATTGGTTGAGCACAATGGGAATTGTAATACTGAATCGTTGAGCACAATGGGAATTAATATGCAATTTGATCTTACATTTTGTTCCTATATGTCATGTTCATTACCCGCACCTCAATTTATTCATTCATTTTAGTAAACATCAGAAAAATCTTATCTTCATTTTTTTTCCTGATTTTATAAGGTAGTTATACAAAATAAAATTAATTAATTATGATAACAATTATGAAAAATAATGAAAAATAAATATGTTTCATAACTGTTATCATCATAACTACTACTACTTCATAATACTAAATTATCTTAAGTTTGAGTTCTCTATAAAAGACTAAAAGTAACTACACTGCGTCGAAACAATAACAGATATATTGATTATCCAACAAATAAGTCTATGTCCAACCACATTTGATATTTATAAAACTAAAAACAAACTTGACAAAGAACTAAAAAATTATGAAAAGAACATATTTTTTTTTAAAGAACAATTATTTTCTCTTTCCACATCTTTTTTTGCTGAGCAAATAGTTAATTGTATTGATTAAAAGTGTATGAACAAGAATGATAGAAAGAAATACTCCTTACTTTTGTAAAATTAAGAAGTATATAGCAGCCAGACAGCAAAACCGTGCTAGACGCACGTGTAGACTTGTAGTTGTCACTTTCTTTCTTTTTTTGTTAAGTTCGTGTTGCAAAAATAATTTTATTCACGATGATTTAAGAAATTTATGAACGACGACCATAAACGACAAATGATTTAACTGCGTAATCACTAATATTTTGCAGTTGCTTTTTATGATTAGTTGAATTATATTTAATTTATATATTAATTGATATTTTTTAAAGTAAAATAATTTTCTTAATTCTTATGTCTAAGCTAAAACAGCTTACATTATGGAACATTAAAAGTAATTATTTTCAATTAAAAATGAAATTAATTATGATCATCCTCCAATAAGATGGGCCCGTGACTGAAACCAGCATATGTAGAAGATCTTCTCCTTTTTTTTTTTGTCAGCGACCTTCACTCAAATTTATATTAGTGTGTATGTATCCACGATGCAAAAGAAAGTAAGAAGAAATTCATTAAAATTTTGTGAGCTTTATAGGTTGTAATAATGGAATTAGATTGACGAGAAGAACGAATATAGAGGGAATTAGGGTAATGATTTCAATTCGTGGGCACATTTTGTTAAGTACAGTTTGGGTTGTCTTAAACCTTTATTTGGCCATGCATCATCATGCTCCATATATGTTCCCTTCGTTTATATTATCCATTCATCATTATAAAAGATTCAAGACGCATGTGCGCAGCACCTCAATAAATAAATGTACTTTTGTAAAATTCTGATAAATGGGTTGGCGAAAAAAATGGATTCTCATCGACAGTTGGCAAATGTTATTGCGATCTAAGTAAGTTTTGAGCTTGAAGACTTTAATTTCTTGCGGACGTGTGAAAGCAAATTTGGTTGTCAAACTTTTAGGGTCTAGTACTTGAGAGTAGACTAATGACCATCGTCGAAAAGTCTTAATTAACAATTAATTAAATAATGAGTTTGTGGCTTTTTGCAAGGAAACAATGATTATAAAAAAGAACTAACCAAAAATTTAGTGTTATTACAAAAAGATACATATATGTATTCATTCATGTGCATTAGATACATACTATAGAGTGACTGCACATATAAAGACAATGCATGTCCTTACAATTGTAACATCATTCATTGAGAAAAATTCATATAATTAAGTAGTTAAAAGAATACCTTTGAAATTCAAATTTTGATAATTAGAGTTTAAGCAATGATATGGCTTACGTGGCAGATGAATGGGGTGTACATTAGTGTTGATGGAATCAGAAACATCATGATTTAAGAAAAACACCCTAACTCAAGCTGTTTAAACTTGCCACGTGACTGAACAGTACGACTGTTGTTAACTTGTTAGGTGTTTATTTACCAAACAAAGATGGGGCTATAGTTAAAAAAAAAAAATATGCGGCTTAATTCGCCCTAGAGTATAAAGAGGATTTTCATATAACAATTAACAAGTCATCCCGACAACCACGTTTTCAACATTAACTACAACAAGAAATTATCACAGCCGACCAAAAAATTGACGATTAATACATACAAATAAAAGTATTAGTACGTACCAAAACGTTATACGTATGTCACACCGCTCACACGCATATAATTGTTCATGTTTAGATAGAGATATGTAACTACTAAACGGAGAGTTAAAAATTCAGAGTGATTGGGATGTGTAATAACATCTACAATTTTCAAGTGTGTCTTTTAAAGTCCATGCGAGTTTTTTTTTTCTACTCAAACTTTATACTTTTTACGATTCTATTTGAAAAATAATTATTAAACTTGTAGAGAGACTGTAGAATAATTGTTGGTGTTATAAAATAAAACTACAATCTACTTATCTGGATCATAAGTACTGCTATAACCATCCAAAATTTTATTCGATATCTCATCAAAGTCATTCGCTCTATCTTTTTAACAGTAAGAGCAACAACTGATTTCACAATCCTGGTTTTTCGTTTTCTTTTTTCAAATGATTTCAGAATTTTCAATATACATGCTTTTCAATAACTGAGGCTTCATTAGTATAGACATATTTTGATCTTTGTGCAAATAAATATTTTGATCAAGATACAAAAAAACTAATATATATATATGCATGAGTTTCATGCTAGACGGAGCATATATGTGATCGACATATAACATATTGGTGAAAGTCATTAATTGATTTGGAATTCTTAAACTGGTGATAGTTAATTTATCTTCTTTTTTTTTAGTTTCGAGAAAGCAAAAACTAACTGAGTTGCGAAAGTAACATAATTAAAATGTGATGTGGATGTGGAAATTTAATCCATACGATTTTAATAATTTGGTTTGGTAATAAAAGGAAAAAGGAAAGTGAAAGTGGGGACGAGGGAAATCCATGCAGATCTTCGTAGGGATTTTAAGTATAGTGGACCACTCCTTCGTTGTGTACATTGTTTTCATTGAAATGGTTTATGACATAATATCCGTTTAAAAGTTGAGATATCTATTAACTGATATCATTATATAAGGCAAGATTATATTCAGATTTCTATATTCTTTTTAAAACTATAAACATGAAATGGTCTTCGAACTTCTTGTTATGCTGTATACAAGCTAGGATATGATTTCAATATGTGGATGATAAAAACGAAGGTCATAGCTGGTTGCACAATCCACAATGACAGGCATACAATATGATGGAATGGGATTGTTAGGCGTTTAACAATTTTTGGAATGGTATCAAAATGTCTTTCCAATACAACTTTAATCATATTTGGCGGCCAAGTATTAGTAGTAAAATAAATTGGCGTTTTTTACATGTTCTGGAGATTGGTTTGTACTTTGGTTAGTTGGTATGGGATCATCGATTGAAAAACAAAAACAAATATCTAAACCCATGATAATTTCTTTTGATTCTAACGCTTATTCTATTGGAGTATTGTTTTCATATTGTCAACGAATAAACAACCCTTAGTTTTTATATATGTAGCTATATATATATATATATATATAACACGCACAAAAGACACATTACACATATATCATAATATCAATTAAACAACATGGTGTGTCTGGTCTATCTCCCGTACATGCTAACATGCATGAACACACACACACATACGACACATTACACGTATAACAATTAAAAAATCATGGATATGTTAGAAACGAGACATGCAGGCATGCTTTATACGATTGTGAAATGTGTCGGAAGAGAATGTGACATTAATTATACATTGGCAGGATCCTACGACAATATCAACTTGATCTTCGAGCAAATCAACGTTTCGTAGAGAAAAACAGGTAAGATTTTGAAGAAAATGGCTATAAGGGAATCTTGAAAGTGGGTCCAAGATCTTGGAAATTTCTTGACAGCTCTTTCCTATGTAACCAAAAAACTTTCTCTCTGATTCTCTGCCATTATTCATATCTTTGGATCTCTCCTTTTTTGTCTTTTTTTCTCTTTTGACGGACGTGTTAAGTTGGTACGATAAACTTTCTCACAACTAAGATCTTATCGTAAAAAACAATGAAACTTTCAATCTAGCAAATAGTAAAAAATATATTTTATAAATTTCGGTGAAAAATACACTTTTGGTTTTGTCGTTAAATAGCGACATATGCTAATTCTATCAATCACTTTTTTCAAAACCAATCAATCACTGATATTTGGTCTAAATCTATTATAACTATTTACATTCAAAAGCTTTTTTACTTTCAGCTTCTTAGATTTGTATTATATTTGATCTCTTATGAGAAGTTTACAAGCTATTTCAATTTGACACCTATATAATCTTAAAATTTAAAATCGCGAGATGTGACCAACTAGTTATCTTACTACAAGGATTAACTGTTTTTCTTTTCCACATACATATTTGAAATTCAGACATAAACAGTTTTGTTTTATTTTGCAAAACAATAACTTGTGAATTCAGACTAGAGAGGCTTTTGATACGATAACGTTTCAAGTTTTTGGAAGTCAAGTCAAGTGGGAGAGTTGTACGTGATCGGCCTATGAACGTCCGAACGAATCTAAGAATATCTTATCAGCTTTTCGATGTGTGGGCCCACAATATCTAACAAGTCATCGAGAACCAGGAATATGACGTAACCCGACATTTTGGTACCTTATTCTACCACCAACCAACCGGTTTTGATTTATCGGATACAATTTGTACATAACCGATCATTTTCTGTCTACCAGGGGAAATCAGGCTAAGTAAACCAATTTTTTTCCAGCTGAATCAAACTTTAACCTTGATAACATTTTTTTTATTTTATATCGGAAACTGAGATTTTGAAACAAAGTCTCTAACAGTATAGTTTGATAGATAATCGGTGTGCGAACAGAAACATACCAAAATGAGCAAGACAATAGATGGGCCTTATTCTGCCAATAACTTAGTATCTGCATTTAAGAATTAAGTTTGGGCCGTTAAGAGCAGAAACTAAAAGGATAAAAAGAATGTCTGAGCCCGGGTTCGAACCGGGGACCTCTAGTGTGTGAGACTAGCGTGATAACCGACTACACCACCCAGACTTTGATGTCCAATTGATCAGTACACTTCTCTTAGCTTAGTTGAAATTTTTTTGATGCTTTAGTTATTTCATGACTTCAAGATATTTGAAAAATATTCTTAGTTAACAAATATTTAAAGCGAAACTCATAATTTGAAATAAATTACCGAAAATTTGAACAATAAATACTAACAATTTTTTTCTAAACTCAACTAAGAAACATAGCAAAATTCAAATCATTCAAAAATCAAAATAGTAAGTTCAATACACTCCCAAGAAATATTTTAAGAAAATGGGAGAAGAAAACGAAATTGAAATTGTCATGTTAGGCTAAAGAGATAATGATGATGATTAAGGTGAAGATTATTATAATCAGGAAATGACAAAAATGTCTTTGTCGAGCCACGAGTAGAAACATAAAAGATTCCAGGTTTTAATTTCGTGGCCAAGAATGGTTGGGTGGGTTTTGATCCGGATCACTTGATTTCTAAACCCTAATTATTACGACGCCTTATCTCACAAGTTATGATTTGTTGAACCAATTTCAAATCCATCCCGACAGTCAACGAAATTATAATAACGTATAAGAAACAAAAGGAAAAGGATAACGAAAATGTGCTAATAGATAAGGCCTACACGAACCTTCACATGTTGGAGAAATTAGGAGGGTGAATTTTTGAGACCTAAAGATATCATTGGTACAAAAAAAGTTTTACAATCATAATCATAAATTGTTAGCAATTAGCGCCAACTCTGACGAAACTCGAAGTGTAGACCATTTTCCTAATAGACCTCGAGCTGAGCCAATATTTTCGTCGGTATTCTCACGTAATATTATAATCAAATTTCCAAATAAAATTAATACTATAAACGAACCTGACAACAGAAAAAGAAGGAGAAAGAAATGCAGAATCTAGGAAACGTACTAAACACCTGGAAAAAAACTGCCAAGTGGACGAACAAAAGAATTTGGACGCAAAACAACGTCCAGATCCAAATATAACGCCATACATACTTCGCTAAGCAACTACGTTTTGTTTCTTTGTCGGTTGTGAAAGTACACATTTAACTAATAATAGCAAATTACTTCAATATCCTCAACATACAGGGGCGTTATCGGTAGTTCAGACATTGTCTCCTCTGTGAAAACGGTGGAGGAGACGACGACGGCGTCGATGAATGAGGCTGAGAATTTGGTAAATAGATTCTCCGCAGAGGGGTTATTAAGTAATTTTGTCTCACTTGCCTTTGAGCATCTCCTTGTACCTCAGAATCGAATCGAGTCTCTGTAGCTTCAGCTGATGTTTGAACTTGTTGATGAAATCTGAAGCTTTCGCGTCGACGCATTCTTCGCTGTCGCCGTTCGACGTCGTTCTCTCGACTCTCGTTGTGTCTGGTCTCCTCCGTTCGACGGAATCCACCGTCTCCGCCGCCTCAGAGCTTCCGACGAAACCCATCCCCGATTTTTCGCTCGCTGATTTCGTCATCTTCCCCGTCGCTTTCTTCTTCTTCTTCACCGGTTTCTTCGATTCCGGTTTGCTCCTGACATGCTTGTGGTCTTCGTGAGGAGCCGAATTCGGATCCTGATGGGTTTCCGGGTCGGATCTGTAAAAGGAAGATAGCTTAATGGATTTGACCCGTTCCAAGATGGAGGGAGTCCGAGTTAAAACGGGCCGGTCAGTTGTAGTCGGTTGGTCTTCCTCCGGAATCCTGAATTTTGAGATATCAATCGGATCAACCCGACCCATCCGGGTCGGAATGCTTTCGAATCGGGTTGGCTCCGTTTGAGTAGCGTAATCACTCTCCTCCGGGTTATACTGCTGGAATTTGAAGTATGACATGTTGATGGATTTGACCCGATCCAGGAGAGAAGGAGTGCGTTGCAACGGAGGCGGATTCGGGTTTGGGTCCGGGTGAGAGTGGGAATGATGGTGAGGATCCGACCCGGTTGCGTCGTGTGGGAACTTGAAGTACGACATGTTGATGGATTTGACCCGATCCAGGAGAGAAGGGACGCGTTGTAGCGGAGGCGGGTTTGGATCCGGGTATACATGAAGATCCGGCCCGATTACGTCGTGGTGGGTCGTCATCGAGAAAAGCTCTGTTTCTGGAGGAGGAAATTTGTAGAGATGAAAATTGATGGACTTGACTCGGTCGATGATGGACGGAGCTCTGGTTAACGGAGCATGACCCGACCCGAATCCATCGTGGTGCGGTTGGTGTTTCCTTGAACCTGATCCGAAGCTAGAAGTGATGACGATCGTGCCGATCATGAGATTGAGGAGGAGGAAAAGAGTCGTCGGAGTGAACCAGCTCGCCACCGTTGATATTAATTCCATTTTGATGTGTTTTATGTTGTTGTCGGAATGAGAAATGAACATAAGGACTTTATTTATATTTGGATTTTGTTTTACTTTTTTTTTCCCTTCTTTTGCAACTCTTGAGACTTGACTGTTATTTCTTGGGTCATTTTTTAATGGTTTTTGTTTTGTTATGGAAACGTCGGAAATATTTAAGAAAAAATAGAAATTAATGTGTTCACATGAGTCGCACGTAGTTAATTTTTCTTCTTTTCATCTATTCATATTTCGTCCATGGTATCAAATTAAATGAAAAAGTAGTATGATTTACTGTATAATTTTACTAGAACAGCTAACTAGACTGATTTTGTTCGAGGTTTATTGATGATTCCGTGACAATCACTTCAACTTTAGGTAAACTTTCCATCGCACATAGATTTGTCTTTGAATTCTTTGGAATTCGGGACATGGGACCAAGGTTCTTTTACATTTAATAACTACCATTGTTGGTTTAGTATCAATTAGTAATTGCGAACGAAATTCAAGAGCCTACATAACAATTACTGGTTATTAGGAAGTAGGAACACATAAAAATTCAGATTTTTTCGACATAAAACCACTTGTCAAGATATATATTACTCATCCTGTAATTGTAATGCATAGTAATTTTTTTTTTTACATTTTAATAATTTAAAGCAACTTTGAAATGCGGTAGAATAATAGATAAAAATAGCTATGGTAAAAATGTAATGGAGAAGAGCTGGAAACAATTCAAATAGATGCTCTGTCTTTGACCGGAGAAAGTTATATGTGTAGGGCTCATTTTACTGTTCAATCAATATAAAGTTCCAAAATTGTTGTCACATCAGAGACTCGTCTAAACACAAATATTTATTATGTTAAAAACCATAAATATTTAGACCATCCATTTCACCACGTTTTTTATATCTCAAGGTTACAACTCACAATTAAGCTATTTTCGTGTAAATGTTTAACATGTGTTTAGATATGTTCGTGTAAATGTTTATCTAGCTTGACTTTAGAGTTTCCTGGTCTGGTCTCAAATTTAATTAGCTACTTGTACAGTTGTACTATACAAAGTCCCGTTTATAGAATTTTTGATAATGCATTGCACTTTGGATTAATTGAAATTCGAACCTGGTGATGTGAAATGATGAAGTAGTACTCTCTAAACATATTAAAACTGTAGGCATGTTTATATGCAAAAGCTCTTGGTTTGTTTCAACTGTGTTTTTAATAACTAACGCATATCTAATTAAGAGCATGTAACTATCTAATACGAGGAGGAGCGATGAATTAATGATTTTTTTCTTCTCAGAGGCACAATCTTTTCGCAAAATCTTTTTGGTTTCAGAATGGCTGATGTAGGGGACGCGCAAAATTAAAGTTCTCCCGAGTTTTTTTACAATGTTATTGCATGTTTTTATTACGTGGACCACACCATTTTTTAGAACATGTTTTTTTTTATTCGCATTGAGTGGGTACAAAGAGTAAATCAATTAAAATTTGTTCGTTATTTTTTTGCAAAGCAATTTCAACCAATTAGGCTAAGTTTAGCTGCGAGTAGGGTAGTGTTAAAGTATTGATGACGATTTCAAGTTGAACATAAAAAAAACAAGTGGGTGATTATATCGTTGATGCTTTATTTTATGTAGAAGTGTAGAGGAGTATCTTAATAAGGAATTCTATATTTAACGCGGCAGGGAACATTTACTCAAAATGTGGAGTCGACGATATCGCATGGGTATATGCTAGCTGCAACGCCGACCTTTTACGATTGACTTTAATTTCTTAGGAAAATAATATGAAAATATATTAATTATGAAAAGTGGTCCACTTATAGTTGCACGTCTCTTTAACTTGTTATATAAGATTTAATATAAATGTTATTGACGTTATCGCATACTTGCATGTATCTGGCTATACCCACATGGGTCGCCGTTGCAACATTTACTATAACGACGGATAACGAACAAATAATACATATGTGGACTTTATTGTAATTCAATAAGAAGATATCAAGACTTTGACTTTTCGAATTGATATAATGATCGGATGGTCCGGATTAAATACGTTGTGGGCGAATGGTTTATATGTAGAGCTGGATTAGTAACTTTTTCGATTCAAGTCGAATTTTGTTTCCCAAATAGGACAATATTCCCATTCGATTTTTAATTTGAGTTTAGTAATAGTTTCTTCATTTGCAAATTTATTTAACTGAATGTTTTTTTAATGATATTTTGGTTTAATTAGTTGATATACTTGATTCGATTTCATTATGCCTATTGGTCGGTTCCAATGCGTGAGTCGCTAAGTTCTTTTTAATCTTGCTAATTGATATTGAATTGGCTACTAGCTAGTTTACTAGAATCATCTTTGGAAAAATTAGTTTATCTTATATATCATGATATCATCTAATAGACTAATTAATACGTATCACAAATATTCTATTTTTTTTATTAAAGGGTATATTATATAGTTAAGAGTCCGTACGTGGATTGTATGTTAACCATGAACATCAAACATATAGGTGCGCAGTCTCGCTTGGAATTGGACTTACTACTTCGTCTCATCCTGTTGCAATATTCTTTTAAGGGTATCTTATTAATCTTCATTTGTCGCCTTTTCTTACACAATATATGTGTGATCATATTGATCCTTAAGTAAGGTTGTGAAGGTTACAGCACATGCAAACTTACAAATACACACAAAAATTAAACCAGAAAAGAAACAAAAGTTCATCAAACTAAAAGAGAACTTCGTTTTAAATTATGAAGTTTGATCAGTAGTCAATTCTTCCCAATTTTTTTTCTTTTAAAAAAAAATAATTTATAATACTTAAATATATACACGATAAACTAATATCATAACTAAGATATATGTTCTTTCTTTTTTTTGTGAACAAGAAGATTTATGTTCTTACTATCGCAAAATTTACTTTTTTTATTATAATGTTTGACTGTCTATGTTTATATATGATCATTTACATCTAGACATATTGTCGACTTGTATGTTCGTCTTCGTTCGGCTGCCTTCAATACTAGACTATATATATCTTACAGATCATTTGATGTATATTTGTATTCACTAGCGTATATACATATGCTATTCATTCGAGACATACTATAATTCTTGCACGTTCATGGGTTAACCATAAAAAAATTAAAAATACTCAAAATCTAGCGGGTCACTCATACGACCAACAATTTTTCTCTTTATATGTTTCAGACTTCTTTTTCGATAGGTACTTGTATCTTAGACAAGAGACTAAACTCTGTTTCTGAAAATTCTAAGTCTCCATAATCCATTAGACATTAAGGTCTTAAAATAAAGTAAAAAAACTGGATCGACTCTTGATCCAACTAACAAGGAAACAATATGTGAAAATGGAACAAGTTTTCATAGAACTACGGAAACGGGATGTTCTTCTCTTCTTTCACCGAATTTTTCACGGTCTTTGTATCTGAAATCGGTTTACTCACTCGAACCAGTAGGATCCCATCACTTCTCTGTAAAAACAGAGAAAAAAACTCAGCGAGAGAGATAACCGGCTCTATTACTAGATTCAGTTCAGGTAGGTTGAGCGAGAAAAAGGAGTTTGTATCTGGTTGAACGAAAATGTGTTTTACAAAGATGAATGAATGTGTAGAAAGAAATCTCTCCGGGAAAGAGGATTTACATAGAAAAGGTGAAATGTGTAAAAGAAATATTTCTCTAATTCATGCAATGGTGATTTTAAAACATCAATCGAGTTCACATTGGTTTAATTTTGTTTAATTTTGTGCTGTTACAGCTATACTGTTGTTCGTTCCAACTTCCAAGAAAGATTTCTATAATTGGTAAACATAAGAAAATGTTTTACTTTGAAACTATCACTAAAAAGGAAACTCTTTTTATTATCTGAAATCCTCCTTGAGAAACTATTTATTTTTGTTCATTTGACACGCTCAATTTCATTTAGTATAACTTTCCTTTTTTTTAAAAAAATTATCCTTCTTTTTAGAAAATATTGTTATTATCCATTAACATTTACGCAATTATAATTGTTCTCTAAATAAGAGCACAGTTCCCCACACACAAAACACACACAGGCTGAACACGTAAAATGAAATACAATCAGCATTTGAAACACAATCAGCATTTGATAATACACGTAAAATGAAATAATAGTAAACACACAAACATTCACATAACCAACAATGATAATAGAAAGAAAAAAGACATGTTCCTTTTCTCTTGACTCGATCATATTTCTCAAATAAAACTACAAGTGAAAAAACAAAAGTCATGACTGCTTACTTCTTCTCAACCCTCTGTCTCTCTTACACAAACATAATCACATAAATTCTCATTATTGAACAAAGTTAGAAAACAATTCTCTTTTCCAGACGATCACTCTTTCTCTCTTAGTCCTTTTTATTTTGTCTATGTATATCAAACAAAACAATTAATGGAGAACACAATGTACTATCTCTTCTCAACCTTATGTCTCTCTCACTCATACACAATAACATTAATATAGTGTGTTTCTCACTATTAAACAAAAACAGTGAAAAAAAACTCACTCCTCTCTCCCAAACGAACCATCATTTCTCTGTTAATTAGTCATCTCTCTCAAACAAACTCCATTTCTCTCTTTTTTTTCTTTCACAATGGCCACTAGAGGAAGAATAGGGGAGGAAATGATAGAGATCATGGGGCAAAAAACTAACGGTATGTTATAATAAGGGACTAAGCTCCCAAAAGTATGTTCTTTATATATATTTATTAACAATTGTCATTCTAATATTTGCTTTTGAGTAAATTCTTTGAATTTTGCACGGAGTTTACACATCAGCGACTGGACCCGTGGATATTTGTTTTCACCAAGTGCTGATTGTTGGATATGGAGCTGATGATCATGGTAGACCATATTGGATAACACAAAATTCTATGGTCAATCATGGGGAGAAATGGTTTTGGATATGTGTACTGAAAAAAAAGGGTCATGGACGCAATTGCATATCCAATGAAATCTGATATCCAATAGAAAAAGATAGAGCTTGATCATCACACAAGAAGTTAAAGAAAAAAAAGGTGAGAGTTTCTGATTTCTAAAATGGCAAAATACCCAAATTTTAATCCCTATAATCTCACTTTTGTGTTGACGATAATTAAAAGCAATCCAAAACGCATTGGTATGTTATCAAATTTGGTTTATTTGTTTTTTATCTCCATTTTCTTAGAAACCATCCCATGTTTGTTTTGCGTTAAAGGGAGCTTCAAAAAAGGTTCAAGCTTACTCTGGTATTTGGCTATTGTGTTCTTCTCACAGCTTTTCCACTTCATGGACTCTTCTATTTTGTCTTTTCTTTTTATCTTGTAAAATGGCGTTTATATGCCTTGAAGTCTTGAACCCCAGTTATGCATTGTAATGATACTAAAGCAGCATCGCTGCATTAATGTTAGTAAAGTTCTTTTGTTCCTTTTACATATTTTTGTGTGGTAAGTTTGTTCCTCTATTCCTATTTGATCGTCTATTTAAAAACATCTAATTGTATTTAATTAGCTTGAAATTTAATAATGTTTTCAAATAAGAAGGAAGAAACACGCGGCAGCTTCAGTAGACCATATTAAGAAGAGAAACCCTTGACTCATGCACCTGACTCTACACTTGTCCCCATGAGAATCAAAAAGCTATAATACTGTACGTTATACATATTTAAACCAAGGTGATTATGGACTTATCGTTCGTAGACTGTCCAAGGCATTGTATACTGCATATTGTTGAAACAATATAAAACTTGTCAATCTAAGACATTTAATCACACACTCTTGCGCTTAGTTAATTTATCTAACTAGCATAATACATAAGCGTACGAGAGGAGTTCTAGTTAGGTAATAAGAAGAGATAGATAGAGATTTAAGCTTTCACGGTGAGGATTCAGGTGAGGACATAGCTTTTTCAGGAGGAAACCGGGTGAAGACGACATCCGGTATGGAACCTGACCCTGGACCCGTTACGGTGAACAATATGGTGGGAAATTCTGCAAGCACCAAACAATGCAGTTAGGAAACGAGGCTAGTAAGATATTATCTCCTAAAACCCAAAATTTGAAAATTTTAAAGCAAGAGAAGAAGAGTAAAGATCCACCTGGTGTATTAGCATTCAATGGAGGAGGAGGATCCACATGAACCGCAGCAATCTCTGTATCATAACCACACACACACACACTCACTAGTTTACATCATCCAAACACATCAAATAAATTTTCAAGATATGCAGAATACATTACAAGCAAAATAATAGCCAACGAAGCCATAGCCGATGAAGTATTCAAAGAGTCCAAGCCATTCATACTACACTCTTGAAAGTTAATAACTAGTACTCCCTTCGTTTCATATTAGTTGTTGTTTAGAACGACAACTAATATGAAATGGAGAGAGTATCAAAATTAAGCATTAAAAAAGAAACTAGTTGTCAATAAATGTTCTTGAGAGTAGTAATTCGATGCAAAAGAAGTTTCGTGATGGAAAAGAAAATTTACCATCATCGGTGGGTTTGAGCCTGAAGATATAAATCTCGCATAACTCTCCACAACGGCGACACTTCGTTTGATACATTTTAGGCTCCGGGCTCGGTGATGCCAAACGCCCAAAATGTAATGTAGAAAAGCACACCAGCACACCACCTATAACTTGCCGAAACGTGATCGAGGAAAGAAAGTCTAGTTCCCTGATTGATTGTGAAACAAGTAAGAAACATGAACACAAATCTCAGAGCATTTAAATCAATCAATCAGCCAGACATTGACACTGACCTTCTCTGCGTTGATTTGGAGGATGGCACGGCAAGCCACGTCACGGATTATTTCATCATTGGTCCTCTCACCGGCACGATACGGGTCAATCATAGGCAACGTTTCGAACCGATACTCGAGTTTATCCCAATCAATCACGAAACCCTAACCTCACGAAAAAGAACACATGTTACCAACCTCAAAGGGTTACAATTCGTGATTTCAAATTTAGCCATAAATCAAGAAGTACCTCGCTCCTCTGGAACTGATAGTAATACAATATGTACTGTCGGATGCATTCATCGTCGTACGAGTCGAAATTCCGGAGGGGTGGTCGCATGGCTGAGGATTTCGATTCTCCGGAGGCTTTGTCCAGCCTTCGCTTCATTGGACGGCACAAGTATTCCGTCACTGTAACCGTAGCTTCTCGGCGAGCAAGAAGAAGACAGGAGTGAATAAATTCAAGGAGAAAAACAATTTATCAAAGAATACTATTTAAGCTACGGGTGAGACATGTCAATTCGGACAAAAGTATTAACTTTAAAAATTAAAAATTATCGGATTTAGACCTAGAAGTATTAACTTAAAAAAAAATACTTAAGACATCGGTGAATTTCTGTCTGAAAATACAAAAATAGTCATGGCCAAACCGAACCGATTACTTGAATATTGCTCACGTGTAATTGTAACATTAGTTAAGTTCTTGAAAGAAAAAAACAGTTGTAAATCTGCTTTGAGCGTTTCTGATTATACATATGTTTCTCCACACAATGTTAATGAAGAAATCGTTTAGTATTAAAACGATTTATCTACACGTGTGAATAGAATTGTTGCATGGTTTTTTCTCTTTCAAATAAATTTTTATAATGATTCTAAAATGAAAATTTGTTTTGAAAAAAAGGAAAAGACATGGAAAAGCCAAAAAACACTTGGAAATTTTTTTTTCATTACTCGAATAAGAATGTGGATAGTAAAATCAAAATCTGTTGGTATAAGATTCCGATTGAATATTTTTAGCACAAAAATCATTATGAATAGACTTACATGATAAGCACCTGTAATTAATTAATAATTCCGTTTTAACATGAACGTAGAAGATTTTCCGATCGGGAAGCTAGCGTCACAGCAATTCCCACTTCCTTTCTTATTTGAGTAACCAGGAAACTTCGATATGTTAAATTCCATTTGCCGCATCAGAAACAAACCCTCGTCCTCAGCCAGAGTTTCTATCTTCCACTCGCTATATGGATGAGTCGTCTTATGAGTCACATGGATCTCTCCACCTTCCTCTTTCACCATCTCTCTCGCGCTCTTCAAAAACCCTTTCACCAGTGCTTGGTGTAAACTGTGAAAACGCTCATACATTTTCAATATGTTAACAATAAATCGAAAATCACTAAAAATGAAAGAAAATATTTGTCTTTCGATTACGTGATGTAGTATCCCTCGTGCTCTTGGCGAAAACCAAACCCTGAATGAGGGAAATTATAAATGATTCTTCTATCATAACGTCCAAAAAGCCTAAAATCATTGGTCATCGAGTGCACGTTAACTCCATGGACCACGTTGCAGCCTAGTCTCTCCAACTCTTCTACGCTAGCTTTCCCATTCATATACTTACGCTCTACCTCCTCTGCAACATGAATCAAACATGAATCACCATTCATAAAATCATTTTCTTTAGTCGCATAAACTGAATGAGACCAAGGTTATATATAACACTATCTATATATCAAGACACCTCCTTTGATCCCATGATGATCACTATATCAAAAGGATAGTGTCAGTCAAACCGAGAATTTGTGATTTTAAAGTTAATTTACCTCGAGTATCGAGAGAGGTCGCAGTAAGGTTTCTTGCAGAACCAAAGGATCTAGCTAAAGATAGAGAGAAAGAGAAATCTCCTTCTCCGACCAGAAGTATCTTTTGGTTGTTGCTGTATTGTCTTTGCATTTTCGTTTTCTTTTATCTCAATTCTTTTCCATTAGCACACAATGTGGTTATATATAACACATACAAATAAATGAGTCAATCAGTCAAATAAAGAGTGACTAGTGTTTAATCAATGTTATGGTTTGTAATCCGTCTCTTCGAAACTGTGAGATTATTTATGTGCTTCGAATAGCATTCAATATTCTCTTCATGCACCATTTTGACGACAAGAAATCAAAATTCATAGAGAAGGCTGAAGTTTTAGAGTATTTCCATAAGAGACCCCTAAAATTTATAAAATATGACAATATATCTGAGATTTAGTAATTCGAACAAATTAGTACACAAATGTTAAAAAGAACCATCTCTTTATTTTGTAAAGGTCATTTGAAACAGTTTAAGACCTACAAGTCAACAAACTCATTTGAAACTCAAAAGTTTATCATCACGATAACTAACAAACAAGCTCATGTCTCACGAACAACCATATGAATAATGATAATCAATCTTTTTTACGACTACCCCAAGGAGAGCAAATCTTCTCAAGCCCGGCTCCAAGAGCGCATCCGAATCCAGCTCTCTCCTTCTCTGGTTCGATCTCCTTATTCTTGGGATGGATGGAGTCGATGACGGCCTCGATCTCTTCCTTGGCTCTCCCGAAAACACTTGGAGCCTTCACCGCATTCACCGGAGTGTTCGCATCGATACTGTCACTCCTTCCATGAGAATCGCTGTGAAGGTAATGAGGACGATGAGGTTTCTCCTTTAGATGGAACAGAGATCTGATCTCTTCCTTTGCCTTCTTCATCATGGTCGGCTTCTTCTTTCCTTCCTCTGCCACTGTAAACCCAAAATTTGTTGAGTGTTGAACACAAAAATCAAGAATGAACACAAAATATCAAGAAATGATCATAAACTAGAAAAGAAAAATATTGAAACCTGGTTTCTCGGATTTGAATTCCATTTTCTCAGAAAAGTCCCTGAAACAGGATTTGTAAAACACATTAGCAAACTCAAGTCAAAATGCATAGTCAAAATGATTGAATGATTCAACTTCATAGCATTAGATACAAGAGAAGCAAATAAGACGTGATCACAGAAGAAAGAAAGAAAGAAAGAAAGAGACAAAACCTTGAGCTTGAGCTCTTGTGTTGATGCATAGAACCAAGCACAGCCTCGAACTCCTCTCTGGCTCGCTCGAACATGTTTGGCGCTTTCACTTTGCTCTCATCAATCTTGTCACCTAAAACCACACACACAAAAATCATATTAACATGAGATACACGACGAATCCTCCACAGTATCAAACATTACACACCACTTCCAAATCAAATTACTAATTTCCCCATATCATAAACAGAGATCATAGTTAATAACGTCAATGAGACGATTGAGATCAATCAAATCAATCACCAGTAAACCCCAGAAAACTCGGCTATGAAACTCAATAACAATACACAAATAGCTTCCAAGAATCTCAAGAGATTCAAGAGAAACTCGAGAAATCAGTCAATCGCACAAGAGAAAACAATGATCTGATTGGTTGTTGAATGACCTCGATAAATCACCATTAAACCCCAGAAAGAAAATAAGTTGGTGAATGCGATGATAGTAAACAAATTGGCTTCTACGCAACTCGAAACAAAGTTTAATAAAACGCAGAAGATTGTTGATCAATTTCGATAAAACCCAGATTCATACATCTTTTAATCGATTCTCAATAGCAGCATTGAAAACAACGAATTCTCACGTTTTACCTAATTCTCAACTTCCAAATCGGAAAATCGAGTCGATATTGAATTGAAAACGAGATTCATCGCATCGAATTGGTCAGAGGAAGCATAAAAACGAGATTAAGTCGCATTCAGAATAACTGTGAAGAACATAAACCCTCGAGAAGAAATTACCAGAAAATGAGTTGACACCGGTCATCTTCTTGCTTGGAAGATGAGAAAACGAGAGAATCGATGGGATTTAGGGATTTTCCTTGTGAGTCAGATTTCTGGGAACATTTGCTGAGGCAATTTGGTGCATGTTTGAGCAGAGAATTTGTCTATTTGTATCACTTTCCTCCGCAAGGAGACAGACTGTATTAGCAAAAATGTTAGGTCCCACCCACACTTAAATGTTTTAAGCTAATTATAAGCAATTTAATCATATATATTATTTTAATTCAGACCGCCACGTAACAAGGGTGTTGATATTTGTCTCTTTTATATACCAAACTATTGGGCCTTTTTGCAAGTGTTGATATTTGTCTAAAAAATGATTAGAGGACATCTATGTAATAAAATCATGATTACTCGACATTTAGAGGAATGTCGTCCTTTTGCAAGTGTTGATATTTGTCTAAAAAAGGATTAGAGTGACATTTAAATAATAAAATCATGATTACTCGACATTTAGAGGAATGTGAATTTGGGATTTACAATGATTTGGAGTGATTTTACTTTTAGATAAGAGCCTACACAAATAAAGCTATAGCAAGAAACTAGACATTCTTATTGCGTCAAACCAAGTGTCCATTTAAAAGAACACTGACAAAATTCATTTCGCCCTGCAAATCTCTCCATCAGTATAACACACCTAGAAAGCTGATCACGAGAAAACACAAACGAATACGCAAAAGGCAAAACGAAACAAGAAAACTGTGTTATTGATAAGAAAGAGAAAGAACACAATATCTTACTAGAGAATACCCGAAATCATAATAAAATAAAATGCAAAATCTCAGTAAACAAGTCAAAACAGTAAAGATACAATCTGACTAGTATGGTATACAAAAACCCTGCAAACTCCCAAGTCGTCTTCAACTTCTGACTTGTTAAAAGTTGAAACATGTCCCACATTTTCTTTCTTTCGAATTACCTGTAATGCAGTAGAAAATTCTTAGGTCGGAGAGCAGACAACTGTATTCAAGATTTGTCATATTAATACAACTAGCTTTTACCTGTTAACAAAGATGGCGGTTGGACTGCCTGGAGATGGAGGATTCTGCTTCAGGAGTGATGCATGTGGACCAGCTAAATCAACATCAGCAGCAGAATGTATTTCAACCTCTTCAAGACCAAGCTGCCTCTTGATCAACTCCACGTTACTCTCAAGGACTTCCTTCTCTCCAAAAGGCAACCTCAAATTCAGAGCCTGAGTCCCAGAGCTATTGCCTCGTCCTTCTTGAATTTCAGGAAAGGCATGCAAAGCTTCTGAATTTGCTTGAAGTTCTCTGCTTCCTCCATCCTTCTGCATAATCTCCCTCAGTTCTCCAAGTATCTCTGCATCAGGGGCAAAAGTACGGTTTGCTGGTCAAATTTCCTTTGAAGAATCTCGAGGCAGTGACATCTCCATCCATCAAATTCCTCATTCACATATACTAGGCCTTTCAGCTTCGCCTCTGCCACTACTGTTACTTGAGCACCTTTCTTGGCAGCCTTCTTGGAACCGAGAGCTGTTTCTGTAGAAGCTTTCTCATTAAGATGATAGAATCTTGCAGATATTTGTTAGCACCCTTGAGAACCAAATCTGGCTCATCTGATGTTGGCCAGCCTGCTTTTACCACAGAGCCTTCCTTCTTCAAAAGTTCCCTCCAAACATGCTCTGCAAACTGAGGACAGATTGGTTCAATGAGGCGTGTTTGCACATCCATAAACTTCAGTATCAAGTCATGATTCATGCCGCCACTGCCGCAAGAGAGCCTATACTCATCTCGAGCAGCTTGCAAGTCGTAAAACCCATTCTTAAGTGCCTCCCTAAACAAACAATTTTCGTAGGCTTTTTCAGTCAATCTGATAGCAATGTTCATGTCATTTTCAAACACTTTATCAGCATATGTAGATGGAGGGCCCGTTCTCAAAGAGGATTCAGCAGCCAGAACTTCTTCCATCCATGTGAGCTCTTTCGTCAGCCGCAAATTGCAGCATTTGCAGTTTCAAATACAAAGTTTGCATCGTCAACGCCATCACCAGCATCAGCCAAAGCAAACCTCGTAGCAGTGGCAGAGAATTCTTCAATAGCCTGGCGCAGGGTTTGAAATTTCCAGTTGACTTTGACATTTTCTCAGAATTCAGCATGATGTGACCATTACATCTGATGCCACGTGGCCAGTTACGTCGCCATTAGTGCAGTGTGGTTGTAGATGAAAAACGTCAAATGATTCTGAATAAGATCCTTTCCTGAAACTCGAAGATCCAGTGGGTACCAGTAGTCAAATTCCTGCTTCATCTCACTTAAAACATCTGACGGAATGTCGGATGATTTTGGGTACTGACCATCACAGAAGAGATAGTCCCAAACTTCATCATTCATCTGCTGAGGGCGAACCAAAGACTTACTCCCTTTATACATGTCTCCATCGTGAAAGAAATGGGCAACTGTATAATACGCCATATAAAGAGAGGAATCAGACAAGGACTCCACAAGGAACTGTTCATCCCAGGGAATCGAGTTCCAAGACCAAAAGACCGTGAGCAAGCCCACTGTTGAGCCAGCTCAAAGTGTGCTCAAATCCATGCCTTGTTTCTTCAGAGTAGAGATTCATTTTTGACAAGCACTCCTCAGCCATTTGCCGCCATTCTGATTCTCCGTACGTTATGTACCACTGATCTGTAAGAGCCACAACACATTCATCACCCGATCTTGACATGACCGGCTTCTCGGTTCACTGTATATAATCGCCTCGCCAGACTCTATGAGCTGTTTCTTGATAATGGGCTTAATGTCTTGAACTTTCCTACCAACAAACTCTCCATAAGCATAGTTCCTTCGGTGAATCCTTTCAGGTACGTCAACCTCTTGGCCTCTGCAAGCTTCTCCTTATCATTTGACTTTTAATCTTCAGATCCAAGCAGACCTTCTCGGCAGCCTTATCTCCAAACTCGGAATGTTGATAATCGGCACAATTTCAGGCGGCACCCACTCATCTTTCACACCAAACTTTGCTCGAAGAGCAGGCTTTGCACTTAGATCATGCAAAGCCATGTAATCATCAGGGGCATCACTAGGCACGCTGGTGACAATGCCAGTACCCTTGTTGGTCAGAATGGTTAACATGGGCAGAGCATAGATGATCTCGTTCACTGCCAGAGGAGACCTCAAAGGGAGTCCAATCAGATCATCCCTGTCAACTCAACTAAGCAGGAAGGCTTCTGAGGGATCTTTGAAAAGTTCTGGTAAGCAAGGTTGAGTGCAGACCTCTCAGTAAGGATGAAGACATCAGTTTCATTGATTTCATAAGCTCCATACTTCCCATCAGGCAACACCCATGCGTTTGTTTGCCCATACATGGTCTCAGGCCTCAAAGTAGCTGCAGCCAAAAACACTCTCTTTCCTTCCAAAGGACCAGCTTCAGGAAACGGCTTCACTACTTCCATCTTAATAAGAGTGTACTCCTGAGGCTGAACACCTTCACCAGTAGCACGGTCGTGATCAGCACAAGGCTGCCCATCTAGAGGTGAGAATATCGTGTACCTACGGTCTTTCACAATCTTCCCCATAGATTTCAACTTCCTCATCTGCCACCTCACGAAGGCATCGAAAAACGGATTAACATCAGTGGTCACGAACGACCGTCTCCAATCACAACCTAATCCATACGCCTTGAGATCTTCAACAGCCAATGGAGGGAAGTAATACAACCATTCGTATGGATCTTGGAATTTCGTATCTCACTGTCAGTGAGGCCAAAACTGCGCATAATCTCCCACTGATGAACCTGTCCACCGGATTTCGCAGCTACCTTGACTTCTTTCCCTTGAACTGACCCGGCAAAGCTGGTGTATCACTACTCTCCTCAACTTCTGGAGCTTGTTTGGTGTTGTCTTCAGCAGGAAATCAGGAGGGTTTCCATACTCGTGCATCTCACGAGCAAGCTTGTCCGCAGAAGCCTTAATTGGCATTCCAGGTACAGTGGAAGCCAAATGGAAGGAGCACATTAGCGCCTCTTAGTCTATGATAAGCAGAAGCAAAATCGATCTTGGAAAGTGAGAAGGCATGCCCAATGTGTAGATAACCATTCATATACGGGAAAGGGAAGGTCGAGAAGAACTTTTCTCCTGGTTTTGGAGAATCCTTGCGAGATTCAGCCTTGAATACTTGCTCTTCCTCCCACAATGTTATTGCTTTTTTCAATCTCGAGAAGACGATCTCTCCTCGCGTAGCTTTTCGAATCAGATGCCATTGCGTGACAGTGCCTGCCCAAACAGAATCACAGAAATCAAACCAAGGAAACGCGAATTGGAATCTAACGACGATCGAAACATCAACCAAGAGCAAAATGAGTCGACAGAATTACAGAGAAAAGAGAAAAAAAAAATCGAAACGCAGCGCACGCAGCTGAGAGATAGTACCTTGCGGATGATGATGAGCTTCTGGGAATCACGAATCGAGTCCACCGCGAAAGCAATCCGAGATTTGGTAGTGACGGAGCCACAGTGGGAGAGGAAATGAAAATGGTGGTCTAGGGTTTTTCCGCGTACCATGTATTTGGTTTGGACTTAACGGCGGTTACGTCCAATTGTCTAACGGAATCTCATCCTCCTGCTGAACCAGTCTCGGACCATTTTCCGCTCCGAGTCAGACCCACTTTGTTTTTCTATTGGGCCAAAACAATGAATTTTTCGATTGGGCCACACACATCAAAAGCCTGATCGAAAAATTGTTATGATTAGGAATTTATAATTTGTGACTTGTTTGGTGTTTGGCACCTAATCAATTTACACTCTTACCTCTAAAAAGCTATATAAGTCATGTGGTGCCTCTGACTTATCGGCTGTGCGCAATTTTCAGACATCCAATGTCAAACTTTGACCTCTTAGTCTTGGGTCAAGCCTAGACAAAAAGGGAAGAATGATCAATTGATCATATATACCATACTTTACCCATAATATGAATTCGACATTGGGAGATGTGGCCAGCTCGTCGTCGACAAAAGAGAAGAATGATCTTATGAAATCGAATATCGAATATGTAGATTTTACGTATTTATATATATTATCTTTGATATTTTAGGCTTAACATTGACGCTTTACATAGATTTTGTTTTCACCAATGCGAGACCTTTAAAATCTCAACAACAACAACAGAAAAGGTAAACAAGAATATTCAACTCGAAACACACGTAATTACGGTCTTACTTGTTGACCAATGTTTTAAGTTATAATCCATTTACTTGGGATGGTGTTTTACTTGGTAAATAAGTGGGCACAAAGTTAGATCCATAACCCTCGTATACGTTTCGAGTAGAGACTGTAGAGTCTTCCTCGCTCACAATGACATCAAATATTTTAATTATAATCATATAATTCTAGAACTAAAATGTCAATTATGCTACGTAAATATTGATAAGCCAACCAGTTTAAAAAGTTTTGTTATCCAACACTACCATCCATATTCTTTACAAAATACAAAAACTAGTTTTGGTTAGAACAGGGAAAGAAAAGAGCGAGTTCAAGTACACAAATTGCAGTAATGTTTTTTTAGTACAATTGTTTTTTTTTTTTGCTCCTAGGAACGTTTATTACGGCTGTTAAAGATAAAGACTTCAACATCATATGACCGCAAGTTAAAAAAAAAAGGAAAAAAATGTTAATTTTGTTTGTATTATCGTAATAATATATGCATTAACACGGACGTCTTGTTCTGTGTCGTGTGAAAGGTAACCAAGTAGATACAGAGACGAACAACTTTGAATTAATTAATTAACACGTACGCTGTAGTCTGTACAATGGAGTAGAAACAAGAAGAATAAATTCCTTTTAGAAAACCCAAAAAGTAGAGAGACTTGACCGCAACTGGTTGACTCTACATTTACACCTTACGACCCCGAACCGGTTTTGGTGCTCTCTTGTTTTTTTGTATTTACCACATTCATGTATGGTTGCTTTCTTTGACCATCATAAATCAGAATGCTTTTATTTGATAACTTAATAGTGTTATTGATTGAATTTAATAATATAAAGATGCTTGGGCCACCGAAATCAATTTATCCTAACGTATTTAATTCATATTGGCTTTGCACTATCATAATCGCAATCAAGTTATTTAAAGTTGTAAGAGGCAGCTAAATGGTTATAGTGCCCCCACACCGCGTTTTAATTTTCACCAAACCCGAATGTTATAGATTTCATTTGACTTGTGTGAAATTCTCTAACCAAAAGAAAGAGAAATTAGCCCCACGAGGCTACACGAAGACAGATATTTCTTTTACACGTTTTGGTGTACTAGTTACAATGTATTGGAGTAATGACTGTATATTGACCGAGCGTATGTAGGAGTTATTGTAGTATCTACCACATCCCTCTAATTGTTTCTGATGTTGTATATTATGCACACAAATTAAGATCCTCTAGTTTGGCAAGTAGACACGATACACTCTACATAAATATAAAGTTGTGTGTTCTCTTTGCTCAATGATATACAAAAATCTTTTGAATCCTTCTTCTCCATATCTTTGTTTCATAGTTTGTTATGATATACTCTCTCCATTTTAAATTAGTTGTTGTTTTGGCAAAATGTATCTGCAAATTTTTGGACGTATTTGGACATATTTTGCATTGCAGATACATCCAAATAATTGCAAATACATTTTCCCAAAACGACAACTAATTTGAAACAGAGGGAATAATAGTTTCACGATCCTATATAAATCTGAAATTTCAAGCAAAATGAATTTTTTTTAACACCACTATTCTTTACGATTTACCATCACAAATGAGATGACAGCGAAATACAACTTTGCACTAATCTTGTGGATATTTAAATTTCTTAGATCCTGAATTAAAGTTATATCCAGAACATAAGCTCACATTCGAATTCAAATCCGACGTATGGAAACAAATATCTTACAGCTAGTTGAGTTAATTGTAGCAAATGTAATCTAAACATAACTTATGAATATCTGCATAATCGACAGGTTTTAATTTGTTATCATGTCGTAGTATAATAGAACAAAAAGTCTAATCTTCAAATATATAACCAGCTTACCGCAGAATAATTCAACATGATTATTTTATTTCACAAGCATATATAGAGGTGTATTCTTGACATACTATAGGAGTACATTTTTTTTTCTTATAGATTTGATAGAACTGTTTGTTTCAACGGGAAAAGCGCACAAACCAATAAACATTGAATACAAATTATCCAAAACAGAAGTGTGCGAATCCATTGACTGGAAAAAAACATTAACTAGTTGGTAGTTAATGATCGGGGGAGAAAAATCTAAAATTGGGAGCACGATAAAATTGTATAACCAGAAACACGCATTCAAAGATGCCACGATCCATACGTAACGCCGTGCGTATATCACATATTAATTGTAAGTTAGTACTGTATACAACTTCTATAAGTACGATTTATTACAATGAATACGACGACGTGTTCAAAGATTCGTCCCCGCACATACTATAACGTAACGCCATGCGTATATCACACATGCTCACATATGTAAGCAGTAAGCAATGTATAGAAATATATGTATACGAATACGAGTTACAACAGGCACAGCTCCTAGGTGTTATAAAAACGTACAATATAAGTAGCAGCAAGATCATATAATAATACGAGTATACGACGACGTATTCAAAGTTGCCCCACACGCTAGTATGTATTTTTTTAAGTTACATTGAAAATCAAAGAGTTCGTGTGGTTTGAAATTTGATGTTTTAAATCCGAGGAAAACGTAAAACCTTTGAATTAAGACGCCAGGAAAAATCTTCACTGCGTATTATAAGGTCCAATCCCAATTTTCTTTTCAAGAAGAATATAATAATTACGTCATATTTGATATGTTGTATGAAATTATATATATAGAAGACAGTAGGGCAAAGGAGAGAGTCAGACATTTACCAGCAAATCAAAGAGTTCTTGTCTATCACAGGTCTCTCTGTTTTTTTCTTTCTGCCGCCAAATTTTGTTTACAATAATAATAACAACATTCGAAGAAACTTCTCTAGATCGTAATAGTGTAAGTGTCTTCCTCGATCTTTGGATTTCAATAAAACCATATTACTTTCTTCTTGTCTCATGTCTGAGTCATTGCTTTAAAAACTTTACAGGTATCTCTCATGGCTTTGTCTTTTGGATACTTACAAAGAGACAACAGTTTCAAGAAAGATTCACAAGAGTGTGAAACACCGAGAGTTCTGAAATTACCAGTAAATATATATCTGGAGAAGACTTTATCGTTCAAGGATTTGGTCGATCAAGGGAACAATTACAAAGATGAGAGTTGTGGGGTCAAAACTAGAAAAGGTATAAACCTGAAGGGGCCTAAACCAGATAACATGATTCTTGAGAGGAGTCTCTCGTTCACGAGCCTAGTCGAGGTGGGGCATAGAGAAGAAGACGAAGAGGAAAGAGGCTCGTCTCCGAAGCGAAGGAACAAGGGCAAAATGGGAATGTTAGGGAGTTTAACGGCGTTAAGTGTACCTGCACCAAAACCGTTTTGGTCTCCTAGACCGTCGACGGAGCTTGACGCCGCCGCCGTTACGTTACAAAAAGTTTACAAGAGTTATCGAACGCGTAGAAATCTTGCTGACTGTGCAGTAGTCGTTGAAGAGTTATGGTACGTCAAGTTCTACTTTTTTTTTATTATGAAAAAGCCATATCAATCTCAATATTGTTTCATTTTAACCCATAATTCGAAATGGTGTTGATAGATAATGCAACAACAACCAAAAATATTCCAAAACATTTCACATTTGCAGTAGGACTTTTTATATTTGTACTAAAAAATGAACAAGAAACATTAGAGTAGTAATCATTTTAACAAGTTTATGTTTACACAAACCGGATATATGTGACATGATGAAAATGTAATTATGTGTGTGCATGTGTATCTTTGGTTTAGGTGGAAAGAGTTAGAATTGGCAGCGTTGGAACCTAACCGAACCAAAGAGAAACCAGAGACGGCTCTGTCGAGGTGGGCAAGAGCAGGAACAAAAGCAGCTAAGGTAAATTACTAGGATATTGGACGACTTAATGTAATGCCATATATAACTAGAATTTGATTAGTCATCTATATATTTGATATGTACAATAATAGGTGGGGAAAGGATTGCTCAAAGATGATAAAGCTCAGAAATTAGCATTGCGACATTGGTTAGAAGCCGTAAGTTTCGGCTTTGTTTATTTGACTTTAGTATATCGACACAATAAAATAATGCTAATGTTTTGTTAATTATTTTTATTTTTATTTTTATAGATTGACCCACGTCATAGGTACGGACATAATCTACACCTATATTATGATGTCTGGTCCGGAAGCGAAAGTACGCAGCCATTTTTCTTCTGGTAAATCTAACACAAACATGTCTAATTTTAACTTCGAATGTTCCTTAAGAAATAGAGCTGATTCGATTGCAAACTTTTTGAATGAAACCAAAGGTTAGATATTGGAGATGGCAAAGAAGTAAATCTCACCAAATGTCCAAGAACTCTTCTTCAACGCCAGTGCATCACTTACCTTGGTCCGGTATGTAAAAAAGTTCTTACTCGGTAATTTCTGGTGATCAAGAAATTAAATGCAAACCGATTTTTGATTTTAGTTCGGTTTGGTTAACAGAAAGAGAGGCAAGCGTATGAAGTGGTAGTGGAAGACGGGAAATTAGTCAACAGACATAACAAAAACCTCGTGGAGACCATCGAAGGAACCAAATGGATTTTCGTATTGAGCACGACAAGAAGACTCTACATTGGTCAGAAACAGAAAGGTCGGTTTCAACATTCGAGTTTTCTTTCCGGCGCTGCCATTACTGCCGCCGGTCGAATAGTTTCTCACGGTGGAGTTGTAGAAGCTGTTTGGCCGTACAGTGGTCATTATCTCCCGACAGAAGAGAATTTCCGAGAGTTTATCGGTTTCTTAAGAGAAAACCATGTGGATCTCACTAATGTCAAGGTAATTAAAATAATCAAGTAATTTTGATCAAGAATGAATCGTATTTGGAAAATATTATATTTAATCTGACAAATAGTAAACTGCATTTCTAAAATTAGGATTTATGAATTTTAAAATTTAATATTTAAAATTTAGACTAAATTATTATTACCTTGTTTTTTTTTGGTAAAATGTTAATTTTTTTTTAATATTATTTACCCTAAATTAGTTATGTTTTCAGATGAATGCGGTTGATGACGACAATATTTTGGTCTCTAATGACGGAAGTACTAAGCCACCGAGGGTTGCCGGGAAATTTGACGGTTCAAATGAAACCAAGGCCGTCGCTGTTGATCCGACGGCGGAAGATTTCAGGGAACAAAAACGCTTCTCGTGCAAGTGGAGTACCGGAAATGGGCCTAGGATCGGGTGTGTGCGGGACTACCCCATGGATCTGCAGACGCGGGCGCTCGAGCAAGTCAACCTTTCTCCTCGTGTGGTCAACGGAACAGTGGGAATATTCGGCCCAATACCTTCGCCAAGGCCCAGCCCAAAGATCCGTGTCTCTCCTAGGCTATCTTGCATGGGTCTTCCAAGCCCCAGGAACTAATTTTCGATCAATCAAAATCAATTAGAAAATGTTGATTAATTCTTTTCTCCTTTTTACTCCCCTGTTATTGGTCGATTCTTTAGTTACGGTACAACTTGTAGTCAATAATATCTCAAATAATTTAATTCTACCTTTTTTTTTAGGTTGGTAACTTTTACTTCAATATCATGTTTTTTTGTTTGTTTGAAACAAGTATAGTAAAATCACATTGAACATGATTAAGAATAAAGTCGTAAAATATACTAGACGATAGAAACAAGTGCACTTAAAAACATATTTTATGCTTCTCGAGAAAAGTTATTTATTTCGACCGACCAAAGTTACAAGTATTAAAGTCTCCTCGTACAGCGTATGATTAGAACTTAGACCAGTAAAGTCAAAATACGGAGACAAAAAAATGAGTCACGTGCGGTTTACGTTTAGTACTTGAGTATTTGGACTCATGGAGATGAATGGAAGTCACGTGCCAAACGATCTTTACCGCTCACCAACGGCACGCGTAGCTCTCACGCTTGGTGTCCCATTTCTCTCTCGTAGCCAATCCAAATTACTTTCTTTTAAAAAATGCTTTTTTGTACTCCACGCGTGCTTTTCGCTCAAGTACCAAAGTAAACCGGAAAATCAAAGAACCGATAATTAGCATGAGTTGAAAAAATGAAATGAATTTAATATACTTAATCATTTTGATTGAAGTATTAATTGAATGATACTGAATTTAACGTAACGGATCGTTTAAAAAATCGAAATGATTATTAGCCCGTGATTAATGGAGCATCATAAACCGGTTTTTCGTTTTAACCAAACCGGGGATATTTGGAACCGTGCAGCTGAGAATAATTACCCGCAAGGAAAGAGAAGAGAGAAAAAGAAAAGGAAAAGGAAAAGACCCAAACTTTGAGAAACATCTTCATTCTCTTCCCATCAAAGCTTCCTTTTACCGATTCCCGTGAAGAGAGAGAAGATAAAGCAAGGAAACAATCGACATTCCATTACGAATTTTTGTTCCAGATCGAGAGGAAGAGTGGGAAGAAGGAGATGAGAATTGGGTTTCTCTAGTTTCAGCCTAATGCCGGAGAAATTGGATCTTTCCTAATTCCTTCTCGGGAATTTTCTTGGGTTTGCGTTGCCGATTCCGGTGGATTAAAGGGTATCTTTTGGAGGGCACGAATTCGATTTTTTTTTTTTTTTTTTGGAAAGAAAATAAAAGTTCCCCCTTTTGAGTCGGCGTTGAGGTTGAGTTTATAATAGTTAGGGTTTTTGAAATCCGAATCGCAAAATGTCGATGGAACCTCGTGTTGGAAACAAATTCCGGCTCGGCCGGAAAATTGGAAGCGGTTCTTTTGGAGAGATCTATCTCGGTTCGTATTATTTTCTCAATTGATTCGTTTACTGTTTTTAAATATGTTCTTGAGATTTTCTGGGATTGAAATTTGAGCATTTTTAAATCCCTAATATTTTTCCTTGGATTCTGGATTCTTTTAGGTACTCATATTCATACGAATGAAGAAGTTGCAATCAAGCTTGTGAGTTCTTGCTGCTAATTTTCTGTTTTTGGGTGTTTATAGCATTATGTGATGATTTTAATTGCAGATAGAGACAATGTACGTTGTTTACTATAAAAAGGACATTAGCTAGAGCTTGAAAACATTTATTAAGTTACTTGAATTGGATCTACATTGAAGATAGTTTGGTAGAAAAGTCCAATCTTCACTTGTTTCTCAAAGCTTTTTTTCATATTTCTGGATAATGTATATCGGATTTAGTATGGTTTTTTCCTTTCCAGGTTTGATTTGTTACTGCTAGAAGCCTTTTGATGAATTTACTGAGAGTAATTATGTCTTTACGTTTTGCAGGAAAATGTGAAGACAAAGCATCCGCAGCTGCTCTATGAATCAAAGTTATACAGAATTCTACAAGGAGGAAGTAAAAATTCATTTAAATCTTGTGGTTCTCTGTTTGCTAATTTCCATTTTCTCTATAATCTCTGACGAACCATTAATTTATGGCAGCTGGTGTACCGAATGTCAAGTGGTTTGGTGTAGAAGGTGACTACAATGTTCTAGTGATGGATCTACTCGGGCCTAGTCTTGAAGACTTGTTCAATTTCTGTAGCAGGAAACTTTCTTTGAAGTCGGTCCTCATGCTTGCAGATCAAATGGTGTAGATCTCTCTTGTGTCTATATTTGACTCCTTTACCTTAAACTCTTGATTTTAACTCTTGCTCTTCCTTTTTGGTTTCTAATGTTTCAGATCAACCGTGTTGAGTTTTTTCACTCGAAATCTTTCCTTCACCGCGATCTCAAGCCAGACAACTTTCTCATGGGTTTAGGAAGACGCGCAAACCAGGTTTTCTTCACTTACATCTTCGATTTTTGCTCTCTCATTTCACTTGTATCTCTGAAATGACTCTGTTTTTATACGTTTGTAAAGGTATACATCATCGACTTTGGTCTTGCTAAGAAGTACCGGGATAACACTACACATCAGCACATTCCTTACAGGTGAGACGATCATCGAATTGTAGTAATTAGCCTGCGTTTCTTCTTCCTGCGTAGAATTCTAAATCTTGGTCGTCACTTTCTGTTTTGTAGAGAGAATAAGAATCTCACTGGAACTGCAAGATATGCTAGTATGAATACTCACTTGGGAATTGGTAAGCTTGACAAAAATCATGTTTTAGAGTTTTCCTGTTGTATCCACACACTGTCCTTGTATTAATTCATTTTTTTTCTTCTATCATCCAGAGCAAAGCCGTAGGGATGACCTAGAATCTCTTGGTTACATTCTCATGTATTTCCTTAAAGGAAGGTGAGTTTGATATTACCCAAAATTTGTTCTTCTCCTCAGACCTTGTTATAATATGTCTTGTTTTTGGTTAGTCTTCCATGGCAAGGACTTAAAGCTGGAACAAAGAAACAAAAGTATGAGAGAATCAGCGAAAAGAAAGTCTCTACTACAATTGAGGTAAAGTCTCAATCACAAAGTTTGATCCTTTGTTCAAATTTTCTACTTTTTTTTTCCATTAACAATTTGCTGCATCTTCTTCCTCCAGTCCTTATGCCGTGGATACCCATCCGAGTTCGCATCTTACTTCCATTACTGCCGCTCGCTTCGGTTTGATGATAAACCAGATTACGGTTATCTCAAAAGAATATTCCGGGATCTCTTTATCCGTGAAGGTTTTGAAGCTTTTCCTTCTCTCCCTCAAAATTTGCATGTTTTTTCCACCAATCCCACGGTTACTTACATTTTCTTTTCTATCGCAGGGTTTCAATTCGATTATGTCTTTGACTGGACCATATTGAAGTATCAACAATCACAACTCACCGCTCCACCATGCCGTGGCCTCAAAAATCCTGCGGCTGGAACCAGTGCGGGTCTACCTCCAGGACTGACCACCGCCGATCGATACTCAGGTGAACATTTTTAAAAGCTGATGAGCACTTGACTGTATCGAATGTAAAAAGTTGAAAAGTTTGAAGCTTTGTTTGATTGTTTGTTTGTTTGTTGTTTATTGAAGGCGAGGAAGACGGAGGGAGACCACCAATGGATTCATCACGAAGGAGAATGTCAGGAGTTCTTGAGAATGTGTCAGCAAGAGGCCCTATGGTATGACCAAATTGCTCTGTTTTTCTTTCTACGCCCATAATAAAGCTACAGACTTTTAGCATTCTAAAAGCTCTTTACTGATCCAAATTGTAAAAACCAAATCTTCACTCGTTTTTATTGTGAAGTTTACGACAAGGGAGATTAAAAAAAAAAAAAACAGTATCTTACTTTTGACGTATTTTAAACTTCATAACTTCCTGAAAAGAGCAAGTCTCAGCTTTCTAATGGAAAATTGAATTAAACAAAAATAACAAAAACTAGCTTTAATATTTTAACTTTCATTTTTTGGAAGAGTAATAACTTGTCAAAGAGGGATCTTCAAAACAACACATATATAAATACATATATATTTTTGTAAACAGTAAATTCTTTTCACATTTTGATGTTTCACAATGTGATGGGATCATATAGAAAAATATGGCTTTTCTGTGAGTAAATATTTATTCTCTTTGTTGACAATGTGATGTTATTTTGGTTGAATAACAGATGCCAAGCTCATCGCTGTTCGCACAATCAGCAGGATCATCAAGGAGGGTAACGTCAGAGGAGCTACAGAGAAGCCGTACCGGCGCCGGATTAAGAAACTCTCCGGTGGTTTCGGAAGAGAAGAGATCTTCATCCACCCGAAAACATTACGATTCTACAATCAAAGGCTTCGAAAGCCTCCAAGTCTCTGACGAAAGGTTTCACCATTGATTCGATACATCGGTTAGAAGAAAGATACGATGTCGTGCTTGTTCAGAGATTTTAATTATAAAAGCTCTCGACTCTATATTGGAGTCTGGAGAAAGGAGTAAAATTGCTGATTCTTTTCTTTTCTTTTCTTCTTCTTGTGCTCTTTTTTCTAATTGTTAATTTGTCGGTTTTATGTTTTGTTTTACTATGGAGGGAAATTAAATTCAGTGTTTTGAATTCAGTACAGACATACAATGCAAGTTATAGCTTAGTAATAGTGATCAAACTTTTAATTACACAGAAGTTTTAATGTGTTACTGAAAAGAGAAACCATTGCATAGTGAAAAATAACGGGATTCAATTCAAATGATAAGGAATTTAGAGGGTGCAAAATGCAATATACTTGAAGAATAAGATTTTATCCGGCCATAACTTCATACCTCACGCCCTTTGTCTTCTCTTTATTCCTTCTTCTCTGAGAAGAGTTAACTCCGTTCTGGAACCCTAATCTCGTTGATATCGAATCTAGCAACTCCAATCCGAGAAATCGTTCCAGAGATCTGATAGCTTCTTCAAGGATCTGGAATCGGCGAGAATCTGCGGAGTCTTCTATTCGGGCAAAATCGGTGAGTCTTAAAAATCTGCTGCTTTTATTCGTTTGATCTCGATAATCGTAAGATCTGATCGATCGTTGTTCTAATTACTGGATTCTTCTCCCTTTAAGTTCCCAAGTAACCCAAGGAAATGAAAAATTTGATCTCTTGCTAGATTCAATTGTAGTCTGATTGTGCTGAGCTCGATCTCGGCTCGATTTAGCATTTTAGGCATTTCGAAATAGTTCTATAGAATGCATTGTTGATTTTCGCTCTGGTTGCGTTAATGTTTGATTTTAGCAACTTCATCAAGCTTATTCTGTAGCTTTACTTAGCTGTTGAAGCTCTGTAATTGCAGGATAATGGCAGACAACAACAATTCACCACCTGGCTCTGCAAAAGAGAAACCAGATCAAATCGTCGAAGCAAGCCCATTATCCAAGGACGACGATACTTCACTGGAGACCATCGTTCGAAGGTTCCAGGATACAATGTCAGAGTCAAAGACGACGCACAAGTTCTGGGAGACTCAGCCCGTTGGTCAGTTCAAAGATATCGGCGACACGAGCCTCCCCGAAGGCCCCATCGAGCCAGCGACTCCGTTATCGGAGGTGAAGCAAGAGCCTTACAACCTCCCATCCGTCTACGAGTGGACCACCTGCGACATGAGCTCCGACGACATGTGTTCAGAGGTGTACAACCTTCTCAAGAACAACTACGTCGAGGACGACGAGAACATGTTCAGGTTCAACTACTCCAAGGAGTTTCTCAGGTGGGCGCTTCGTCCTCCTGGCTACTACCAGAGCTGGCATATAGGAGTCCGTGCCAAGACCTCGAAGAAGCTCGTCGCCTTCATCAGCGGTGTCCCCGCGAGGATCAGGGTGCGTGACGAGGTTGTGAAGATGGCGGAGATCAACTTCCTCTGCGTTCACAAGAAGCTCAGGTCTAAGAGGCTCGCTCCTGTGATGATCAAGGAGGTAACGAGGAGGGTTCACTTGGAGAATATCTGGCAAGCGGCTTACACCGCCGGTGTGATCCTTCCTACGCCGATCACGACTTGCCAGTATTGGCACAGGTCGTTGAACCCGAAGAAGCTGATCGATGTCGGGTTCTCAAGGCTCGGTGCGAGAATGACAATGAGCAGAACCATCAAGCTCTACAAGCTACCGGACACACCTGTCACTCCGGGGTTCAGAAAAATGGAGCCGCGTGATGTCCCTGCTGTGACTCGGCTGCTCAGGAACTACCTTAGCCAGTTTGGAGTAGCGACTGATTTCGACGAGAACGATGTAGAGCATTGGCTGCTCCCGAGAGAAGATGTAGTCGACAGCTACTTAGTGGAGAGCCCCGAGACTCATGATGTGACTGACTTCTGCAGCTTCTACACTCTGCCTTCGACTATCCTTGGCAACCCGAATTACACGACGTTGAAAGCTGCTTATTCGTACTACAATGTGGCCACGCAGACCTCGTTTCTCCAGCTGATGAATGATGCGTTGATCGTGTCAAAGCAGAAGGGTTTCGATGTGTTCAACGCGTTGGATGTGATGCACAATGATGGTTTCTTGAAAGAGTTGAAGTTTGGGCCAGGAGATGGGCAGCTTCACTACTATCTCTACAATTACCGTTTGAGAAGTGCGTTGAAGCCAGCGGAGCTTGGGCTTGTTCTGTTATAAGCTTTCTTCAAGAACTTTGCTTTGATGCTATTTAGTTTGGTATTCAGAAACTTGAAAGTTGGTTTTTATTTATTTTTGGTTCTTCTTCTTTATCTGAACAATTTCTCTCCCTTGGGTTACCTAAACTGAGTTTAATTCATTTGGCAATGCAATTTTGAATTTTCTGGAAGTGGTTTATTATATGGTGGCTGACTACATTTTATGGATGATTTAACTAACATGACAGTTGATTCAACAATCAACTAACATTGTGTAGATCAATGTAGGTAGGTATCAATCCAAATTTTGATAACTGGGATATGTGAATTTTTTAAAAATCAAAAGTTGAAAGCAAGTTTAAACATAGTTCGGGTATAAATTACCACATATGGATATGGTTAGGTAAAGAATAAGCTATTTTTCCTCATGTAACCATACCAACGCACGTTATGTAGTCCTTTGAAACACACAAGCCACCCGAAGCTCTACACGTGTCTTTGTCGAAGAAGGACGTTTACGTAGCCTGTTTATCAAATTGACCAATGAGAGAATTACACGTGGCGAATAGAGTCTTATGGAAGTCGTGGTTCTATCCTCCTTATCGTCCTCTCGTCTTTAAAGGCTCCTTTTCCCAGTCATTGTGAAAGAAAAAAAAGGAAATAATTACGAAGGAAAAAGCCGGATTCTCTTTCTGCTGAAACCTCAATAGAACAGCAACAATGGTGTGAGGGATTCACTTTCTCGCGCTGAAGATTTTTGAATTTTGTTTTATTATTCTGAGGAGGGAATATGGAGTGTGTTGGAGCTCGGAATTTCGCTACAATGGCGGTCTCGGCTTTTCCGTCATGGAGCTCCCGTAGGAAATTTCCGGCGGTTAAGAGATACAGCGTAAGGAGTTTCCGGTGCGGTTTGTGTAGAGTCAGAGCTAGCGGCGGAGCAGGTTCCGGTAGCGAGAGCTGCGTGGCGGTGAGAGAGGATTTCGCCGACGAAGAGGATTTCGTGAAGGCCGGTGGCTCCGAGATTCTGTTCGTTCAAATGCAGCAGAACAAAGACATGGATGAACAGTCTAAGCTTGTTGATAAGGTATAATTTCCTGTTCACCTTGACTTGTTTAAGAAGAAAACGAACGTCTCGTAATCTCAGAGAAATCTCAGTCATTGCCTTGATTTTGCTTATGATTGTGTGTTTTACAGTTACCTCCGATATCAGTCGGTGATGGTGCTTTGGATTTAGTGGTTATTGGTTGTGGTCCTGCTGGTTTAGCCTTGGCTGCAGAATCAGCTAAGCTTGGACTAAAAGTTGGACTCATTGGACCTGATCTTCCTTTCACAAACAATTACGGTGTTTGGGAAGATGAATTCAACGGTAAAGAAAAAGAAAACCTCAATGATCAATCCATCTAATTGTTATCTTTATGGCCAATGTATTAATGTAACCACTAGTTTGTTTATTGCTGCTGTTCAAGATCTTGGATTGCAAAAATGTATTGAGCATGTGTGGAGAAATACTATTGTGTATCTTGACGATGACGATCCCATTTCGATTGGCCGAGCTTATGGACGAGTTAGTAGACGTTTACTTCACGAGGAGCTCTTGAGGAGGTAATGAAATGGTTTCAACTCTGCATCTTCTGTAGACTTTTCTCTCTAGTTTGCTGACTTTAATGTTCATCTCTTGTTATTAAATTCTCATAGGTGTGTCGAGTCAGGTGTCTCGTATCTTAGCTCAAAAGTTGATAGCATAACAGAAGCTTCTGATGGCCTTAGACTTGTTGCTTGTGGAGACAATATAGTGATTCCGTGCAGGTACATGACTGGATTAAGTGATGGAAATGTTCTTGTTTTAGTAAAACGTTTTGGACCCAATGTGAAAGGTTCTGCAAATTTTGCAGGCTTGCTACTGTTGCTTCTGGAGCAGCTTCAGGGAAGCTCTTGCAATACGAAGTTGGGGGACCTAGAGTTTGTGTCCAGACTGCATACGGCGTGGAGGTTGAGGTAAAGTAGGAAAAATGATATTCCAAGAGTAGCACCCAATATTGGAGAAATTATGAGTCTTTTGAGAATGTTGTATTTTTGATGACTGTAGGTGGAGAATAGTCCATATGATCCAGACCAGATGGTTTTCATGGACTACAGAGATTATACAAACGAGAAAGTTCGTAGCGTAGAAGCTGAGTATCCAACTTTTCTGTACGCCATGCCTATGACCAAGACAAGAGTGTTCTTTGAGGTTCTCTCTCTTGTTTCTCTCCTTCTATGTTAATCGTGAGAAGGTCTGTTGCTTATATCAGCTGAAATCCCCTGCAGGAGACGTGTTTGGCCTCTAAAGATGTGATGCCGTTTGATTTGCTTAAAAATAAGCTCATGTTAAGATTAGATACACTCGGGATTCGAGTTCTAAAGACTTACGAAGAGGTAATTTATCACATACAAGAAAGTTTAGCTCCATTCACTTGTTCAACAACAACGTAAAGAAACTTCCACGTTTGGTTTGTTTGCAGGAATGGTCTTATATCCCTGTTGGTGGTTCTTTGCCAGACACCGAACAAAAGAATCTCGCCTTTGGTGCTGCCGCTAGCATGGTACATCCTGCAACAGGTAATAAGAGCAAGCCTGGCTAATTCACATCTTGAAATCTGCACAAACTCTGACTTAACTTTCTCTCCCATTAAACAGGCTATTCGGTTGTGAGATCTTTGTCTGAAGCTCCAAAATACGCTTCAGTGATTGCAGATATACTAAAACAAGACACTACTTCCTTCACTAAACACATCAACAGTAATATTTCAAGACAAGGTGAGCTCTACATAAACTACTGAGTTAAGACATTATGGTTTCTGCCAAACTTACTTGGAAGCTTCCATATATTTGTTGGCAGCTTGGGATACTTTATGGCCACCAGAGAGGAAACGGCAAAGAGCATTCTTTCTCTTTGGTCTTGCGCTCATAGTTCAACTTGATATCGAAGGCATTAGGAGCTTCTTCCACACTTTCTTCCGCCTTCCAAAATGGTAAGCATCTGGTTCTCTTGATTCACATTGTATATTGAAAAGCAAGAAAATTGATTTTTGCATTTTACTTACTTTACTCAGGATGTGGCGAGGGTTTTTAGGATCGACATTAACATCAGGAGATCTCGTTCTCTTTGCTTTCTACATGTTCGTCATTGCACCAAACAATCTGAGGAAAGGTCTCATTAATCATCTCGTCTCTGATCCAACCGGAGCAACCATGATCCGAACCTATCTCAGACTATGATTCTCTCCTCCCACTCTTGGGTTTATGTGTAGATATATAAATAATCGATCAATGAATGGTATGTGGTTAGTAGGATTTGAAAACAACGTGTATAGAGTCTACGGTGTGGTGGAAATGCAAAAGAAAGTAAAAGAAAAGAAAAAAAAACAGTCTTGTTTTGTGTCAAGTGAGTGAGGATTTGAGAGAAAGACCGCGTGAAATGTGATAGTCTTGAATGTACTCAGTAACTTATTTTTCTCAATTTAATAGTTAGATTCTCCTTGTCTACTACGGACGTTTCAAAGTTGTAAATGTTGAACAAAATGGTATCCATTTATCAACATTGTTTATAGAATGCTACTAAACCTTCCAGTGATGGATGGATGAATCTATACACTTTTTTGAGTATGGAAACTGTTAAAATTGGATACTGCAAGTGGTTTGTGTGCCGTCCTGAATCATTTATTTATATGAAACAAGAACTGAGAAAAGGTAAATGTTCGCTCATTCGGTGCATCACATACAGAATCTAAGAAGAAGCAATGTATATTTATCTTAATTAAATCAATTATTCCGATGAAAATTCTTATTGAATTGTTCACTACTCACTAATAACATTATTTAAATTCGCTATTTGCACATTTAATAATATTATATAAATTCAGTTTTGCACATTTATTCAAAATGTATTATTATATCTTTACTAATGTCAACCCTTACGAGAATAGAAACATTCTAATCAACAATTTCTTTAAATATAGTCTTGTGCATTTGTTTTCCGTTATATCAGTATTAGCCTTGGAAAACTATCCTTCACTTAGTGCCAATGTGTAAGAATCAATGGTCTAAAGTGTTTGAATTAGAAAACAAGGGTACATATCTTAAATTTCATGAAGTTAATGCCCACCTGAAAAATAAAACCTTTCTATGATGGAATCATTAGATTAGGCAAAAGGAAAAAAAAAAAATATTATAAATTAGAGTTCACTCATTTTGATCAGGAAAACTGGAAATAGATAAAAACAAATTGTGATTTTATAAAATTATCGGGGCTAATAAAAAAAAAATCCTTAGTACGGTACATATCGTGAATATCACCTAAACACAAGCCCCATAAGAGTAAAAACCGCAAACTATTTTCTCAAAAAAATGACTTTTCTAATAAGTAGGCGCTTTAATAATTGTTTAATCGGTTTCAAAGGTCAATAAATACATCACCCACTAATTTGTTTTCTGTTAAGTCAACATACGCTTTCGCGGTCTATCTTCTCCCACAAAACCCATTCGTCGTCACAGATTTTCATCTGAGAAGGAACTTAATTTCATGGTGGTGATGGCGAACAAGTTCTTCGAATTAATCGGCGGAGCTCCGACTTATTCGATGGTAGCCGTCGCAGTTAAAGGATCTGTCGGCGACGCCGTAGGAGGAGCTGCTAGCCGCCGCGCTCTCCGTTGGGCCGTCGAAAACTTCCTCCCTAGAATCGATCGGTTAGTTCTAGTTCACGTCATGCCTACCGTCACCAGTATTCCTTCTCCTTGTAAGTTCGATTTTGAATTCCGCTAATCATTTTCAATCCATTTCGCGATTCGTTAAGTTGTAATTTCTGGGTAAAATTTTGTTTGTTTGTTTGCAGCTGGATCGAAGATTCCAGTGGAGGAATTGGAAGAGAGTGTTGTATCAATGTATAAAAGAGATTTGAGAAAGGAATACGAACAGGTTTTTGTGCCGTTTAAGAAGATCTGCAAATCCAGCAAAGTGAGTTTTCTCTCACTTTCTCGTTTCCGTAAAAGCCAATTTTGGAAGCTTTGGGCTCATGAATTTTGCTGGCGAATCTTAGGTTGAGACTTTGTTGCTGGAACATCATGATCCTGCAAAGGCTCTTTTGAAGTACATTTCAGATAGTAATGTTGAGTGTTTAGTGATTGGGTCTTGCTCTTCAAATTTCCTCACAAGGTACTGTTTCAAAATGAGATTTTGCAGAACGTTACTTATATCTGAGGAATTTTTATTAGTATTTGTTGTATATAGTATGATATGATCTTGCTCAAACGTTTAGCTTTGTTTCACCAGGAAAAGGGGGCAAGAAATGCCATTAACGGTACTAGCAGAAGCTCCAGAGGCATGTGAGATATATGTAATTTGCAAAGATAGAATATTAACCAAATCAACCAATCAGTTATCTTCAGGTACATATATATCAATATCAGTCTCTAAAACTTTAACTTTCAACGATCTAAAATGTGAATGTTGTACTGATCCCTTTGTGTGTGAAACTTTCAACAGAGTCATCGTCTAGTTTCCGAATACCCGACGGAGCAGAAGCTTATACAGAATCATTCAGCCGCACACGCTCGGATAAGACAGGCTTGTCAGTTTCATCCATGTCATCCTCAGGGAGGAAGCACATTCGAAGGCCTGCCTATTTGCCGCATAGTCATCCAACCTCTCGAGTGTTTTCAGATGCACAATCATCAAACGATATCGGTTTCGTCAGTGACGACGAACACATCCGTTCTATCCTTAGGCACAGCATCGTTTCCGGTAGTAAAATCCAGTTACATCCTGGAGCTAACAAAAAAACACCAAAGGTAAAAAGCATTTTGAATATTTAACCTCTGTTATGCAAAATGCTATAGTTTTGATCTCAATACATGTTTTTTGCAGTCAAATGTTAATTCTGAGGTAGAGCAGCTAAGGAAAGAAGTACAAACCACTCTCTCCATGTACAAGCAAGCTTGTGAAGAGCTTGTTCATAAACAAACGCAGGTCCAGTCTCTTTCCTCTGAGTGCATTAAAGAAACGAAAAGAGTCATAACTGCTCTGGAGAAAGAAGAAATGCTGAGGAAAGCAGCAGCGGAGGAGAAGGAAAAGCATCTAAAAGCCGTAAAAGAAGTGGAAGAAGCGAAATCAATGCTGGCCAAAGAGTTCTGCGAGAGGCAACTAGCCGAGCTTGATGCTCTCAAACAATCCATAGAGAAACAGAAAGTCATCGAGCAGCTCTTCTTGAGAGACGGACGTTACAGAAAGTACACGAAAGAAGAAATCGTCGCAGCTACAGATAACTTCTCTTCCCGGAAAATCATCGGCGAAGGAGGTTACGGAAAAGTGTACAAATGCAGCCTCGATCACACTCCGGTCGCTCTCAAAGTTCTCAAACCTGATTCAATCGAGAAGAAAGAAGAATTCTTGAGAGAGATATCAGTGTTGAGCCAGCTTCGTCATCCTCACGTTGTTCTTCTCCTCGGAGCTTGTCCTGATAATGGTTGTCTTGTTTACGAGTACATGGAGAATGGTAGCTTAGATGCTCACATCTCTCCCAAGAAAGGGAAACCATCTCTCTCATGGTTCATCAGATTCAGGATCATCTACGAGACCGCTTGTGGTTTAGCTTTCCTCCACAACTCTAAACCGGAGCCAATCGTCCACCGTGATCTCAAACCGGGAAACATTCTCTTAGACAGAAACTTCGTCAGCAAAATCGGCGACGTTGGACTCGCCAAGCTCATGTCAGAAGAGGCACCAGACAGTGTCACTGTCTACAGAAACTCGGTTATCGCCGGTACGCTCTACTACATGGACCCGGAATACCAGAGAACCGGGACGATCAGACCGAAATCGGATCTCTACGCGTTTGGGATCATAATCCTCCAGCTTTTAACCGCTCGACATCCCAACGGTCTTCTCTTCTGCGTGGAGGATGCAGTGAAGAGAGGTTGCTTTGGAGATATGTTGGATGGATCGGTTAAAGATTGGCCCATAGCGGAAGCGAAAGAGCTAGCTCGTATTGCGATCAAGTGCTCGCAGCTCAAATGCAGAGATAGGCCTGATCTTGATACGCAAGTGTTGCCTGCTCTGAAGCAGATTCTTGAATCTGCTAATAATAGACTCAAGACAGAACAGGCTAACATACGACCACCGACTCACTATTACTGCCCAATTCTCAAGGTAAAACCGAGAAAAAACAACTCTCAAAATGGTCACAGTTCTTAATGTTTCATGTTTAAAGATGATTGATTGGGTTGAGTGAATGAAATGCAGGAAGTAATGGAAGATCCACAGATAGCAGCAGATGGATTCACATACGAAGGAAGAGCGATAAAGGCTTGGATTCAAAAACATCAAAATGTGTCTCCAGTGACTAAGCATCGGCTCAAACATTCCGATCTCACACCGAACCACACTCTGAAAACGGCTATACAAGAATGGCGGTCACGTTCACGCCTCGACCTTTCCTCTACCCTTGGCTCTTTTTGATTACCAAAAAGAAAGGAAGTTTATATATATACTTATAGTGTAATTTGTATATACTTAATACCCTGAACTTGTGTTGAATCGGGTGTATCATGTCTGTAGGCTGTAGCTTACGTCAACAACGTGTTTTACATATGTTTTGGAATAATTGTTGTGGTATTAATTCGAAACAAGAATTATTTGTGGAATTAAGAGTTTTGGTTTGTTCGTTTTGGAGTACCATAAAATATGGTTTTCTACCATTTTCTATCTTTAACTTGAAGTTCCGAGAGAAATTTTTTTTTTTTTTCGTTTGGTTTAGTTATGAAATTTCACATGTAACATCAAAATGAATAAGATTTGTATGCTCTGTTGTGTATGTAACATAATACGTGCTTAATGGAACTGGTCCAAACACAATTTGATGAGTATCTACGAACTTATAACCAAGTGAAGTTTTAAGGATTCATCTACAAATAGACTCAAGGAGAGATTCAAGAATCAAACTTGAGTAAACTCAAGAGCGTTTGCGTCTGGATCATGAGTAAATATCGCTGGCCTCCCTGACTTACTCAGCGTATACTTAATCCCTACAAACAAACAAACAAACAACACAAAAATCTTCATCTAAGCAAAAAAAACAAAAGCGAAACCTTATAAATAAGCAAAGTGTGTGTATACATATACCAGCTTTGTCAAAAATCTCTTTCAGGCTTGAAACATCACGGATTGCGATACAAGAGTGTCGATCACGGCCTCCATGCTCGGGTCTACCAGTTAATGGATCTGGATTTGGAAGCTCCATAAGATGAATCATCTCAGAACCTACCCACAACCATGCTCCTCTATACGGAAGCTTATCATGTGGCCTTGCCTCGTTGATCTCAAGGCCTAAAATGTTCTGGTAAAACTCGAGCGACCGTTCTAGGTTCTCGCAGAGCACTGCAACATGGTGAACCCCAACAACTCCATAATCTACAAATTCAACAATAAAAAAAAAAACACAATCAGCCCGGTTTTTAGTCCCACCTTAATGTTTAGATAATTGGTGACAATTTCTTACAATCAAAACAAATCTTATTATCAGTTGTGTCTTTAGTCCAAAAAAACAATAAAAAGGGCGGGATCGGTTAATTACCGGTTTTATTGTTAACCACTTTCTCTTCTACCACAGTGAGCCCATCAATTGATCCTTGCGCTTTGTTAACCTTCAAGCTACATAACCTTACATTGAGCCTCTCTTTCCTCAAACTCTTCTTCTGAAACTCAATTCGTTCTTTCGGAGAGAGATTTGTACAATTAACCTTCCAAATACCAAAACGAGATTCATCATCAATCGAATAAAAAACAATCGACTGTGGAATTAATAATACCCACAAGCCTAATATCCCTTCTCAATTTCAATTTCTTGAAAAGTAAACACGAAATTCGAATGAGCGAAGAAGCTTAATCGTTACCTTTGGTCGTAGATCAATCGAAATCGAAGGTCTGAAAATAGTCGCCATGTAAGAGAAGTTCTGATGTCTTCAACACTCAACACAGAAGAAAGAGTTTCTTTGTCTCTCCGCTCACACAAAAAAAAAAGTCATGTTTTTATTCGATTTTTGTTTTTGTTATTAAGAATTAAGGAACAGAAAAAAAAACTGAGCCACAGATCAAAGGTAAACTCAAGTGACTAGAATTTGACATGTGTGTTTGATTTGTTCCTTTGTTTTTTTTATTTAATATAAAAAGATAAAGGAGCTTTTATTTAATCGAATTTGTCCTCAACACACACAAAAGCAAAGCCACATCATTCATGATTCACCAATCACGCATACAAAAGAGACCAGCGGCAACAAGGAGACACGCGACACCGCCCACAATGGTTTCGACGGCCCCGATGACGTAGTAGATGAGGAATCCGACTAGTGCAAGTGCACTAGCGATTGATATACAGTCCATCACCTTTCCGGTACCATATCCCCTCGCAGCCTTAGCCAATATGAAAGACCCGGCCCAGCCAGAGCCGATCCAGGCAAGTACGGGTACCATCTCCACCGGTACCGGAGCTCCTGCGGCGGCGCCAAACACCATCTTTCGACTGTAAATGATCAGTAAAATGCCCATATAGAAAGCCACCATTACCCTGTGTATCGCGGATACGATTTCAGCCCAACCAGCTGGCTGATCAGTTGAACGGGAATTGAAGCTCTCGGGTACGATTTTGGAATCAGCCATTGTTGAATTGTTTCGACAAGACAAGAGTTTATATGTTGTCTAATCAGGGTTTATCGGCTAATTATTTCTCTCAGCCATAGCATTCGTATTTATAACAAAAACAAATATTACATTATTGCTAAAATGTAATTATATTTTTGTTTTAATGAGAACGAGATCTCCTGATGTTAATGTTGATCCTAATAACAAAAAAATATTACATTGCTAAAATGTAGTTATATTCGTATTTTGATATCATACGTCGTTGACTGTAGGTAACTTTGTAAAAGAATAGTATAAGTGACTGAGCCACAGATCAAAGGTCACTTAGGTGAGTTTTTAAGTGATGACAAGAATTTGACATGTGTTTTTGATTTGTTCATTCTGTTTTTTTCTCGACACACTAAGATATACAGAATATAAATTCTCGATTCTATTTCGTTGATGGGTCATGGATGTGAATTAAATTTCGTACTGTGCACACATAAAATCCGTCCATCAGCAGTCCAGCACATGTGAAAATCAGTCTCGTGTTGTGTACAGAAATTTAATTGATTCAACAACAACCACAAAATCAAAACTTTGTGAAAACAAGTAACTAAACCATGTGGTGGCAATAGTCAAACGTTTATTTAATAAAACGAAGAAAAGAAGTTGAATGGTTATTTTAAATAAACGTTTGACTATTGCCCACCACATGGTTTAGTTACTTGTTTTGAGATATCGATGGGCCAGGGTCAGGCCCAGTCCAATGATCAATTCACATCTTGCTTTTTTGTTTGTAATTTCAAGATGTTGCTGCCTTTCTGAGTGGCATAAAAGTAATAAACATATATTTTATTTTTTTACAAAATGTAACTTACATATGACTTTTCTTTCTTTTCAATGATGTTAGATGCGTTAGATTTCTGGATAAGAAGTAAGAAATATAAAATATTTTATCATTTATTTATTTTTCATTTTGGATTTTATATCATATTAACTAGAATCGATAGCAAGGAAATTAGCTATTTTACATTTGTGTAGATGTTATGTGACCACAACTTTACACAGCCTTTTTTTTAACAGATCCGTGTGGCAATTGATTATCTCGAAATTTGTGACACATATACAATATGAATTGATTGTTCTTTTTCGTACCAAATTATATTTTTTTTATCTGCCAGCTGCTAGAGATCCCCTCAAACATTTTGAATGAACGTTTTAAAAGTTGCATGAATCTATCTACGTATATGCCTCATATCCATTAAAATGTGGTGTTTCATCCAACATTATTAAAAACAAAAATATAAATTTTATATCTAGGTTTCATATATATGTATGATTGGTTCACTGAATTTGATTGGAATTGGGTGTTTTGTTTGTTGCCCATCCAAAGCCACTTTCATTCACATATCGTTACATGGTCGAATGAAGACTTGACACGTGGAATAAAACAATAGAGCAAGGACTATTATTATTTTTCTTTTCCTAAAAAAACAAATTAATAAAAATAAAACAGAAACACAAGATATTTACGGAAGTTAAAGAGGCTGTCTTTGTCAGTGCAATGAACCTCTTCCCTCATCTTTCCCGCCACCCCAACTAACAGATCTCTCACCGTACACGTCATCATCTTTTTGCTCACCAAATCTATGACTTTCTCTCTGTCTACGTGGCGACCATCCGTCTGATTCCCGACAATAGTGGGTCCCACTTGATTGTTAGTCATATTTGTTTTTCCAAAAAGGATTTACTATCGTTGGAAAAAGAATCATCTGTTGACAACACAGCACACTTCTTTCCTTGATTCTATTCTGTTTTTGGTTCTACATAATGTCATTACACGATTTTGAAGCCTATCCATAAATGTATTTTTTCATTTTTTTATTAAACTGGAACCACAAACATATTTTGTTTAAGAGTATATCAAAGATTGGAGCTATTCAGATTCTGGATTAAGTTGGTATAACAGTTATACATAACCATGATGTAATATTTTGACTGTCTGTCACTAAAAGAATGTGGAAGTGCGAGTAAATACTATCAACCATTTTTGTGTACAAATGAGCGAAAGTAGACATTGCATGATCCATGTGTCACGTGATGATTAACAAAAATCTGATAATCAGAACTTCTTTCTAAATATTTAATGATAACTTATGTTGTAAGATTCTATAAAGTTTAAATAATGCTGTAAATAAAAGAGTAGTACAAAACACAAATAAGAAACAACTGTTTTATATAAGAGGAAGTCAGCAAGAAAATATCTTTGAAATATCAATAAGTATGTAAACTAAATCAAAAGTCATCTGATTCACTAACTTTCTAAGTTTCTATTGATATGTGGCATGTTTAAATTAAAGAAATAATTTAGAAGAAATCTCCATCTATACAAAACAACACATGTAGTAGCTTAGCTTTATCCAACACTTAATTTCCAAACGTTTCTTATAAATGCAGGATATTTTCTCACAAAGAAACTGATACACACATATGTATTCAAAAACTGCAATAAAGATTCGCAATAATGGAGGGGTGACACGATAGTAAAAGAAAGAGAAACTGTATTTCTCTATAAACTATAAAGAATCAAATAAATATATACTTTTTTTTTGTTTGCATACAAGAAGTTCAAAGTAAATGTCTTTCTTTCTTGACTGAGAAACATCATCTCTCTTCTCTTTGTGCTGTGTTGTGTAATAAAGAAAGACCTCTCTCCCTCTCTCTCTATAAAATCTCATATGTGGCAGATTTAAATCCGATTCCTGCCTAAACTTTTTGTTTTTTTCTTTTTGTTCGAGCACGAGAAAGAAAATCGGAAAAATTGTTTTTTCGTTTCAAGTTAATTGAAGAGAGAGATAGAGATAAAGATCACAGAATCTCTAAATGGTCGAAACGAATTGCCCAGAATCAAGGAAACCCTGATTAATCTTTTTTTTTTCTTTTTTCTTGGGGTGGTGATAATCTCGGGAAAATTTTGCTTTTTTCCTGTTTCCTTTTTTTTTCTTTATTTGGCAAATCTCAATCTAATTCATGTGCTTATCTAAGGTTGTCTCACTTTCCTCTTCGGAGTCATGAGTTCCTTGTCTTCCTCATCTTTCTCTTAAATAATAAAGTTTTCAATAGTCTCTTAAATTTTCGACTTTTCGATTTTCTCTTCCTCTGAACCGTTTCTAAAAACTCAACCATAAGTTAGAAACAGAGAAACCCAATTTGGCACCTTTCGTTGATTTCTGATTTGGGTCTTTGCGAGAGATCAAGGATTTTTCCATCAATGGACGAAGCTTCTCCAGCTGTCGCTGTTCCATTCAGACAGCCTCAACTAGAATTCGCCGGAATCAGAGGCTACTGCAACGGCCCGTTACCGGAAAGTTCTTGTTCCGGCGACGAATCTATGAAAGATTCGTCCTTTGGGAACGAACGGAGACAGGATTCGTCACCATCGTCATCGGCAGGTGTGCCGGATATCTCCGCCGGGGAAGAAATCAGCAGCTCAGGCGAGTTTGATCCGAGATCGTCCGCTCACGCCGGAGAGAAGAAAGTACTCAGCAGAACAGAGAGTAGAAGTCTGTTCGAGTTCAAGAGTGTGCCTTTGTACGGAGTGACTTCGATTTGTGGAAGACGACCGGAGATGGAAGATTCCGTCGCGACGATTCCTAGATTCCTTCAAGTCTCGTCGAATTCGCTGCTCGATGGTTGTCGTGTCGGTGGCGGATTCAATCCTCACTCCTCTGCTCACTTCTTCGGCGTTTACGACGGCCATGGCGGTTCTCAGGTAACACCAAAATTTCATCAATCTGATTCGATTCTAAAGTCAATTGAGTTAGATCTGATTAATGAATCGGATTTTGTGTGTGTTTAGGTGGCGGATTATTGCCGGGAGAGGATGCATTTGGCTCTGACGGAGGAGATAGTGAAGGAGAAGCCGGAGTTCTGCGACGGCGACACGTGGCAGGAGAAGTGGAAGAGAGCTCTGTTCAACACTTTTATGAGAGTTGACTCGGAGATCGATTTTGTTCCGGAGACCGTGGGGTCCACTTCAGTGGTCGCCGTTGTGTTCCCGACGCACATCTTCGTCGCCAATTGCGGCGACTCGAGAGCCGTTCTCTGCCGCGGCAAAACGCCACTCACTCTAACCGTCGATCACAAAGTAAGTGTTATATACAGAAACCAAAAATAACGTTTTGTTGTATAGCGTTTTAAGCTTATAGAAGAATTTTCGCTTAATAAACAGTTTCATTTGTTATGTTGTTAGCAAACTTATAGTGTTTGGCTGTACGTTTATGTGTAGCCGGATAGAGAAGATGAAGCGGCGAGGATAGAAGCGGCCGGAGGGAAAGTGATTCAATGGAACGGTGCTCGTGTTTTTGGTGTTCTCGCTATGTCAAGATCAATTGGTATGCCTTTTCACTTTTTCTTGAAAATGTGTTTTGTAACTTTGTTCCTTCCAAGATCGCTAACATTGTTATAAACCGGTGCAACCAGGCGATAGATATCTGAAACCGTCGGTGATTCCGGATCCGGAAGTGACATCGGTCCGGCGAGTGAAAGAAGATGACTGTCTCATCTTAGCGAGCGACGGTCTTTGGGATGTGATGACGAACGAAGAAGTGTGCGATTTGGCAAGGAAACGGATTCTGTTGTGGCACAAGAAGAACGCGATGGCCGGAGATGCTTTGCTTCCGGCGGAGAAGAGAGGAGAAGGGAGAGATCCGGCGGCAATGTCGGCGGCGGAGTATTTGTCGAAGATGGCTTTGCAAAAAGGAAGCAAAGACAATATCAGTGTGGTGGTGGTTGATTTGAAGGGAGTGAGGAAATTCAAGAGCAAATCCTTGAATTGAACTAGAAGGTTTGGAAGAAGAATTTGAATGAAAAAAAAAGTTTTGATGGTGGGTAAAAAAAACAGGTAATAATAATATTATTTGTTTGTAATATTAATTTCCATTTGTTTACTTTGCTATCTATCCCACCATTATTTAATCTTTTTTTTTTTTTACTAACATGAATATGTATATGAGATCATTTAGCTTCCAAACAAAAAATCCCCTTCTGTTTTTTTTTATTATTTTGGGGTTGAATGTAATATGACTACATTCCTAGAAGTTAAGATCACTTGATTCCTTATTTTTCAATATCTTTTAAATAGTTTGACAAAAAATATTACGAATGACGTTCAAACTTCAAATAGTTTGAGACATTGTAGGTGATGGTGGAGACCAACTTAGTGAATAATTAGTTACTTACACAAGACGTTTGATTTTAAAGTGTGCAATGTTGTGTACGGCAGTTTTTATCCAAATTTTTCCATCTTTTTATCAATCAAACAATAATACAAGGTAATGCAATTTGACATCGTAATGATTTTTATTCTTAGATTTCTGAAAGTTTATCTCTTCAAATAACATTTCACTTCCAGAAAAAAAAAACTGTATTATGTAAAGTTTAAAATATTATAAACGCAATGGTTGGTAAAAACTGACAACTGGTAAACACTCAAAGAGTATTTACTATTTACTTTGAAAGAGTTTAAATTTATTCTTCAATCTTGAAACGCAATTAAAGCGCCGACGAAACTGAAAAAGACAAGTCGAAGAAGAAGAAGAAGAGGAAGAGACACGATTCTCGTCTGACTAATCAGTATTCAGATTCGTTTTAATTACCACATTCATCTTTTTCTCACTAGCTTCTACTCGGTGAGACGGTGAGTTATCTTCGACCTTTTGATTCTTTAATTTTCTGGCGCAATTCTGGATCCAGTAGTTGGTGGATTGCTTTTCTCACGGTGGTGATCTAGGGATTTCAAATTACAGCGAGGTTTTGGTTGCTGCTAGGGTTTCGCTCGAAGCATATTCGATTTTGGTTCTTGATTTGATCACCGCTTGTGAAATTTAGAAGGTTTCATTGTCAATGCAGGAAAAAAATTGAAGATCTGGTCACAAACAACTGAACAAGATCTAAAGCATGGACGAAAGTAACTATCCCACCAAACTCTTCAATTTTGTGCTTTTTAGTTAATTTTAATAGAATAGTATCATCCATATCTAGAAACAGAGTAGATTGAGTTGTTTTTTGAAAATCTTGGGGCATTTTGAGTTGTACTATGAGATCATGAAACAACCGAAAAGATCGTAAAAAGTTCTTAGAGAAAAGAGTTACATATTGCATCTTTTTTTTTTTGTTGCAGATAATAAATTTGTATCCGGAAAAGATAGAAACCAGCTGGTGAAATTCATAACCGAGAAGCATGCCAATCTCATGAGACCACTCGCTCGTTACTATTCCGCATTTAAAGGTAAGTTCTGTTATAAGTAAAATGTGAAAGATGAAGCATTTTCTTCTCAGCTTTAAACCCATGAACTAAGAGTCTATTTCGAATTAGATGCTATGGTTAGTGGTAAAAGAAGATATACGCTTGTTAAAGATGTAGACGACATGGAAACAGGAGCTTACGACAAACCTCTCCCTTGCTTTGGTTGTGGAATCGGATGGTTCTCGTGAGTATTTGTTATCTTGTTAGTTCTCTTCTTGTAATGCTGATTTATTCTTCAAATCTTCTGATTTCCATCTTATAATAAATAAAACAGATTTCTCCTGGGATTTGTGTGTCCACTCTTGTGGTACTACGCTACGTTTCTTTATTTCGGCAACTATTACCGGAGAGATCCCAGAGAAAGAGCTGGTCTTGCTGCTTCCGCAATCACTGTAAGTACTTATGGTTAGAGATAGTCTATAGTCTAATAATGTGTTATAGATTTCTAGAAAATAGCTGAGGATTTGATGTTAACTTTGGTGCAGGCGATGGGATTCTCTCTTGTGCTACTCGTGATTTTGGCTTTACGGTGGTTTTAATATATTCACATATACCAAAGTAACTATGTAAGTATGTTTACATTCTTATAAGTTCCGTGCGAATCAAGGAATAGTCACGCGAACTTGAAATCATGTACATTCATATAAACCTGTGGTTTTACTTGAAACTTATAGAGTTTGTATACAAAGAACATACCAAACAAATATGACACATGAATACATGGTTGTATTGAAGATTTGAAGCTACATTTTGTTTTTGTCCGCTGTGATTATTCTCGTCTGAATAAGTGTGGATTGTAGATTGAATTATTAGTTTATTACCATTTTTTCCACAAAATCTTTCATCTCTCGACCATTCTTTTATGAATTTGTGGACGAGCTTAGCCTTTCCACGACGGTTTTTATTTCTGGTGGGCTTAGATGGGTCGGTCCGTTAAGTGATGGGTGGTTGTTCTCCGGTTGAGCTGTTTGCTGAAAACAGTTATTTAAAAGGTAACAATATTTCTCATTCATTGAAGAAAACACAATTTCTAACAAACAACTATGTCAATAACAAAACTTATAAATTGAACTGATATATCTTATCACAAATTTCATTTAAGATAAAGTATTTAAATTAAACTAGTTATAAACTTTTTATGTACTCTGTATATATATGATATCATGCAAAGAGTCAACCAATAGACCGGTTGATTGTTCTACCGGATAAATTATTTCGAGTGACAAATTTTCTAAACGCAACGAAAGTGTTATTTTCAGTCGTAAGGTAGTGGACTAAAACACCAAGTCGTTTTGAACGCACATCAAAACTTCAAGACGACATGATGTGCTTTTCCCAAAATGTAAAACGATCAACGTTTCCACTGATAGGTACGTACAGGGGTTTCGAGATCTTTGTACTTATCAATCAACAAGAAGTTTGATTGATTCGATTATTATCATCGCTAAAAGCTTCCAATAGGTCAATGCCACGACAAAATTGTGGATCTCTCTTCCATTTTATTAATAGTAATCATCGAAACACGAATCATTTAGCGCTTTGATTAACTTTTTAATATTGATACTAATAAGACGACAAGCAAAGTAATACGATTAGATGTGGTAAATTGCACGTGTGAGAGACAGGCTGTTTGAAGAAACTTAGACGATACTTCCGATTCATCTAGCGACTCTTTTTTCCCAGCCTGTCTCATTCTCTTCTTTTTTTCTCCAAAATAGTTTTTAATAGTTATATTTATATATCCAGACCAAAATACAGGTATCTGTACCTAAACCCCAGATTAATGTCCATCAGTGTCCAATTATTAATCATCGCTCTTTGTTTTATATAAAAAGAACAATTCTTTATACTAGTACTGTATTTAGCAAGAACAACAAAATATGAGTCTTTGGTCGATAATTGTTTTTGTTAATCTCAAGTTTAAAGCGGAAATCCAGTTTGGATCTTGTAGGCTTGTGGCGCCAGCCAAAAACATACTCTTTATTAATTAACACACTCGGATATAGTTGCGGATACTACTCTTCTTTAAAACCATGCATTGGTTCAATATTTCAATCCACAAATGCATGGTAATAGTCAATGTTACATGATTCATTTTACTACATGTAGATACAACACTCGTTATTAACCCGGCCAGTGTTAATATTTCATTTGGTTGAGACTCGTCAACTTTCATGAGTCTTTAAAACTAAAACAAATACTCAAAACTAAACTTCCATCCAACAGTCTTTCTTTTTCTTGTCCTGTTTCAGAGTTTTGATTCTTTGAAAAAGAAAGAGGCTGTTGGATGTTTGGTGGATTTGTCACATGTTTTACCACAAATTAATTTAGACCTACGGAAACTATTGATTCGATAGTTGGACAAAAAACTTTTCCATATCACTTTTTCTTTCACTAACTTTTCACCCACGTAAATCACCTGATTATTGATTAGTTTATGAGATTTTAGAGAACCTTATATGATTCTCCCGAAACCGATTCTCTTATGATATAGGTCATATTATTATTTTTATCCGTAAATCGCTATCCTTCTTTTCTTTGGTTATTAGTTTTATATAATTTTAGTTAATGCTTACTTTTCTTTCTTTAGTCTTTAGGTTTACTAGTGGGACACTGAATAAGAAAGAGAAGAGCCAAATTTCAAAAATATCAAATTTATTTCGTTTCCACAGACAGAATCTTGGTGGCGATGGCCAAAATTTTAGGACAATCATAATTAAAATTTCATGCATGTGTTGTTAACTTGTAATCATCATATTTAAATATTTTTTGGAGGCTGTCTTAACGTCAAAATGTTACGTAAGTAATCTTAAAAAAAACAAATATACAAGAGAATAAAATTACGTATAAGTTAACGTTTGATTATTTTCTCATTACCAAAACGTGGATCGCCTTTTTTTAAAGCATTTGTGTTCCAATAAATAAATAAATAAACAATCTAGAAATGGTGATGGCCGAGTGTACAACACATTATCGGTAAGGTGGAACGTTACACAACCCAAAAATCAGGGTTTATAATATTTATATATATTAATTCGCCTATAAGTAATATTAGGTTGAAAAGTTTTGTAAACTAAAACTTTTGATTTGAATCATTCATATAATCTACTAAACTACAAAGGCGTTAAAAGGGATTATAAGAAAATAAATATGAGTTTAAAGGGTTGGGATTGGATGCTGGTCCCCTTTTCTTTTTCTTCACCTTTTATTCGATGATATTTGTTTTTATTCAACTTTTTTGCTCCTCCCACTTATGAATGTGGCATGTTGAAGCAAATAATGAAGAAATTGGCGCACATAAGCTCTATAATGCTACCAATCGACATTTGATGACAATATCGTTTGATCTATTTATCAAAAAAATATCGTATGGCCTATCATCACTAGCTACTATAAAACCAGAAAAAAAATAGTTAGTACTATAAGTAAGGTAGTTTAAAGTTGAAACCCTCCCTCGTACCCTTTATATAGATTTTATTGATTTTTTCAGACTAGTAGTTTACTAGAGCTAAATAAAACAAGTTTACGGTAGTGTTATAGCTAAAAAGACTAGCTAGTAATAAACATACGGATTCTTGTTTGTTTGCTTAAAAGTTCCAATTTTTTATGATAGTGTTTGTTAGGTTCATGATTCACTCATATATATATCTGCGGATGCGTAAATCATCTTTCCATATGCACAACACCGCATTGAAAACCTGTTTAGGTCAACAACAAACTACGAATAAAGATTCATCATTTTTACTTGACTTGATTAGAACCAAGTCAACAACTTATGTGACAAAGGCTTAATCATAGAGCTAAAATAAGGCAATTTGTGTGTAAAAAGGAGTCTAAACGAATAAACTGTAGAAATAAAACATTGTGTTTTAAGCCGAGACAGCTCGACAAAAGATGCGGAAGTTTGGGTTGGGTTGTAGCGAGAAAAGGGTAAGTAAACACTTTACAATGATGATAACCACGCTCCAATTGTTTCTATGAACAAAGCATGAGCATTCTCTAAAGTTATTTTCCAAATTTATATGTACGAGATTTAAAACTATACGTGGACTTTTTGAGTACAAGCAAATATCGTACCGCATTTTTTTTTTTTTTGTAAACACATGATATATGTAGTAGTAGTAATGCATGGAACGATAATAATGATTATAATTTGAAATCTTTTGTTGACTAGCTGAAGCCTAAAAAACTAGGCATTATTTTTGTTGCAACAAAAGCCTTTAGAATCCCCACGGTAATAAAATAAAAAAATAAAAAAATAAAAAAAAAAAAAAGAAGAAAAGAGTTGAAGTCTTGAAAGTCTTACTTTAAAGTATGGATTATTTTTTCTTACATAAGTACATAACTATACTAAAATCTCGTGGTACAATAGAAATCTTGTGTTGAAATGTTATCTTGCTAAACAATATAGAAATTTGATATGTCAACATATGTTCGATTATGCATTACTTGCATGATTAGTGTAATGGTTGGTAAGCAAAATCATTTATTTATATATCTGGTCGACGGCTCGACGTTGCTTGTAAACAAGGGTTATCCAAGACGGGCCTTAATGGCAACATCAACATCCTCAACAATTTTAAAATGGAATTCATTTATCAATTACTTACATTTAAAAAAAAAAAAAAAAACATTTGACTAACTATTGTTTAGTAAATCATGCTACAAATCCGATTAATTAGTTTACGCACAAAACTAAACTGAAAATCTAATTGGACGGCTACGAGAAAATAACTTGTCATTCTTTCGTTTTTAATGTCATTGTCAACTTTTGTGAAACAACCATGTCCAAATAAATGAAAAGAAAAAAAAAATTGTTCGAAGTCTAAAAATGTTTGACGAAATTTCGAACTCAATGAACGAAATTTCCAACTCAATAATATGAATTGAGTCTAATATTATTTGAACAGGTCTTGGGCGGGCGCGACATTGTTCAAATACCATGACAACAATTCCTTTCCGTGTCCGGATGAGTATAATCTTTAATCATAGTTGTAATTTCCCCTACAATTAAGTTTAATAACGTATTTAATTTATACAACTATATTGTTAAATCACTCCGCCACATAACCAGCACTATAAAAACGTTACTTCATTAATGTACTGTAATCGAATCGGCAACTATCTTCTTCTCTCTCTTTTCAAATAATACCGGAAAATGGAGATAAACGGCGATCAACCGCCGCTGATCTGGCCGCAGTTCGAATCTACCGGATACACTCGCCGGAGATCATCGATTCCGACGATGTTAGTTCCTGTGATGATCGGAGTGATATCAGCGGCTGTTTTTCTTCTGTTTGTGACATTCGTCGTCCCTCCGTTTATGTCGATCACATCTCAGATTCTGCAGCCAGTTTCGGTGAAGAGAGGTTGGGATTCGATCAACGTCGTTTTAGTAGCTTTCGCGATTCTCTGCGGCGTACTCGCCAGACGAAACGACGACGGATTGTCATCGCCGTCACCGTCTGCACACGGCGGAGAAGAAGAAGTAACTGTCACGAGTGGTGAAATGGAAATGGCCGTCGACGAGGATAGCAAAATCTCTTCCTCGTCGGTTTCGCAAACGTGGTTTGATGACGTGTACGACGTTGATAGGCTTAAGATCTACGAGAGCGTGAATAGTCGGAGTTTCCCAACTGGATTACCGGTTACCGGAACCGTGCCGTTGAGGCGTAGTAGTAGCTCGTATCCTGATCTGAGAAATGGAGCTTTAAGGGAAACCGTCGATCGCCGGTTCCGGTTTTACGACGATTTCGAAATCGACAAGTACCGATCGCACGATTCGCGTTCCTACGAACAATTTCCCAATCGTTCTGAAATTGAAATCGAAGAATCTGAGCCCAAAGAAATTCCGATTGATAAATTCGTCGTAAGGCCGCCATCTCCGCCGCAACAACCACCGGCACCACCAGCTCCTCCACCTCCACCTTCTCAACCATCTCAAGTTTCGCAGAAACCGAGAAGGACTCATCGTTCTGCGAGAAACAGAGATACACAAGAAAACGCGAAACGTAGTGTCATTAATTCTGATTCCACCAGATTTAAACGATCGTTTCAGCCTCCGCCGTCACCGCCTCCGCCACCTCCACCTCCACCGCCTCCACCTCCACCGCCTCCGCTTATAACCGCCACTCCACCGAGGAAACAAGGGACTCTTCAGCGAAGAAAGAGCAATGCAGCGAAGGAGATTAAAATGGTTTTCGCTTCTCTGTATAATCAAGGAAAGAAGAAGAAGAAACTTCAGAAACCAAAGAGAAAGGAGAGAAACGAATCTCCGGTGGTGGTGGAAACAATGGAGCCACCGCAATACCAATCGTCATTTCCACCACCGTCCCCGCCGCCACCTCCACCACCTCCTCCGCCTCTACCACGATCGTCGCAGTCTGTATTCTACGGATTGTTTAAAAAGGGCGTTAAGAGCAAAAAAATTCACTCCGTTCCGGCGCCGCCTCCACTTCCACCACCGAGAAAAATCCAAATGGATCCTCAGACACCACCACGGAGAGTGAATTCCGGAAGACCTCCGCGTCCGACGAAACCGACAAACTTCAACGAAGAGAGCTACGTCAACAAGGGTCAAGCATCTCCGTTGATCCAAATCACGCCTCCTCCACCTCCACCACCTCCTTTTAGAGTCCCGCCGCTAAAATTCGTCGTGAGTGGTGATTTCGCGAAGATACGGAGCAATCAGAGCTCGAGAAGTACCTCCCCTGAGCGAGAAGTGATCGACATTGGTTGGGGTCTAGAACTTACTCAATCTGATCACGCTGGAGCTGAGACTGTAGTCGCCGTCGGTAGCCGCGGCGGGCCAGGATTCTGTCCAAGCCCGGACGTTAACACGAAAGCTGACAATTTCATCGCCAGGCTTAGAGACGAGTGGAGACTCGATAAGATCAACTCCGGGAAAGGGAAAAAGAAACAGAGCTCTGTGTAAGGTTCGTTACAAAAACGACGTAGTTTCTTCGACCCTCATGCTCTGCAATGCAACGCACAAGAACAATCACATACGTGATGATGATATGATAAACATCTTCAAGCAAGTTTGGCTAAAATGTTTGAGATGTTTATATGAATTTAGCTTATTCTATGTGAATCTAAGCATTGTGCTGCCGACGGAAGCACTCAGAGTTACCGGTAATATTGGCATTACCGGTGCAGTTGTTTAGAAGTTAATCGGTTAGAACCGGCTGGTAATTTTTCGGTTGAACCGGTTGGGGACTTTTCGGTTAGTGTGTTTGGTTTCTCGGTTTGGAGTTTCCGACAAAAAAGTTGATTAGTTGATATTGTTGGTACGTATTGATGTATGTATGGCCCGTGATATTGAAATATAGTTGTGGGCTCTGAGTTTTGTTGGGCCTACCTCTTGTGAGTTGTGACCTTTCCTCTCTTTTTTTTTTTTTTTTTTTTTTTTTTTTTCTGTTTATATTGTAAATGATCTCTTTTTTTCCTTCCAGTATTATTTTAGGTTTTACATTTTTTTCCTCAAATTTTTACAATTGATTTTAACATATATTAATGTACTAGTTTGTAACAATATGGTACTTAAATTTGGACTAGTTGTTGAATTATTTTTCACATTATCAGTGTTCAACCCTTCATACAAACTAGAAAGCTGATAACAATCGGAGATAGGATAACATTGTTGCTATAACTGCTAGCGAATATCAATGTTCAATTGCTATAATCCTAAAGATATTTTGGTATTTTGTAGCAATTCTAAGCAAACTATATCATCGTCCAAATCTTTAATATACATGGAGAATCAAGTAGTGACAATTTGATATCTATGCAATTGTTGATTATCTAGAAAATGTAATCGGTCAATTTTATTGTGTCCATGGTCTATCTAAACAATTCATTTAGATTAAACCACATCATTTTTATGAAGATTTTAGTGTTTTTTTTTTTTAATTTAGAAAAACAAACAATTTTAGAAGCCTACGTTTAATATTCAATTTGGACCACAAGAATATCAGCCTCTACCCTAATTGTGTATGAGGCTGTGTAAAGTTCGTGCTGCAGAATTTGGATGGACCATAACATAATTCGGTCAGATATTACCAGCATCAAGAGACATTGTGCTGCTATATTGATAGTGTACATAAGCCTAAAAGACTATTTTCTCAATCTGCATGCTCTGAAAAAATGTTTAGGTGTCATAGGATTGGTAATACCTAACTTAATCCACTAAATTGAAACTTAATTATAATCATTTTTTGTTTATTTGTTTTGACCAAAATAATTATTGTTTGTTTGCATCCACAACAATTTAACTTGATTGTTGTAAATAAAGTGGTCTAATGATGCTAAGGGTGATCAATAGTTATGGTAAGCCAAAAACAGGGGATACATGAAAATATTTTCGATTGTGTTAAAGTAGGTCCACTTGTTTCAATCTAGTTTCCTACTATCTTTTGGACACCATATGTGGTTCATACTTTGAATCTTACTTTGAAAATCATATGTGTATCATCAATGATCACAGGAAACAACCCAATTGGGTATATGAAGCTTGTTTTTGGATAAAGTCTATGACTGTGAATGGTAAACAATTTGGAGTAAAGTGGAGTAAATCCATTTGGAGTAAAGTGGAATAAACATTTTTTTGTTATCAAGTGATTTAATTTTTTTTCCAGCTGAAATCTACCCACCACATAAAAGAGGTGAAAAATATAGTGGATCTATGATCAAATTTCGTTACATTTTTCATTCAATTTATTCTAACTGGTTTACCATTCAGAGCCTATAAGCTAGAATCTGACTTCTATTAAGAAATTTATTATGAACCATGAAATGAGGCTTCTAATGTTCATTGAACAATGTAATCTTAATCTCCTCACAATTGCTTCTACTTGATTGGTTAGAATTAATAATTTGTTAATTATTTTCTAATAACACTTATTTATTAATAACAATTCTCAGAACATTTGCTTTCAACAAATAAAATTTAGGACGTGGTGATATTTAATCATACAAGCAAACTTCTTGATTGGTCAATTCAGAGAAGCTTTTCGATTCTTTTATTTTCTCTCTTCTTTAGAGCATTTCCAATGGACCCTTATTCCTTTATAATTTAAGGGTTTTGCATTCCAATGGACCCTTATCCCCTTATATTTTAAAGGGATGAATAGTGCACCCTTAAATATAAGGGGTCACTGTTCACCCCTTAAAAATATTTTGAATTTGCATTTTAGTCCTTGTAATTATACAATCTTACAAATAACATTTATAATACTTTTTGTGATCAGTTTAGTCTAAAATTATATTTTTTTTTAACATTTACTCTCTCTAATAAGAAATTTAATTACCACCACATAAAATCAAATAAAAACATTCATTGATTGGAAAATTATGGAAACAATATTGTAATTTTAGTTTAATATTTTTATATATAATTTTATGTTTTAATGTAATTTTATATTATTATGTAATGTTTTAATTAATAATATTGTGTAATATTTTATTAAAGTGTTTTTATTGCATTTTATGAAAGTTTTAGTATTATAATTGATTCTAGTTACTTTTAAGGACTATAATGCAAAAATATTTTTTTAAGGGGTAAGGATAAGGGTCTTCCATTGGAACAAAACTTATAAACCCTTATTTTAAAGGTGTGTCCCTTTATTTTAAGGGTGACCATTGGAGATGCTCTTAGTCCAAAAGCAATGATGATCAAAACGTACCGAGGGAAGTTGCCGACGGGAACTCCGTCTTTAGCACTGTCAACAGTCGTCGTCGTTGCTTCACTTCTCGCCGGAGCTTCAGTCGTCCACAACATCTATAAGCCAGATCTCGTAAGCTTCGTTTCTTCTTCTTCTATGTATTAGCTTCACTTACTTTTCTTCGTTCTTTACAATGCCCATAAGGTGTATAATTCAATTATCAAGTTCAGAAATCGCATGATTTTCGTTCCTTTTTTAGCTTGGTTTTGTAAAATTTCAGTTTCTGCAATTGCACATAAGGTGTTCGATGAATTGCTCCATGTGAGACATTTTGTAATCTGATTGCGTTCTTCTTTGTGCAGAGTTTACCACCGTTGGAAAGTGGTGAAGTGGCCAAGAAGGAGGATTCTGCAAACAAAGCTTGAGTTTTTCAATATTTTCATCCCGTTTTGTTAAGTATCTTAAAGCTTTTTGACTACATTGATCTTTGGTTTTTCTTGTTTCTCTTTAATAAATTTCCGTGTTAACAAAAATATATCTAAGTATCTTCTTGATGTTGTGCTTTGGGAGAAATGTATGGGCCTTCAAGTGTAAATTTAGGCCCAATCGCGCGGCGTGATGAATACGTCGACACAATATGAAAATACGACATAATTATTCAGCCGGTCCAACTGCCAATGTCTTTTTGAGTCTTTGACCCTCTAATTAGTAAGAAATCATTATGATTTCAAAGAAACAGAAAACATTATATTAGAGTGGTGGGTGGTAAATTTCGTTTAGAAAACTACAACGGTCTAAAATTAAATAATTTTCTTCCCTAATCGAAATTCAGATCTTTGATTGTTTTCTTCCTGATTAAAAATCTGATCTTTACAGGAGCCGCAGATCGCTCAGAAAGTGTTACTAGATGCTCTCAGTAACCATGTGCATGCATCAATTTTCGCCGTATCAGTAGCTTACACAAAATCGGTTTAATTTATCAATAAACTAAACAATATCTATATTTACCATCCAATATTTATACATTGATATGTGATGTGTAGGTGTAAACTGAAAGTGGTGTTACACTTACACGTACAAAACAAGTGGATCCTAATAAGTATCTAACTCTATATTTCGAATCTATAGCTCTTGTGTAAATATAATCTGCAAAGCATTAATTTGACTTCCAATATTATAGACCACGCCACACGGGACAGAAGGGAAACCAATTTCCTTATCCCAAGACAAGATTCCCTGTTTCTTTTTCATGATTAAGAGTTTAAGACTTCTAGCGGAAACAAAAAGATAAGATAATATACATAAGAGTGCAAAATATCTAAGAAAAGATACATTTGATCATTCAAACATACATAATGTTTAAAATGCAATGTGATCTCGTATGATACATTTTCTAACGTAATTCTAAACATTTGAATTTCATTAAAACAAAAACAATACTATACTGAATGTATTGTTTTTGATCAAAATTCAGATACTTTAGATGGTCTCTCACACTATACTGAATGTATTTTTTTTCTAATGTATTGTTTTTGATCAAAATTCAATACTATACTGAATTTTGAACAAAAACAATAATATCATTTTGATCATTTTAATTCTAAACATTTGAATTTCATTAAAACAAAAACAATACTACACTTGTATTTGTAAATTTTTTTGGCCCCTATTGTTATTTTTTTTGTTTCTGATTTAATCTGATATTTCCGTATTTTTTATAAACTTTGCAAGAAAAAAGAAGAAAAACAAAACGTCTTGGTTTATATTTTGCTTAATAATATTCAAATGTGAAACGATCATTCGTGGCTACAATTCATTGTTTGAACACGAACCCCATTATTCTACTATAAGGTGTACTATATGATTAACACAAACAACATTAATTAATGTCGCCTATGAACTTAACTTCGTCCATAAATACCTTATATCACCTACACATACTTCTTCCTCTCTCAATCTTTACTCTCTTCTCTCTCTCTCCTCACCGAAAAATAAATCAAAATGATCACCGGTAAGGACATGTACGACGTACTAGCGGCGATGGTGCCGCTATACGTAGCTATGATACTAGCCTACGGTTCGGTACGGTGGTGGGGAATATTCACACCGGACCAATGTTCCGGTATAAACCGGTTCGTTGCGGTTTTCGCAGTTCCTCTTCTCTCTTTCCATTTCATTTCCTCCAATGATCCTTACGCCATGAACTACCATTTCCTCGCCGCCGACTCTCTTCAGAAAGTCGTCATCCTTGCCGCACTCTTTCTTTGGCAGGCCCGTCTCTATAATAATCTCTATGCATTTTATCGTAATAGTTAATTTAAAAGAACATAGCTTATTTTCATAGATATTTTAAGTGATGCTGCTTCATGTAGTAATAGGTATGGTGTGGTGGTATCGATTTTTAATTACTAGACGTATTTTTATGTAATAAAAACGTTTATCATTTATTACTAGGTCATAGATATTTTAGTTAATTTCTGAACTTTTAGGTATCTTTATACACTCATACATTCTCATGTTTGTACAAATATATTGATGTGATAAATTTAATTTCAGGCGTTTAGCCGCAGAGGAAGTCTAGAATGGATGATAACGCTGTTTTCGCTATCGACACTACCCAACACGTTGGTAATGGGAATCCCGTTGCTCAGGGCGATGTACGGAGACTTCTCCGGTAACCTAATGGTGCAAATAGTGGTGCTTCAGAGTATCATATGGTATACATTAATGCTCTTCTTGTTTGAGTTCCGTGGCGCTAAGCTTCTCATCTCTGAGCAGTTCCCTGAGACGGCCGGTTCTATTACTTCCTTCCGAGTTGATTCTGATGTTATCTCTCTCAATGGCCGTGAGCCTCTCCAAGTATGTATACACTAATTAACACTTTTATATTAACCGACCGATTAAATCAACTAATGGACTAGTTTACACTTGATTAATTGATAGTACTTAATCTAATGTTTTTGTGATTCCTTTTTAGTTAGATCTATTTATCAAATTATTAGAAAGTGAGTTTTGTTTTGCTTCGATTTGGTTTTGTTTTGTTGGGTTTTTTTTTTTTTTTTTTAGAAGTAAGAGAAATCATTTTTTTTTTTTTGTCACCTAAAAATACGTTATTTTATTCAATCATCAGACTGATGCGGAGATAGGTGACGACGGGAAGCTCCACGTGGTGGTTCGGAGATCAAGCGCCGCATCATCGATGATCTCATCGTTCAACAAATCTCACGGAGGAGGACATAACTCATCCATGATAACGCCGCGAGCTTCAAACCTCACCGGAGTCGAAATATACTCCGTTCAGTCGTCAAGAGAGCCGACGCCAAGAGCTTCGAGCTTTAACCAGACAGATTTCTACGCAATGTTTAACGCAAGCAAAGCTCCGAGCCCTCGTCACGGTCACGGTTACACCAATAGCTACGGAGGCTCCGGAGCAGGTCCCGGTGGTGATGTTTACTCGCTTCAGTCGTCTAAAGGAGTGACGCCGAGGACGTCGAATTTTGACGAGGAATTAGTGAAGACCAAGAAAGGAAGAGGAGGGAGAAGCAAGAGTGGTGAACTATACAACAATAATAGTGGTATGGATTTTTTTAATTATAGTTCTTATATATTTAAACAATTCCAAGTAATCGATTGAAAAAAAATTCATCAACCGGTTATTCTTCTGTGCTAATAAGATTTTGAAGAAACAAAATAATCGTATAAAATGAGACCAACAATAGTCTTTCTAATAAGTAGGAAAGAAAATATCATGACAATAACGTTCGAATTTGGCTATTTGTTTTTTATAGGATAGATTGTGTGTAATAAAATGTACATTGTTTATTTTTAAGCTACACTCTCTTCTATATCAAATAATTGAAAATTTGTATGGTCAAGTTCCGTCGTACCCACCACCGAACCCGATGTTCACGGGGTCAACGAGCGGAGCAAGTGGAGTCAAGAAAAAGGAAAGTGGTGGCGGAGGAAGCGGTGGAGCAGGAGGAGGACAGAACAAGGAGATGAACATGTTTGTGTGGAGTTCGAGTGCTTCTCCGGTCTCCGAAGCCAACGCGAGAAACGCTATGACTAGAGGCGCCTCCACCGATTTATCCACCGACCCAAAAGCTTCTCTTCCTCCTCAGGACAACCTCGCTACCAAAGGTTCATTAACAATATTCCACTAATTTATTCATTGTTAGATCATTTTTTATATATATATATATAGAAAGCATAAGTTTTCATTTGAAGTAGTTTCTTATAAAATCCATCATTTTTGTATATTTTAATATATTTAAATTTTTATAATATAGACAAATGAAACTAGTAGTATGCTTTGGGCATATAATGCGTTTAAATACTATATATAGTGAACTATAGTCAATAGGTTGGTATTTAATTTTTTGGGATAAAGATATCATAGTCAATTAAAGCTACGTACTTTTCTCTGAATTTTGTTATATTGACAGCGATGCAGAATCTGATAGAGAACATGACACCGGGAAGAAAAGGGCATGTGGAGACGGACCAAGACGGTAATAACGAGGGGAAGTCAGGGGTAAATTCGTCACCTTACATGGGCAAGAAAGGCAGTGACGTGGAGGACGGTGGCCCCGGCGGTCCGAGGAAGCAGCAGATGCCGCCGGCGAGCGTGATGACGAGGCTGATACTGATAATGGTTTGGAGAAAGCTTATTCGAAACCCTAACACTTACTCGAGTCTCATTGGCCTTGCTTGGTCCCTCGTCTCCTTCAAGTAAGTATACCATCACAATTATCAAACATAAAGATGTACGTACTAATAATACATGTCGTTTGCGTGATGTTGATTATGTGTGCTATGGTTTAATGGGATATATAGGTGGAACATAAAGATGCCAACGATAGTGAGTGGATCGATTTCGATATTATCAGATGCAGGGCTTGGCATGGCTATGTTTAGTCTTGGTAATTACTCTTCATGTGTTCCTTTGGTTTGTACATGTATTTTATTTCAATTTTGTGGAGTGTTATATACATACTGATAATATTTGTTGATATATAGGTCTATTTATGGCATTACAACCAAAGATAATTGCATGCGGGAAATCAGTGGCAATCTTCGCGATGGCCGTAAGGTTTTTGACGGGACCGGCCGTTATCGCAGCTACCTCAATTGCAATTGGTATTCGAGGCAGTCTCCTCCATATCGCGATCGTTCAGGTTATTCTCTATATGTGATATATTTCAATCCAGCTTATATTTGATAATTTAGTGATATTATGTTTTTCTTAAAATATTAACATATACACAATTATTGATAAGAAAAATTATATTTCTGAAGGCTGCTCTTCCTCAAGGAATCGTTCCTTTTGTTTTCGCCAAAGAATATAATGTCCATCCTGATATTCTCAGCACTGCGTAAGTTCTTTTGAGTTCTCTCTTTAGTTAAAGTTGCTCCACTTCTAAATATAATGCATTTCCTTTAGTCAAACTATATGATATTATATTTCATACAAAATATAAATATATCGAAGCAATAAATTGATATTTCAAAATCTAAGTATATATTTATTGTTTTGCAGAGTTATATTCGGAATGCTGGTTGCTTTGCCTGTGACAGTACTCTACTACGTTCTTTTGGGGCTCTAAGTTATAATCAAAACGTATTGGCAAATCAAAGGCGATACGACCAACGGTGGATTTTTTATAAGAAGAATTTACAAGGAAAAAGAGACTAATTACAGGTCAGGCTTAGGTGGATGGACCATGCAGTGTCGCATTAATTAAATCATAGCATATGATAGTAGAAATTTTCTAGTTAGTTTTGTATAATTTATATGCACATGCATGTACGTGACTCTTTGTAAGTTTTGTTACATTTATTAAAATTTTGGGATGTGCGTACAATATATTTTTCTTTGATTTATTTATGTTTCTGATTATCGATGGTCGTAAAGTATGTTATTAAATCGTCGCAATAATATTTCAATCATGTACTAGATCGCACATAGCGTGTTTAGATTAGATCTTGTACTTTTTGTAACTATCCATACCATTTCTTCTATTTTATTTTGGATCAAATGCACTAATCCTTCCAAATTTAGCCTTTTTATTTCATTTTTTTTAATCCTATTTCGTACGTATGTGCAGTGAAGTTGTGAATGGAATAATAATAACATGTAAGAAAAGAAGAAAAACTATTGCTTGCCGATGGAGTATGGAGGCGTTGACTGTGTAACGTGAAAACGATCACGTGGGATATCAGAACGAAGCGATAAACGTTGGAACTCGCTCTCTGGTCGGAACGTACATTGAACGAACAACAACACATGAAATTCAATTACACTTCTTCTCTTATACTATAATAGCTGTCCCTGTCGACTTCAGAGTTATCTGACAATAGATCTTGTAATACTTACACGTAAAAGAATTTATAACTTATTTATACTACTAGCAAAAATAAATTAAATTTTTTAAGCTTACAGAAGTTTTTGTGCATTGAGTAGGAGACAACATCTGCTCAGTGACAGCTCTTGTCTCTACAGGCACCTTATTATTATAATGCCTCGATTTATTATATTGGGTTTCATGAATCTTATCCTTGTATAGTTAATGTTCGTAGACTGTTTCAGTTTGACATGATTCGGGCAGGACCATGTCTTTTTAACTAAAACATAAGAAGATCAGTTACTTGTGGAGTAAACTATAGTTGGCAATACAATGGTTGAGGTTAAAGAGCTATTTCATTCAGACGCATTTTATTTTGCGGTTAGATCTGTATAACAACCGTATAGTATGTATGATATTAGTCTAGTCTAATTTGCACATTCACGTCCCATACTTGCCCAATACTATCTGTAATGGGCTTCAGCAAATTATCAATCTCTTAAGATATAAAGCAAAATTTAAAGCCACGTCTCTCGTCCATACATATTATTCTTCCTCATTAACACAAATCGAAAATATCTTTTCATAAAATTGCTGGCTCATATAGCATATCAAAGAAGAAAAAAAACTCGAAATCGCCAATGTTGTCGCTCTGATTCTGTAAAATTCTGGATGAACACATTGTCTGAGAAATCAGATTGAAAAAACCATGATGCTGAGTCTGAAACTAACATAATCAGTTTCATTATTGGGAACTTCAAGATTAATAGGAGAGCCTTTTAAGAGGGAGAGTACCTGAACTTAAGAGAGAGAGGATAGTGAGTGAAATTGGTTTCAGCTACTTGGCCCTTTTTGCTTAAGAGTAATCTTATCTCCAAGACTAAGAGCAATCCCTTGCGTCTTGCTTCGGATTCTTATGTAACCACTAAGCTTTTCGTCGGTTTGCTTCTCGATACTCACATTCACCAATGCGTCTTCCCCAAACACACTCTTCGCGTATAAGTTAGCTGACAGAAAACCGCACTCGCCATCTAACACAGATCTGGAAAAAAGAACACAAGAGAGTGAGAAACCCGGCAAGCTAGCATAACAAAGACCATCAAGTAGAAGCGTGCACTTACGTTGGAGTGAGGCACTTCATGTTTGTTGATTTGATAATGTGATCAAGAAACTCTTTCTCGTCTTCAATTTTAGTGTTTACAGCAACCTAGAAGAACAAAAGACCAAGATTCGGTTCTCTAGTCATCATAAACAAAGCTTTTTAAGCAAGAAGGAGAATTCGGTTTTAGTTATATACCTTGTTTTCCCATTCGAATTCTGCCCACATGGACCTGAACGCAGAGTCTGAACACACAGCAGGAGAGATATAATCCATGATATCGATATGTATGTCGTTGAGGACCACAACGTTTCGCTCCATGACATTTGAAGTCTCGTAGACAATGTTCCCGAAGATGACCCCAGTCTCGGTAGAGGAAACCTTGATGTTGGCTTTTATCTTCTTCTTTGATTCAGGCGCAAGTGTGTAATTCTGAGGACGCTCGACGAGCTTTAGATCCCCCATAGTCGCCAATTCCAGACACAGATTCTGGAGTGTTTCTTTAGTACGGTTGATAACCGTGACATCAAGGACAATGTCATAGTGATGGACTGTCACATACGCCTCTGCGTAGACTGGGTCACTGAATCCTGTGAGTTGAAGAATCCGGTTGAGCTTGTTTGCATCATTTTCGTCTTTGGTGAATTCTCCGGTTGCGCGTTTTAAGTCGTCTTGTACTTGGTCTTCTAACTCAAGTAGACTCATACCCTGAGAGAGTATCATCACAAGTATATTTGACAGTCAGACAAATTCAATACAAATGCACACAATAAGATCATCAGGTTAGGGATTTCATTACCTTCCGGCTCTTCAGATGGAAGAAGTCAATAAGATCATCAGGTTGAGCGTTAGATATTTGGGCCTTGGCTTTGAGTTCCTCTAGTTCCCGTAGCTGTTTCTCGGAGAGCATTTTGACAAAACTCTGGCGACAGGATTCCAACCATATCTTCTTCATCTCATCACTTGTATGGCAAATCAATTTGATGCAGAGCACAATCCTCTCGTAAGAATCAGGATCAATTGAATGAGGAACCACATGAGATTGCCCTAGTTGCAACATACAGACCATGATGAGTAAAGTCTGGGTCTTCGCCTTGTTTATCTCTGTTTTGGATGACTGCACTTCCTCCAACCTGAGAACAAGTTTGGTCAATGTGCAAGCAACCACTGCTCCGAGGAAAAAGTCGCCAGTTAAGATAAGAGATCTCAAATTTCCAGAAGCCAGCGATCCCTGAGCAACTGTAGAGGGAGAGAATACGGTTTCAGAGGCAGCACTTTGGGTAGCATAAGTTCCATCAGCAAGAATGGCAGGTCTTCTAGAGGAGACTGTAGCAGAGGTGTTCTGCGGAGTTTTGTTTGAAGAATCGTTTGACTCTGCCTCCTCGGAAACAGAGTAAAATGGCATCTCGCCAAGGCATTGCTTGATGGTTGCTATACCAGTCTCAACCTCAGAGAGTGATAAGCAATACTCCCCAACAATCCAAAGCGCAAATGGGAAAACCTTCGCAGCGCGAATCTGGTAAAAGGTGTCCAACAAGCGGGTTATGATTGAAACCCTCAGTTTGGGGTTTGATTCTATTATCTCTCTGACGAAAACAGCCACGTCAAGAGCTGAAGCCACGTTGGTGTCACCCAAGAAATCCATCAAAAGATGGACAACAGCGCCTGCTACTTCAGGGAACTTGACCGCACAAGCGTGAATGGCTTGGACGAGCATCTGTCTATAATCACCATTCTTCTCAAGCTCTCCGCTTTGCGTCTTCACAACTTCTTTCTTCAGAGTTTGCACGACCTCATTGACGTTCCGGTGAGTAATCAATTCAAGGACGATATCAAGTGTCTTCCTGCGAATGTCGAGATTCGGACTAGAGAGTGCTCTTAGCACATCCATGATCATCTCAACCATAATCTCCCTATGAGAGGCCTTGAGCTCATTCAGCCTATCGAGCACAATAAGCTTCACATTGTTGTCACTCTGAGAAAGAAGAAGCTGGCAGTAGGTGTTGGCAGCTGCTCTAATGGCAGTGGGAGCAGATGAGAGAGTAACTAACGTCTGAGCACATTCATAGGTCACTGCAGACGAAGGCGCATTTAACAAAGCGATGATGATCTTAATATACTTCCCCTTTTCCGATGGCTTGGTCCTACACACTTTCCTGATCAATTCCAGAACCACCATCTGAAGCAACTCATTCCACTCGGAAACTCTATCAACATTTGTGAGAAGATAATTTATCGCTCGGTCTTGATCGCAGTTGAAGAGCATAAGGAAGGCGTTTCGTTTGGCGGAGGGATCCTGCTCGCTCGAGAGAACTTTCTCAATCATCTCAGGTGCATCTACCAAGAGCTGGTCACCTTGTGGGAGCTTATATATGGACATAATAGCCAGAATCGCGTTCCTGCGGACAAACGGATGGCGATGCTCCAAGTTTTGTAACACTGACGGAATCAGAGGCTCCATAACTTCAGTCTCTCTCAATCGGCAAAGGAACCGCAAGGTAACTCCACGGATGTACTCGTTCGGATGCTGAAGGTTGTTCCTCAGATTCTGACAAATCAATATCATTTCAGGAAGCACTTTCCCTTTGGCATCGGTTTTCTCGATCGTCTCCAAGTAAAGCAGCAGCAGCTTCTGGACCGTGTGGTCCTCAGACGTCAAAACGTATCTGATGATAGTGATGAAAAGATGAGGCAACGTTTCGCCACTAAGCAAAAGCATGATTGCTTTCTTCAAGGCATCGATTTTCGCAGGTATATCGTTCCCTTCAAGAGCTTCTTTGATCTCGTTCGCAACCGCAGGAGTTCCTTTGTCATAGTGAATGAGCAGCGTACATGATTTCTCCATCTTTCTAAGCACAAAGAAAAATAAGATAAGCGCTGGATTTTAGAAAAAAACGAAGGCACAGATCAACAAGCGCATCGAAAAATGTGAAATGTGGAAAATGTTTCAGGAACGAGCTGCGGAATAAGATGCAATCTAAATCAGTATCTTTCAAACTCGATTTCCATAGAATTGAGCTGCAAAAACAATATCGAGCATGCATTTCATAAGGAGATTTACAGATCCGATCAGGGAACAGTAATGGAAACAACCAAATCAAAATCACATCAAATTCCGAAATCGATCACCAGGGAATCCGAAAGTCACAGATTTAAGAGAGAAAGGAATCAACACGCGAATCGGAAAATATGAAATCTGCAGAATGTTCAAGGATCGAGCTGCCGAATAATAAGATGCAAGCAAAATCAGTATCTTCCAAGCTCGATTTTCAATGGAATTGAGCTACAAAAGACGTATCAAACATGCTTTTTTCATCTCACGATTAATGATGGGAAGATCAAAGGAGATTTACAGATCCGATCAGCGAACAGCAATGCAACTAACAGAACCACATCGAATTCCAAAATCGATTCACTAGGGATTCCGATCTACTCAGTAAACCATCCAAGCATCGTGAGAACGCGCGTATGGAGAATTCACGATGGTGGAAGGGGAGATAGAGAAGAATATGAAAACAAAGGAAGAGAAGCTGACTTACCAGATATGACGGCGAGGGGGGTGAGAAGATGCGGCGAAGAATCGGCCGTCAAGTTTCAGATCTACAGAATTGGATCTCGGGAAAACGATCGTTCAAGTGAAAAATTTAACTGTAATGTGTGGATTCATGTTCTTTATATTTTCTGAACAAGCAAACATTTTTACTGTTCTTTACACGGGTAATCACTAATCACCAAGACATAATTATATAGTAAATTTCAACCACGCATTAAAAAAAAAGAAACTAATTAGGCGAAAAACCGGCCCATTCAATTGCTGTAAGTTACTCAGCCCGTAAAAGCAGATGAGAAAATTAGTCAGAACACTAATTCAAAGGGATATTGTTAATCTAACACCCGTTCTAAAAACTTAAGTGAGAAATGTGTAAAAAGTCAGTTAAACCATCTAAACCCTATTTTATTACATGTATGCCATTGTTTTAACTTCTTATTTTTGATTAAATTAAAATACAAAGTAAATAAATTAAACTAAATTAAAAACATAAACCCTTAAAACAAAAACTCCCGAGTCTCAATAAGTCGCCGTCTCTCATTCATCTCCGACGTCGTCCCCGACATCGGATCCGGCTTCTTCTCCTCCGCCGACGACTCCATCTCTCGTTCGTCTACGCCGTCATCTCCTATTTGTGAATTGTAGGCTCTGTTCTAACGTGAGAATCTCCTTTTGAATTACAGGTCCTATTCGAAACTTAAAAACTTGTTTATAACCTCCTTTTGATTCGATTCTACCATTGTTTAAGATAATTGAATAAGAAGTGCAAGCCATTGAAGCATTGAATCTCGAGGGAACTTGAGTTTCAATTATATGTCTCTGCAATTTTCGTTTCTTTGCTATTATGGGTTTTTCAGATTAATAAGTGGGAGATGTTCTGAAATGTTGTATTTTTCACTGGCTGTAGATATGGCTCCTACAAGTAACGAGTCTAACTATCCTCAACTACTCTATCCAAAGGGAAAAGCACCAAGTCAAAAGAAAAGCATGAGTTTCTACAGCTACTTGTCAAATTTTCAAATGGTTAAAGTAGGAGTTGGAATCGATGCATGGGAAGCGTTGAAAGAATCCGCAGTTGGTGTTTTCTTAATGTTTTATGAACAAGATCACATATTTAGTGCGAAGTTGGTCCACTACATTCTAACTCATCAACTCGTAGTGAAGAAGTATTATGAGATATGGTCATTGATTGATTGGCAGCCAATTCGTCTATCATTGATAGAGTTTGGAGAGATTACTGGGTTGAATATTGGACCGTTTGATGTTGGAGACACTTTTGATATTGATCACAGAGAGTTTTGGGAGGAATTACATGTTTCTCCAGTTGTTGGTCCTAACTTGGTTGAGCTGCGGGAGGTATTAGATAGATGTAAGAGCTGGTGTTTTGAAAAAAGGAGAAGCGTTGGATGGTTGTGTATTTTGCACATTGCTGTCTACGGCATAGCTCCAACAGCTAGAATTCCTTTGGAGGCTGCTAAACGAGTACTTAATGCTGACGCTTTTGAGAGATATCCGTGGGGACGTGTTGCTTGCAAGAGCTTGATACACTCTATTAAGTGTCTCAATTACCACGCCAAAGAATCCTATACAGTGGAAGGATTTGTTTATGTATTACAAATATGGGCATATGAAGCTATTACTGGCGTAGGAGAACTTTATGGGAATAGAATTGATGGCGCCAGAGTTCCAATGCTATCATGGGGTGGATCACGTCCGCGATTTGAGCCTAGCGAGTTTCTTAGACATGAGAAAGAAGCTCATGATAATAAGGTACACATTTTATGTTTTTTGTTTGTTTGGTTTAAACGAGTGAGTGGAGATAATTTCAGGTTCTTGTATTCTTGTAGTTGCTCTGTATCATGACTTTTTTTTTTCTTCTCAGGTGCGTGTGAGACATTTTCTTTCCCTCATGGATGGAAATGTCGTTCCTAATTGGGATAAGGAGGAGAACGATGAAAAGGTAACCATTCTGGTTCGTGATATACTTGATGATCATATCATTCCAACTGCTTGGGATGTCTTGGAATCTCAAGTATGCATGAGAAAGAAGCGTAAAGCATCTGTTCCCATAATTAATTCTCACTATTCCACAAACGCAAAAGTCAAAGATCAACAAGCAAATGGTGATGACGAAAGGGGAGGTGCTTCAAATGTGAGTAGTAATTGTCATTCATATTATTTATTCCTTCTGATATGAGTTAACATTATAATTTGGATGAGTTTGATATTTTTTAGGCTGCTGGAAATGTAACGCAAGACAATGACGTTTTTGGCATGTTGCATAAGCTGACTGATAAAGTTGACAGCATGGGAGCAGACATTTCTAATAACCTATTGGCAGGATTGGATGCAGCGATAGAAACAAAACTTGATGCTGCAATCGAAACAAAGCTTGATGCTAGACTTAATCCCCTAACTGAGATGATGGCGGCATTTGAGAAAGAGCTAAAGAAGTTGCAAGGAAAAAATGTAGTTGATATCAGTGAAGAAGGTGATAACTCCAACATCAATGAAGATGACGAAGTCTCAAGTAACCCGGTGCGTTTTTTATTTTTTTCCTGCTTCAATGTGTTTGACGTTGGTATTTGTTTGTATAGTGGTTTATGTTAATTGCTTTTAACTTCATGTTTTTTTCCAGACTTGGATAGTGAAGATGAAAGCGACATCCGAAGATGAGCTACCAACACAATGTGTTGTTAAGAATGATAAGAAGGCTAGAAAAAACCTTGTACAACTACGTCGTACACCAATAAAAAAAATCGACATACAAGTACCAACACTCCTTGATACAGCTTCAGGGGAAACATGGCCAGATCCCATTCAGCGTAAGATATTCAAAGGAGTTGATGCAAGTTTAGATGAAATTGCAGAAGCGGCTAAGAAGCGCCTAACGAAGTTAGCTCCGAGTCAACAATTTCCATTCGTAGGAAATTCAACAGTGAAGCGCATCATCACAGGAGTAACTCCATCACAGGAGTAAACATTCGATGACAAAAGAAAAGAGAACATAAACTTTAGCTGAAGCCTGATACACATTTTACTTACTTACCAAAGAAAATTATTGATTATTTTCAGGGACAAAACCAGAAATTAGAATCGACACCAAAAAGGTTGAAATTAGAATCTAGTAAGTAGTGAACGTGGAACAATTAATAAAAACTATACTAGACAAAAAAATTGAAAATGTTAAAGACTTAAGACTAAACAGCTTCGGAGCCGTAAGGTTCAAGAAGATTCTTGTCATCATCATCCTTAAGATCACTAAATCTTGACTTCTTATCCGAAGTAGAAAGCGAAGAAGACGAAGAGGAAGCCTTGAGAGATTGACCTCTCGTGTTAAGGTAAGTATATAACGAAGTCCCCACAATCGCCAAAACCGCACCGCAAACGCTAATCAAACCACTATTCGATCCGAAAATGTAATAGTTCCCAAGTAAGAGGACACAGGTCTTGAACTGTCCAAGCACCACATGCGTAATCGCAGAAGTTGCTCTGTAAAACACAATGCACAAAAAAAAAATCAGACTTGAGAAAGAAAAAAAACATCAAGTCTTGTGTAAACCAAAGACTTTACTTACCCGAGAGCTAAGGCTCCGGACCATTGAAGAAAGAATCCAAGAAAAGCTGATACAAGAATGGCAGATGTGTTTGCATAGCTCCAATCGAACGACAGAGCGCCCGGCGGATCCAAGAACGGAATCATCGATACAAGAAACAACAGAGTGATTGGCGTCGTCTTCCACATCAACCTGAGAGAGAGAGAGAGACGGTATTAAGAGATGTCGGTCGATATACAGCGAGAATTTAGAACATATAATATGATTTCACATACGCTAAGGCGGTCCAGTTCTCTCGCTGTTGCATATTGGACCACAAGATTTTGTTGGTAGCGCTTGGTATGATCCATGCTAAAGCCACACAAGCACCAAACAGACTAAACTGTAAATCTGTCACAGTCGCAACCGCAACTCCCACAGACACAACTGTCAGTGCAACCACCTGAAACAAAAACATCAGCCGTAAAAGTTACTATATAAACTCTTAGTCATAAACTCCTAATGGATCAATGCAAATCCAATTAAGAACAAACTCAATCACCTTCATGAAAGAAACTCTCTTTCTAAACCACAAGAACTCTGCAAACACAATAGAAGGCGTAACAGCGATCTTCGCCATCTGGTAGAAACCAACACTGGAAACAACATACAACAAACAAAACAGTGGTGAGAAACGATATGAGACTGTGCCAATACATGAAAACCAGAGGAGATGGCGAAATTTTCAAGAACCTGTTGTACTTGAGGCTGACATTAGCGAGTCCTGTAGAGAGTGACATTACAATGCCGAGAGTGTAGAGAGAAAGAGACGATGACTTGGAGGAAGGAGGTGGAGAGGGAAGAAGCGAAAAGGTTTTGAGAAGAGCCATTAGTAGATAAGCTACAATGTAGTGGATGAATGTGAGGAACACTGGAAACTCAAAGCCTATGTTTTTAAGCACCTGAAGGATCATGAAAAGACAAAAAATCTGATTACTTTACGTTTGGTGATTTCTCTCTAAATGAAGACACTTTTTAAATTTACCCATTTGTTCATGAAGATAATGGTGATGGCAACAAAGAAATTGAAAGTGAGAGCAAGAGTTGGGCCACAGATACGGTGTGTTTGTTGCTGCTGCTGTCTCTTTGGAGTTTCCGGTGAACGGAATCTGTTGAACAACGATGCTCGTATGTCCTCTAGTGCTTTTCCTGATTCCAAAACCATTCTTACAAATCAAATTCTCTAGTGATAAACCCTAATCTCCAGAAATTAGGGGCGTTTTATAAGATTGTTACAATTGGATAATCCTAATAGGAACAGGAGATGATCTTCGAGGAAATCGAATTAAGAAATCCATGAAACTGAAGTTGAAAAAAATTCAGCTTTTTTTGAATTTACCTTTTTCACCAGCATCACTGTCTTTGCGTTTGAGAATCTTCTTCACATCTTTGCCGAGCCAAGAACTAAACATCTTAGGTGTTAATAACATTGTTGTTCCCTTGTCAAGCTTTTAGTGTCAGATTCGAAACTCATCACAAGCCAAATAGAGGGAAATCAACTCTGACCCACATCGCGATGGGCAAAATGATGAGAAAAAAAGGTGGGTCTAGTGTGATTGTTTTGCTCGAGTCTCTCAAATTAAAAGATTTTAGAGAGAAGAGACAAAAAAGGGAGACAGAATGAGAGAAACACGTGGCGGTGAAAACGGGAAGATGGAGGAGTTTGAGAATTGAAATTGAAAGCTTTCTGTTTTTGGGAGCAAATCACGCTTCTTCACCGACCATTAAGAACAGAGGCAAAATGTCTGCACTAAAAAGGAGAGGGAGAGAGCTTTTTAGAGAGTGTAATGAGTAAACACGCTCTCTACAGTCTTTTTCCACTTCTTTCTTTCACGCGTTCATTTTTTAACCTTTTTATTTATTCTCCGCGTTTCTCTTCTTATCTTAAACCAAATTTATAGTCGACCGATAATCCAAAAAAAAATCCGTCGACAGAAAAACCAAAGACCGACGAGTGGCTTATTTGGATTTTTTCTGGAGTGATTTTCAGTAACAGATAATAAATCAATGACGTGGTGAGGACCTGTCCGATAGGTGGGACCAATTTTACGGTTAACTGTTAACGTCGCTTTATAGTGCGTTAGATGGATGGAAACGCTTATCCAAAGTTACAAAGAGAGTTATGTGAAGGTCACAAGGACATTGACATTCATTCATTGGAAGGTACGAGAAAGGCAAATATAACTTCACACATTTTGACCATAAACTGAATTTTGATAGTTATCTTAACGAATAAAGATTCGAAAGGTAAAATCAATCATAGTACAAAAAAACCAAAACGAAAAACCAGAAACCAAACTCGACACTGTACTTCTTTGGGTTTCCGGAAAATATCATTAAATCCATATCAAGCCGAACGTTTTTTTTTCTGTTAGTCCTAAAAGTAGCACTTAAAAACTCACACGAGTGCCCGAGATAAACCGCCTCCAAATCAGAGTGAACCTGGCACAAAGAAAATTTAATTATTAATGACAGTGATTAGATATAACCAAATCCGACAAAACAAAACCAGAAAATTTCTAGTTTATTTCTTTAACCGACAGTGATAAACTTAACCAAAACCAGATAAACCAGACTGAGAGTCTAATTTGTTATACCTTCTCCAGACGACTTTTTCTTTCCCCAGCATTTTAGTGCTGAGAGTTTGCTGCTCAGAGGAGTTTTTGACACCGGGATGAATTTTCCGACCAGAGCAAGAGGCCAACTGTCAAATTACAAAGGGTTGAGTAAAAAATTTGGTTATATTTCAACAAGCATTGACATGTATATTTATGCATCAATGTAAATAAATGATAATAGTTTACCTGATCACACCAATGCCGACACAGATTAGCCATTGTTGCCAGTTGAGTTTGGTCGTGGAAGCAAATTTACCGAGGAACTCAACAATGATAACCTGACAAAACGAAATTTAAGAAGTTTTGATTTTAATGTGCATGGTTTTTTACCATTTAAATATTACAATGTGTTATCGAATTATAATTTACCTGGAGGACGAGCGTTATGAATATGATTCCCATGAAGAGACGATTCTTGATAATTCCTTTGAATATGTTCTTCTCATCTGGTTTCCGAGCATTGAACTCATTGAAAGCCTGTTAAACCCAAAATAAAAAGATAATCAATAAACGCATGTGGTTGTTAACATGCTTAAGACTTCAATTTATATTATATAAACTCACTTGGCAAAGAACAAAGGCATTGAAGATCAATGTGTTCTTCACTCTGGTGCCATGTTCGTGAGTCTCATGCTGAAGTCCAAGTATGGTTATGCCTTTGAAGTTGAGAACCAACAACACACTCACTTGATAGATAGCCTGAATAAGCAAGTTTCTCCACATGATGTTGGTAATAAGAGGCTCTCTGCAAAAAGAAGTCAAACCACAAATAAACACACGGATAAGTCCACTGTCTACAAACCAAAAGTCTTCAGTTTAATGTGAGAAACCAAAAGCTTACTTTCTGCCAACTGGAGGTCTCCCCATTAGGTGATCAGTGGGTGGTTCAGTAGCCAAAGCCAATGCTCCAAGAGTGTCCATGATCAGATTAACCCAGAGAAGCTGTATATTAAAGGAAACACCAAAAGCATGAACAAAACTATACATACTTTGAGAGAGAGTGGTTAGGAAAGAGCCAAATGCAAGAGAAACACAAACCTGCACAGCGGTAAGTGGAACGTCACCACTTGAAATAGCAGCTACAACGTTAATGACGAGAGCGGCGACATTGACTGTGAGCTGAAACTGGATGAATTTCTGAATGTTGGCGTAGACTGATCGTCCCCAACGAACAACCTATATACCACAAGCCACACCAAGTTTCAGGTTTTGAATATCAAATAATCAGAATCAATTGCAAGAAACACATTCAAGATTTTAGTAATGAAGCACATTATGTGTCTTGCAGATCTTGAGACAAAAAAAAAATGAATCTATGATGAGGAAAGAAAGTGAATTTGAACAAACCTTGACAACTGAAGCAAAGTTGTCATCCAAGATGATGATGTCAGAACTCTCCTTAGCCACTTCCGTTCCTGCTATTCCCATGGCAAGACCAATATCCGCCTGCAAATCCAACCAACACCAGTGAGAATAAATTCTTGGCAAAACAAAACTCAGTAAATTACTTCAACTGTTTGAGAATTTGTATAGTACCTCATGCAATGCAGGAGCATCATTTGTCCCATCTCCGGTGACAGCAACAACATGCCCTTGTCTTCTCAAAGATTGTACCAGCAGAAGCTTGTCATTGGGTGATGATCGGCCCATAACCTTCACACGTAAAGCAAACAAAATCAAATTTAAGTTAGCCTTATAATACAGTGTTCAGGGACAATGTCTGTATTGAGTGAAGCCTCAAGTAAGGCCAAACCACTACACAGAACGAGACTAGGACATCCAAGTTAAGAATTGGAAAGTAGTGTTGTTATTAGTACCGATATTTTGCCGCTAATCTTGTCTCTTTCTGCATCAGTCATGGCGCGGAATGATTTTCCTTCAATGAGAGTAGGCTCGGAAGCATCTGCATCTGAAGTTAATATCCCACACTCCAAAGCAATAGCCCTGGCAGTTTGCACGTTGTCACCAGTTACCATACGGACCTGAACATCAACACATATCATGGAACCATTATTAGCATGCTAAATCTAAATTAATTTCAGGCTTTCTTTTACAAAAGAAAACAGAAAAAGCACCTTGACACCAGCATTTTGACACAACTGGACTGAATCTTTGACTCCTGGTCTACATGGATCCTGCATACATGTCAAACAACTCGATAAGAAACAATACCAAGAATAATAATGCAAGACATGAAGAAACCAAATGAATCCTCACCTTTATGCCAACTATAGCAAGTAAAATAAGGTCATCCTCTGGGAGTACCCACTTTTCGAGTTCTTCGCCTGTTGGGACCTTTTCAGGCTCAAAGTTTCTAAAGGCAAGTGCGACACATCGTAACGTTCTTCCAGCCATCTCTTCGATACCATTCCTAAAAAACAATGCCTTGTCTTCACTCATTGGTGCAACGTTACCATCTCCATCAATGTAGCTTCTGCAGCAAGCCAAGACAATCTCGGAAGCTCCTTTCCAGTGAACATGGACTTGACCATCGGCCGTTTTCACAGCAACACCACCACGTTTCTTCTCAGAGTTAAACGGAAAAGCATGAAGAATAGTAGACTGCGACCTCGCTGTCTCGAAATTCATTCCCAGCTTAAGTCCCCAGCCAAGAATGGCTTTCTCTGTTGGTGAACCAGATAGCTCTAACTCGCCGCCGCCCTCTGGGACGTAGATACTACCGGTAGTGTTTTGAGATATCCCTTCAACGACTAAAGAAGTGATAGTTGCTGGCAATTGTTCAGTGTCTGTTTTCTTGCCACCGGCATAAGACTCGACCACTGTCATCTGTTTTTTTTTTTTGGAAAACGAAAACACATTTAAGTAAAATTAACTGACAAGACTTGTTCATTCGAGTCTATTAAGAATCCAGATTTGTAAAAACAAAAAGCACACCTGATTTAGAGTTAGTGTTCCAGTTTTATCACTGCAGATAGTGGTGGCAGAGCCCATTGTCTCACAAGCAGATAGCCTCCTCACCTGCACATCAAAATTTTTGTCATGCTATATAATAGAGAACTGCTAAAAGAATCATACATTGTTCACAAGAAAGATAGAGACAACGTAAGAAAAAAAGAATAACATACCAGAGCCTTATCTGCCATCATTTTCCTCATTGAATAGGCAAGGCTGTAACAGAGAAAAATAGTAGAAAAGAAAATAGAGTCAGCAGCAAAGAGAAGTGAAGTCTCTAAACTATGAAACTAACACAAGAAAGTATCGGAAGAAGTTGTGATATAGCCAAGATTGGAAATACATACGTTAAGGTAACAGCCAATGGAAGACCCTCAGGGACTGCCACTACGACAATCGTAACCTGCAGCAGTAATAGAGTATTAGCATTTCCAAAAGAAAGTTTTAACTGTTGGCTCCCTATAAGACTAATATTGTTAACTAGGAAACATACCGCTACGGTGAGAACTTTGATCACATCATCAACTACATGGCCAACTTTTGTCTTTCCTTTAACAAACTGAGGACTTCCATCTCCGTTTCTGGTGTGACCAGTGAAATATCTGTAAAACAACCATACAGAATTTACATATTGTCAATTAGAATTGTTCTCGTGCAGTAATGACGAGCAAAAATGATAATAACCAGTAAAGATAGCATCCATACCGAACCAGAAGGATCACTAGCACAGCGGCAGCAACTGCTAAGCCAATGGAACCAATAAATGTAGCTACACCGTTTAAGCGCACCTGTTTCAAGCCCATCAAAGATTAGCTTATTTTTTCCAAACTCTAAGAGATTTTGTTAACAGTGATTTAAGAAATTAACCTGTAAGGGAGTTT